CTCACTCACAAAGAACTGTAAATAGCATTGTAACAATTTTGAGGATAAAAGTTTTCTAACACTTACCTCAGTGTAGAATGCTTTTCTGAAAGGCATGTAGTTCAGACTTGCGTGGTCGACCTTAGCGAGATCCTTCCTTTGTTTCGAAGCCAGGTTCGCGGCAGCATCCTTTATATCTTCTGTTTCTTCTTCCGAGGAATATTCTAGACCATCTTGGTTCTGTTCAATCAGTTCTCCTGTAGACATAGACAAGTAGACAACATACGTAAGTTATCAGTTCGTACTCATTAAAATACCTATTTGGTTTTGTGAAATCGTGAAGAGGTAGACTTAAATTGGCTGGTTTCTTAGTTTTCCCCACAAATAAACAATTTTGACATTTCAATACATCAATATACTAAAAATATTCATACTTTCATTATTTCTTAGCGTAAATATAATGTCACAAGATGCGATATTATAGAAATTTAACAAAAAGGTATTGTTAACATAAGTATTAAATTTGACTTGTTACTATAATGTAATTTAAACGGAAAAAGACAAATGTGAAAAGTTACAAAGAGTATGATGCGTTTACAAGTTTACGGAATAATGAATGATTATTAATTCGAAGTACCTTTATTTTTCTGCTCAGTTACTTTCTTCTTAGCCGTGCCTGTGAGTACGACTACTGTCCCACCTGTTGTGGTGGGTACGTTTATAATGCCACGCGCCTGATCCATCTGATTCACTTTACGCACCTCCTGTGAAGAAAAAAACAAATTCAACAATGAAAACATAACAAAAATCATATCACCTTCTTCATGAATCTCTTTACACTCCAAACAACACTAAATTAAAATGATAAATATGATATTACGAAATATGTTGTATGTCTGTAAAAATAGAGAAGTCAATGAGCGACCTATCACACAAGATCATTTCTTCCATCTAGATTTATAGAAAAAAACCTTAGGATGAATTTCTATTACCATTCTGAATTGTAATAATTTGTACTACATTTGTTACAACAACTAATTAATTAATTGTGAAACAACTAATTAATTTAGTACATTTTAACAGCCTACTTATTAGGCTGTTCAAATGTACTAAATATGTACCACCATAATTTATTAATTATTTTATAATAGAATTAAGATTTGATTAATTTAAAAGAAGGCTAGTATTTAACTGCGCTTTTAACAAATTGCTAATAATAAGCCCCCACAAATGGGTAAGCCAACATATAATTATATTGAAAGTGAAGCCAGGAGCAAACTGTACTGACCTGCTGCACTTCTTGCATGTAAGCATCAAGTGGATCTATTTCGTCTTCTTCTTCCTCCACTTTCTTTTCATCAACCACTGGTTTCTCTTTGGTTTCCACACCTGGGTCTTCTCCTAATGAGAAAAACAGAAAATAAATATTAGAAATTCTGCAGTAATACATATGTACAAAATTGACAATTTATGTAAGATATCAGTCAGCAAACAAGTAGATAGCAGAGTTGAATGCATTTATCACCACCCCTTGCTTTGCTAAGGGTGTTGTAAAACTTATTACATATTTAAAAGAGACCAAACAGTAGTGTTCTGTGATCAACAAAATAATTTAACACAGAGAAGTACAAACTGCCAGCAAAACATGAAGATATAAGAAAACCCCTACTTTTGTCAAAAGAGTACCAATATTTCTATGTTTTAGTAGTGTAGTTAAACTTGCTATTGATGTAGGTGTATGTTTAAATAATAAACTTACCCTCATCGCCAGAATCATCTTCGAGTGACCATTTCTTGCTAGCCGGTACTTGTATATTGCTTACAATACTGCCTTTTTGCACCTCCTTTTTAGCAGACTCCAATTCTTTACGTTTTCGCTCAGCACGCCAACGCTCGATACGATCGCGTCGCTTCTGCATTTCAGCTTCCAAACGACTTTGCTCTTCTTCCTAGAAATAGAATAAAGTGAAATCTTTACAGTTAATTAATCCCAAGTATGACTTTTCAGTAATAAACATCAAATAATCTAAAATATTATGGAATACCAGAGTAAAAAAAAATGTTATGGACATATAGGCACATTTCTTATTTAGGCAAACAAGCAAATGGATCACCCTCATGGTAAGTGATCGGCAGTGCCCATAGCCACCAGGAGAGTCACGGGCACATTTCCAGTCTTTTCAGAAGGATTGGTCATTTTATTTAAGTTTGTAGTTGAAATAGGCTTATTAGTGGTCTTCCAGACTATATCATCTAGCTACTACGAAAACCAAGCATTACACTTACATTATACGAACATGTTACCTTATCAACTGTCCCTGGATCATATTCAGATTCGGTTTTGACCGTTTTCTCTTTAGACTTGGACCTTTCTTTTTCTTTATCAGGTGACTTCTTCCTGGATGACTTTCCTGATCCATTCCTCTTGTCATCACGCTTATCACTGAAATAAAGAAAGAAAATATTATAAAATATAAAAGAAAAATATTTCCATAAATTGTAAGATATATATAATTATTTTTAATGAATATGTTACACTTGATACACCTAATACTAAACATTAATTGTATTATTTATGAGTAAAAATTTCTATAGGATATACTGAGAGCTTAAAGCTTGGTATTTTAAAAAGTTAAAGTTTAAAGTCAAAATATTTAACAACCATGAACACTTAATTTTTTTTTTTATAATTAAGAGGAATAATCTTGAAAATCACAAAGTACTCTAAACTCTTCATGTGTCCCTAGTTATATCAGCAAGATAAAAGCAGCAGTTAAGAGGAATTTGGTACATAGATATAATACACATAAGGAAAATTTAAAAATTCTACTATAATACTAAGATCAAGTCCAAAACTAAAGCCAGTGAATAGCAGGCATGTTGTGGTAAATACTTACCTCTTTCTGTCACGGTCCCTGTCACGATCTCTGTCTCGATCACGATCCCTATCACGCTCGCGTTCCCTGCTGCGGTCCCTACTACGTTCTCTCTTGGACTCTCTTTCTCTGCTACGACTACGCTTTCTACTCTTCGTCGATTTGGAAGTCCTGTCTCTTGACCTAGACCTCGACCGCCTCCTCTTACGATCAGGCGTTGCCGATCGGCTGTGAGACCGCCTTCGATCGCGGTCTCTATCACGATCACGCCTGTAAACATAATGATATCACTAATTGAATGAACTTACAATAAAAACATCGAAGTATACAAACCATTAGATAAACAAAATAAAGCACTTACCCACTTCTCACCATTATGCTAGACCACTATCCTTAACGTTATAAGCTATTCATATAGTTTATATTTTCTTATAAACACATAATAAGAATTTCCTCAAAGCATAAAATAAAAACCATGACACACGTTGACGCGATGTTTGACAAATATAGTGTTGTCAAAAAGTACCGATACCGATTCACTCTTAAAAATAACCAGATTCGAAAATAATTAGTCGATTAGGGATTCAGTTGGATTGCCAAAAATATTGGTCAAAAAGTAGCTTATAATCTCAAATTGATTATATTAACCACAATAAGACCTAAAAATATGCTGTTTCACAAAAATAAAGTATTTTTTATTATTTTAGGAACTGTCTTAATTTATCTAATTATGGGTGTATTGACATTGATGCGGACGAATTATTAATGCAACGTAGATTTTTCTGACAGTTTTAGATTAAATAATAGATTGTGTACGACTATGTATGTGCATAGGTTATCAAAACAAAGTTTATAGACATATATAGTCAGACTTTTAATTCGATTCCTGAATTGACATTGACCACTGTCATTTTGTGAAATAATGATACCACATATAACAGTGTAGTGATGAACACAAAAATCGATAAACAATCAGTGAATCAGTTTCAGGAAGCCATTCAAAAAATTACGGCTACCGAATGGTCTTATTGTGTATCCCATGTTTTCAAAGAAATGAGTAAGCTAGATATGTTAATTGACAATAAATATCAAAGACACAATTCATAATAAATGTTACATAGAGTAACGGCGATAGCGATAGCGATGACGGCGACAATTTATAAAATTTCTGTTTTATTTGTCACGTTCCTTCATGATCACATTTTTTATTAATTTTACACACAATTACAAAAGAAAAGTCTCAGATCGTTAATTAATTGTCAAAACTAAATTATCGGTTCAGAAATATTTTATTTCCTGATAAACTTAGTTTACGAGAGTAAATTTATAAAAGAGAGGAATCGATTCAGAAAAATTCGATTTCCATATCGAATAATTTCGCAACGTCACTATTTATTACGTTTACTATTTATTCCAGATTTGACAATTTCAGTGTAGCAACGTTATGACACGTAATAAATAGTGACGTTGCGAAATTATTCGATATGGAAATCGAATATTTCTGAATCGATTCCTCTCGTTTATAAATTTAATCTCGTAAACAAAGTTTATCAGGAAATAAAATATTTCTGAACCGATAATTTAGTTTTGACAATTAATTTACGATCTGAAACTTTCTTTTGTAATTGTGTGTGAAATTAATAAAAAATGTGATCATAAAGGAACGTGACAGATAAAACAGACATTTTATAAATTGTCGCCGTCATCGCTATCGCTATCGCCGTTACTCTATGTAACATTTATTATGAATTGTGTCTTTGATATTTATTGTCAATTAACATATCTAGCTTACTCATTTTTTCCTCTTCTTTGAAAACATGGGCTACACATTTAGACCATTCGGTATCCGTAATTTTTTGAATGCCTTCCTGAAACTGATTCAATGATTGTTTATCGATTTTTGTGTTCATCACTACACTGTTATATGTGGTATCATTATTTCACAAAATGACAGTGGTCAATGTCAAATCAGGAATCGAATTAAAAGTCTGACTATAGATAATAATTTAAAGTGAGGACATCACTAACTAATGTCAGTTCAATGGACGCCAAATCTTGTCAATTTGTCAAATACTTAATAACCTCAAAATTTAGAACGCCGCCTAAGTGTAGTGAATTTTCAATTTAATAAAAGTAAGAAGGACTTAACTAGGTCTATTCTAAAAAAAAACTCAAATATATTGATTATTTGATTGAAAACGTTCAGATTTCCAAACTAAACAGTGACCATGGCTGATGATGGTGAAAATGTAAGTGGTAATTTATTTTCCTACCTAGTGTTGTTATTTATTTACAAATCCGTATTTTTTACAATTTACTTTTTTTGATCCTCAAATAAGTTTTTTAATTACTTACAAATTCTAATAAAATTTCAGGTATCTGTAATGACAGTAAAGGAGCCCTTGGACCTCATTAGATTAAGCTTGGATGAAAGGATATATGTAAAAATGCGAAATGAACGGGAATTAAGGGGGAAATTACATGTAAGCAAGCTTGGTTATCAATTCTATCTTATCTACAACAATATTTACACTAATGAGTTGTTATATGTGTACCACACTGCGTGATGCGTGTGGTAGGAGTTAAGGGTGGTGTTTTCTTTAATGGTCACCTAACAGTTATTAGGTTTTGAAATCTTCCCTTACATACCGACATGTAGTCAAAAATTGTGCCTAACTATTGCATGAGAATAGGCATTGTACACACGGTTCCAGTCCAATAGAGGGGTACAACTGACAAACAGTAACTCCCTCCCAGTATGGAGACACAGAACTAAGTAAGAGACGGTATTTTCCGTTCTGTCTCACCACCAAAAAAGAAATTGACATGATAAACTATCTGATGTGTAATATAATTATGCAATTTCTGCTAATTCTTTAAGATATAAAATATCTATGTCATTTATATCTTAAAGAATGTATGTGAAAACTTGTTTACAAGTTGACACTTACAATGGCTATCAAGTGTCACATTGTTTCTTGTAGCTGTAACTTTTCAGATGTTAAAATTAAAAAAAAAATGTGTCACATTTGTATATAAAAAACAAGTAAGTTATTCATTTCTTGCACCCCATACATATGTAATTAATTTTAACTTGTATTTTAGAATCATGTCTACCATTTTCAAATTCATTTATTTTTGCATTATTACAGGCTTATGACCAACATTTGAATATGGTACTTGGTGATGCAGAAGAAACAATAACAACGGTTGAAATTGATGAGGAAACTTATGAAGAAGTTTATAGAACCACTAAGAGGAACATTCCCATGTTATTTGTAAGAGGTGACGGAGTCATACTCGTGTCTCCTCCTGTTAGAGTTGGAGTGTAATTTAGGATTAATATAAGTTTATTTAAAATAAAATTTACATTTAAATATTCAAGAAAATTTTATTTCTTCCTCCCTAAAAGCTTAATAACACTTTCATTCTTAAAATTACGATTCTTAGGCACCAATAGTTCATCTTCATCCATTGGCTCAATGATCTTGCCTGCTTTTGTGATGACACTAGGACGGATCAGTTTCTTATGTGCCTTTTCAGGTATAAATGTGTTCCCTAGAGGTGCTCTTATTGATGCCTCATAGTCCTTAACACTTTCAAATGGGAATGGTACATCTTTTACTTTATGTACTGCAAGCTTAGGATCTTTGAACTCCTTGATTATAATGTCACCTTTGTTTTCGTCGCGGCGTGGCATTTTAGGTGGAGCTCTCAGAATAAACCTGTTCTTTTTACGTTTCTGTGGCTTTACACCTTTTCCTCCCCAATCACCCCAACCAGGTAATGTAAGATTAATATCTTCTGGCTTGTCTTTGTTTATTTCATCTTCTTTTTCTTGCCTGAAACTTGCTACAACATCATCTTCTTCAAATACCTCTTCTATGTTAACTCTAGGTACTACTTGATCATCATCTAGCTGATCATATTCATTTTCAACCTGAGATATAGCAGTGTTCAAAAATTTTGGCTTAACTTCAATAAATCTGTTAGGATCAATATTAGCATCAGAAGATTCTTGAACTGGAGCTTGGGCTGCTTTTACTAATTCAGAGATTGTATCTTCTTTTTCCTTGTTTACTATTACATCAGCTGTTTTAGATGAACTTTCAATTAATTCTTCATCAATGACTGCTTTAGCTTTCTGATTTTTCAGCTTAAGGTATTCTAAATTATCTTGAGATTTATTTTTAGTATCATCAACAGTTTCAACATCCCAATTTGAAGTGGCAAGAGGCTTTTTAACTTTTGATTTAGCAGCTGCTTTCTTTCCTTTCTTTGATCTAACAGCTGCTAACTTTACTACCTCTGATTTAGGAGCTGTTAACTTTACTTCTTTTGGTTCAGGAGGTGGTGACTTTTCTTCCTTCAAAGACATTTTCTTTATAGTATTATTTACAACATCTTCATCACTGTCACTATCGTCAGATTCCTTCTGCTTGTTCATTTTATTTTGAACAAATTTCTTATAACCAAAGTCAAATTCAGCATTGACATTAGATTTGTCTGATCTCTGTACCATCCAAGGATTGAAAGGATCTTGTGACAAAGTAAAATTAGGTGTTGGTTCATCATCAGCTTCATCATCTGAGCTCTGATTATCTTGGACCTTTTTTGTAAGACTTCTACCAACGGCCAGCTGGTCTGCTAATTGTTGTCTTACCTGAAAAGAAAAAAGATTTTTGTAGTACACTTACAAAATTTCTTCTGCTGTGATAAGTTTGTTTTGTTCTTGTTTCAAGTTTGATCCAAGAAATATTGGGTAGTTACATTATCAGAATTTTCTAAAGTTTAAATAAAAGGGATTGAATGATTATACTTCAACACCTGGTTTTAATGTTATGTTAATGCATTCATATCTAAATATGTACATAACATTAATAAAAAAGTTTAGGTAGTTACCTCTTTATCATACTTGGCTCTGATCAACTTATTCTTTGCCCATTTGCCTGTGCTCTTATGCCTCAAAGTGTGTCTCTCTAAAGCTCTAGCTTTCTCAATAGCTTCCAGTTTTTTCAAAGCTTCCTCTGGATCCCTCTTTTGAAGCTCCTCAAATTCTTTCAGTTCCTGTTTTAACTTTTCTTTCTTGAGAACTCTGTAAAGATTGATTTTCGAAATGACTTATTTGTTTATATGTAATTGTTTACTGGTGTGTTTAATTCTTTAATAATATAGTGTGACATTGAATGACCGTTTACTCTTAATGAGTAGGATAGGCAGCATTACAACTTCAATTTTCACACTGATTTTGGATGATGCCTACATTTTACATTCAACTTGCCGAGCATGGTTCTGGAAAAGTTCAAGGGACTCATCAGGTGAGTCACTTGACGTGCTAAAGATCTATGTAGATGAAGACGCACTCAGCAAACAATAGACACACTATTATAATGTGAAATTATACAGTGTTCCAAAGTAGTGCTTAGAACTTTTCCTATTTTAACATTATGAGGTTGTAATAATGTGGTAAAAGTATTAAAGTCACCTATGTTATTAAACAGCTACTAGTTACCAGAAACAAAACTCCATTGTCACTTGATAAACAAACAACAATACAATATAATGCTTGGTGCTTACCTGTGGAACTTTTTACTCTTAATTTTGCTTTGCCTTTTCGCTTTAGCGGCTTTATACGACTGTTGTGCTCTCATTTTAGCCAGATGTTGCCTATATTCTACCATTTCCTCATAACTCTTGGGATAGATTGGCTCTTCCTCTTCTTCATCTTCAATCATAGGCTGGGGATCTACTTCTTCTAGTTCCTTTTCAAGTTCGGATTTTAATTTAAATTTAGTCAAAAAATCTGATGTTGGTTCAAGTTTTGCAGATACATTTTTTATTGGAAAAGTTACATAATCTACAGTACGACTTCTTGCTACGACTGGGTCCCATCTTCCTACTTTCTTCTTCGTCTCTTCATATCCCGTCGCTCGCTTGATACGCTCAGCCTGTGGCTTCTCCAATGGCTTACTCAAAACTTTCGCCCCACTTTGAGTCTTCTTCAGTTTTTTACTTATCTTTACGTGGTGTGCAGTGTCTTCTAACACTTTAGCAACATTGTCAATGTTCAGTTTATTTGTTCTTTTGATTAAATTAAACTCTGAGTTAAGATTTGTAGGTTCGTTTCGTGTAGGCTCTGTTATGTGTTGCGTTTTATCTAACTTCGATACTGCACTTATTAAACGGTCATGTTCCAAAGCTACTAAATCTGTATCTTCAATGTCATCCATTTTATCAAAATTATATTAGTACGCACGTAACTTAATAAAATAACAATAAAACGTGATAATTATATTTTTATAACCTAAAAATACCACTCTCATCTCACTTCTCACTGCGAAAAACTGACAACAATAAATGACATGACATGTCTATGACAAATGACAGTGACAGTGTTGTTAAAAAAATGCAATAGAAAAAATCGTAATTGTTAAAGCGGTATTGAAAATAAGACTATTTGTCATGTAGTAACCGCAAATTAATTGAAGTTAAAGTATTGCATTAACTAGGATTGTTCTGGTTTATTGCGGAAAGTCCTACACACTTATAAAGTATAGTTGTCAATAAAGTTTAAATGATATATGGCAACTTTGGCAAACTGAAAAGTTAAATACTCCAAATAATGTTCTATTGAGGTACAACCTTGTCGTTTATTTCTTATGGTTGTATGATTTTGCCTCAGTCTGCTATATCAAAAATAAAATATTAAATACATAACTTAAAAATATTTCCAATAATTAGAAAGACAGTGAGCAGCTCTAGTACAATATAGTCCAGAGGCTTACGCCAGGTTTGTATCCTGATCCATTCCAGAGCCATTTAATAAAATGTAAGTCCATCATTTTGATAATCAAAATAATGTAATGATGATATCAACTTACAATTTTATTTTATTCAGCACTTTTAATTGAGGATTGTCGCAACACAATCACTACAGTCCTAGCGCCTACTTTAAAACTTTATTGACTAATTGACTTTTAAATCTGTTATAATGTGTGACATATAGATATGTATTTAATAATTTTCTAAACCCAACAACTCATGATTACCTCGTTTGTACCTATAATTTACAAATTGAAACCGAGACCTTTAGTTCGGCTGCTGCGCATGTGCAATAAGACTGAAAAAGTTAAACACTTCGTTTATGGCTAGGTAGTACTTCGTATGAGACGATTTTAGCAATATTTTGAGTCTTAATATCAAAATTACTATTGCATATTTTGTATCCTGGTAAAAAAAGGTCACAAGTAGGTTTTGCACCTGCCGAATAAGAAGGAAACATTATCGGAAATTTTAGAAATCACAATAACAGAGTTCAGGAGGATGTTCTTCGTGCGTAATTTATGAAATAAAAGTAATATTTTACACTACTTCAGTTTCCGCACTGAAAACTGACGTCTTTATTTAGCACAATCTTACAAATGGGCCCTTTGTTTGTAACAAATTATTATGTAGGTACCTAGCTTTGTATATTCAATTATATAATAATATTAATAAATATCTTACATTGTAATTCTTTTCTCCAAGATGATCGTCAGTTGAGCTAGATAAATATAAATTTTGTCCAATCCTATGGAAATATTAAAATAACATTAATAATTTAATTATTAATATTAAACGATCATGTCTACGAGTAGATACCTATATTATTCAAAATTCAGCAGCAGGCGTAAATTATTTTAATTATCTACGTAAATCTACAATTGCACCTACTGCAAGTATAAAAACAGGGAGAAATGAGTATTGAAAAAAAAAAGATTTTAAATTCAATATTTAGTGTTCTTTCTTTCAAAATGACTAAACACTAACTCTATGATAGAAGTGTTACGCTGGAGCGCATGGAACAGTAGGTAGAGGGCTTATTTTGAATAAGGGTCAAAATAAAACTACCTACCCTCAATCGACGAGCTCAACATGCGTGAAGAAATTGATAGATGTAGTTGAAAAGAAAAATGTGCGCGAGATGCGTGTCATTAGATGTTCTGTTGCCTTTGCCTTCTTGTCTCTTGTCTACATGAGACTGCGAAATTAGTTGTGTACTTCTTGGTCAACAAGTTCTTCCGATGAAGATGATGGGAGATCTTCGTCGTATTGTTGTAAATGTCGCCGTTTACGCTTCATCTTTCGTTGGTTTTTACGAAATATTTTTATTTCCTCTCTGCAATTTGCTTTAATACATTTCCTGTAACCAGAAAAAGAAAACATTTTAGTTTAGGTGCCCAGTCGATATTGAAACCAAATCGAACGTTTGGAAACCCCTTTACCCCCTTTGGTCAGCGATGAACATATCCCGATGTTGTTTTTGTAAAGAGTTTATTTAATTTTGAAGGCACTCTAAATAGCTGGTTGGCAACCACCTACCCTTTAGTGATCTAGACATGGTTGCAGTTGTTGAACGTACGTATTTTTTACCCGTTGTACTTGCAGAAGACTATCATTAGCTTTTATAAAGAGAAAAAAATGTTACAATACCTCACTAAATCCTTAGGAACATCACATTTTGAGGCTACTGTTCTCACAATATCCTCGACGAGTAATGGATTCAGGACTCTCTTTGTTGGTTTCTTCATGTAAAATGTAGGCTCCGATCCAAGAAGTGAATATTGGGCTAAAACACTAAAAGGCATACCAGGCATGACATAAGTTTAGCTGTATTAATATTTTTATATATTGTGGAATATGTAAGTAATTACCTTCGTGGAAAAACTGATAACAGTAATTGTCGAGTTGCTAATCTATATGAATTCCAGTCAATTGAATTCACTACACATCCTGGAACTTTAGCAAAACCAGTCCCGATTTCAACCTGAGGCCCAGAAAATACAGCATTATTCGTCAAAATCTAATTAATAAGTAAGTAGTTATACATAAATATATATAGTGCAGAAACAGTTCTTACCAGATTGTTGCAATTTCTACGAATATTACTAAAAGAAATCTTAGGTAACGTCCTGCGCCGCTTGCGGTGATGCCTTGAACCATTTAAAACTAGACCAGACTGAGATCCTTTTCGTTTCAATCTAAAACGTCGTCCGTTTCGTTTGTCTACACCTTCCACATCTTCTACACCTATTTCTTCGTCCTCACTCCTATTTTCTTCTTCCAAATGTAAATTATTCAAGCTTGCCTGTTGGGCACGCTCGTTTTGTTCAATAGCTTCGATATCCTCTTGTGCAATCATTTCTTGATCTTTTTCTTTAGACGACAATTGGTACGTCGTTATATCTTCATCATCCGGATTAGGATCATCCTGTGCTTGCTCTTCATCGTTTTCTTCAGTAGAAGTAGTAAAACCACATTCTTCTAAAAATTTTAGCATTTCTCTCTCAATATAACTGGCACACATTTTTAATTTCCGTATTCGTTTCCAGAATGTGTTTTCTGCATCAGATTTGTTATTTCGGTCATTGCTGGTTTCATTTATCGGTGTGTGAGCAGGTCTGTCAACTATCGGCGGCGAAGCAGAGCCCTGCTTCGGCTGGCTGTCAACTATCGGTAAGGGAGCAGGTTGGTCGACTATCGGTGGGAAGTCAGGGCTGCAAACTATTGGTGTGGGAACATGTCTTTCAACTATCGGCGGAGAAGCAGGACTGTCAACTATTGGTGTGAGAGTAGGTCTATCAACTGCCGGTAGGCAAGCAGGGCTCTCAACTATCAGTGCATGAGCAGGCCTGTCAATTATCGGCGGTGAAGCAGGGCAGTCAACTGTTGGCGGAGAAGCAGGCCTGTCAACTATCAATGCATGAGCAGGTATGTCAATTATCGGCGGCGAAGCAGGGCTGTCAACTATTAGTAAGGGAGCAGGTCTGTCAACTGTGGGCGGAGCAGCAGGGCTGTCAACTATCAGTGCATGAGCAGGCCTGTCAATTATCGGCGGCGAAGCAGGGCTGTCAATTATTAGTAAGGGAGCAGGTCTGTTAACTGTCGGCGGAGAAGCAGGGCTGTCAACTATCGGTGTGGAAGCAGGTTTATTAAAACTCGTCGAGTGAGTGGGGCCGTTATCTACTTGTGGGGGAGCAACGTCGTTAACTATTGGTAGGGTAGCAAAACCGTTAACTACCGGTGGAGGTGCAGGGCCATTAGCTATCGATAGAGGAACGGGTTCGTTCACTATCAGTGGGGGTGTAAGGCAGTTGACTATTAGTGGAGCAGCAGCTGGGCTGTTAATTTCCAGTGGGGCCTGTTGGGCTGCAGGATTGTCAATTACTGGTTGCGCGGCTGGGCCTTTAACCACTGGATGGGCAGCAGAGTCGCTAACTACGGGTAGTGGAGCAGGTCTATCCACTGTCGGCGGGGAAGTAGGGCCATTAGCTATCGCCGGAGGATTTAACCCATTAGCTATCGGTGGGGCAGCAGAGCCGGTAACTACAGGTTGTGGAGCAGGTCTATCCACTGTTCGCGGGAAAGCAGGGCCATTAGCTATCGCCGGAGGATCCAGCTCATTAGCTATCGGTGCGACAGCACGGCCGTTAACTACTAGTTGAGCCGGCTGGGCCGCAGGGACATTAACTGCTGGCTGGGCTGCAGGACCGTTAATTACAGGTAGTAAGGCAGGCCTGTCAATTGCCGACGGGAGAGCAGGGCCATTAGCTATCGCTAGAGGATTAAGCTCATTAGCTATCGGCGGGGCAGCAGGGCCGTTAACTACCAGTTGAGCCGGTTGGGCCGCAGGGTCATTAATTGCTGGCGGGGTTGCAGGACGGTTAATTACAGGTATTGAGGCAGGCCTGTCAATTGCCGGCGAGAGAGCAGGGCCATAAACTATCGCTGGAGGATTAAGCTCATTGGCTATCGGCGGGACCGCAGGACCGTTAACTACCAGTTGAGCCGGTTGGGCCGCAGGGACATTAACTGCTGGCGGGGCAGCAGGACGGTTAATTACAGGCAGTGAAGCAGGCCTGTCAATTGCCGGCGGGAGAGCAGGGCCGTTGACAACCAGTTGGTCTGGTTGGATGGAATAACGATAAATTGTCCGTGGGGGACACAGGTCGTAAATTACAGGTGGTATAGGAGGTCTGTTATATATTGGTGGGGCAGCAGGACCGTTCACTACCGGTTGAGGCGCAGCTCCGTTGACTATCGGTTGAGGCACTGCTCCGTTGCCAATGAGTTGGGGCGCAGCTCCGTTGGCAATCGGTTGATGCACAGCTCCATTGAAAACTGGCCGGGGCACAGCCACAGGTCTGTTGCTAATCGGCTGGGGTGCAGGTCTATTGATATACAGTTGGGATCCAGCTCTGTAATTTATAGGGTTGGGAGCAAGTCTGTTTGCCAATTGCCGTCTTCTTTCATCGTCAACCAAGTTAGACTGAAAACGTAACGTAATTATTAGATATTAATAAATTGTATTAACAGATGCAATATTTAATGGGTTAATAGCTTATATTAATAGCTTGTAGTAAGTAGTACAGATGTCGCAGTTGGATTGTATAATACGCCGTATTATATATTATCAAAACTGGGTCGTTTTGGAATACGTTCGGTTCCGTTTGTGCCTGCGACATAGATAATACAGTGAAACCTGGTTAAGTGAGACATCAAGGGACCTGCAATGTCGTTTCACTTATAGAGGAATTCCACTTACCCAGTGTCTCAGATATACCATTCCAGGTTCTCAGATATGCCTTTAGGTCCCATTAATAGAGGTGAGAATACGGGTTATTTCAGTTATACAGGTATACAGTCAGTTATTCAGTGATACATAACACGTTATTTTATTTAATGATCGCATTAAATAAAATAACGTGGTATGTATGTAAATAAGTTTTAATAAAAAAAAAATAGTACTTAAAGGTAATCATAATCACAAACTTTTTCGCGTGTCTTCCCACTTTCATAAACGGATATTAACTTCAGTTTTTCACGTAATGATAACGATGGTAGCTTTCGTTTTGGCATTTTTCAAATAAACATCTGTATCATAGTAAAGCGAAACTAAAACTGAAGGTAATTGAACCTCTAAATTTGTACTTACGTTCTTGGAATTACGTGTGGAATTTGTGGGTAAAATAAGAATGAGTAAACAAACAATGTTATCTCAGTTACAGAGGTGTATGCATATAAAATTTACTCGCTGTCTCAGTTATAGAGGTAACTATGATGATAAATCGATAGAACAAATCCCAGATATGCAGGTTTGCCTCGTCCCACTAACAGAGGTAATTCAGTGCCAAATTGTTGGGACCTCAGCATGAGTTCCAGTTATGGAGGTTTCTCACTTATCCAGGTCCCACTTAACCAAGTTTCACTGTAATATAAAATGGATTTACTTACTGATATTCTTCCCTCATCTTCACTGTCGCTACTATCGCTATTGCTAGTACTTGTTTGACCAGTACGCCGATTTATTATCAAATTAGGTAGATTATGTCCGTCTTCACTACTATTCGGTGGCTCCTCTACGTGCAAACAATAGGTCTGAAAATAATTATACATGTGCATGGTAAATTATCTGTTTAAAAATGCTCCTACGACGCGATGTTGACGAATATTCAAGTATGGGGCAACATTTTTTTCAAATAAAAAGAAACCTTGTCAATGGTTGTTTAGTTCGCAAAATAAATTAAAAGATGGCGCCACTCGTTTAAACGTTAAGGTTGAGACCGATCAGTCACCCGTTGGAAAGAGCACCGAAATGGTCTTTCAGGTTGAAATCCCGCTCTTCAGTCGTATTATTTGGTCTTTTGAAGTTAATTCGGTTGTTAAGTATGTATTATCGTCGTATTTGTTATCCAGTATTAATAAAACTTTTTGAATTTGTTCTGAGTAGTTCCAAAATGTCATCCAGTAACGTCACGTGACTTTGTTCAATTTATATTGCAATGAAGTGTTCGATCCGGATTATAACTACGATGGTAGTTACGTAGGTAGGTACATACTATAGTAATATAGTACTTATATACCTATCATCCATCATGGAACAACAAATGGTATGTGTTTATTGACCAAAAAATATTTTATTATTAACCTAAATTATTTACAGATTCTTTATTTCATGTCTGTATGTCAACGATATATCGTATAAGGCGGTAACATACTAAGGTGCCTTGGCGTATTGAGTTGAGACGCACCAGTATCTAACACAATTAAATCAAGTACTTATATGGCTTGAGATAAATCTACTTATTCGTCGTATCATGTAAAATATAAAACGTATCACGACACGCCACGCCACAGCAAAGAAGTATGTTTCCGCCTTTTTAAAATTTGCCATGATGTATCTTGGTACATACGTAATAATGCATGATGGGTTGTTTCATTATCTGTACTAATATTATAAAGAGGTAAAATTAGTAAGTTTGTATGCAGGGGGTAATCTTTGGAACCGCTGCGCTGGTGGGATTGCCAAAATTCCTTCACTGATAGATAGCCACAATGTTCGTGTTCCTGAGAAGTATAGGCTTTAAAACATCACGCTACGATCGAATGGAGCTGCGCAGCGGGTGAAACTGCGCGAGATTAGTTAGTATTAGATAAAAGGTTTAATTTTTTGTAAACATTGTATCGAACCCGCAGTAGGTATAACTCCTGAGCGAAGACTACACTTCTGATACGGCCATTGACCGTACCACGTGACCAAAACAACTGAGCAGAGGCCTTTTTTGTGACAGAGAAGATTCAACCACTAGTCACCACGCTTGCTGAATAAAGATTCACGGTTTCAAAACAATAAGTAGGCTAGTCATCAGAGATGCTTAAATAATAGGTGTAACAAAATACATAATTAAGTACCTATACCTCGGGAAGATCACATTGGTAGTACCTGCTTTGTTTCGAACCCGTAGGTACATTCATGCATGAGAAGAGGACGCCTTAGCCCGAAGGCCATCGTGAATGAATAAATTCTGTAACTTTATTAGATGTATAATGCCAAAATAATGAAATATACATGTCTAGTATTTAATGGTTAAATTAATTTACATTTGTTTTTGCTGTTAGTACATTTGATTTTGTCATGATTAATGACTTAAATCTGTTTTATCACTATATTGCTGCAGACGATTGTTATAACATTTTACTGTTTACGTAATATTTTTACTTATTCGTTGCTTTGTTTATTACATCTTCTCTGTCATATACATATAATACTTAAATGGTGGCTAAACGACTGCTACGCAACTGTCGCGGATTTTTCATACGGAAAAGTTTTTTTGTTGTGATTTTCAAATTGTTGTACCTTTTTATGTAATAGGACGGCAAACGATTAGACAGATATCCTGATGGTAAGCAATCAGCTCCACACATGGACACCCGCAACAAAAAAGGAGTGACCTTTTGGGGATTAAGGACTTGGGAGATTTAGGGATTGGGGGAGGATTAGAATTGGGCCTTTGGTAACCTAACTCATACGGCGAAATAGACTGCTGTCATTGTTTCTCGCCAGTTTTCTGTGAGGCCAGTTAATCACTCCAGTCGAGCCTACCCGAAGCAGGGCTCTCCCACACTTGTTCCATGAACATGTAAGTTTATAAACTACTTAGTGTGTGTTTGTTTATTCAAGTAAAATATTGATGTCCTTGCAGGAATGTAAACTTCCAGAGCAAGCAGTAAGCATCGCCTTTTGTATGATGAATAGCCATAAAATATTACCAGGAATGAATAGGCTTACAAGGCTTTTGTTTCATTTGAAAAGTAACTTACAAAAAATCATTGAACTACCCAAAACCCCGAGGGGCAACGTTTTCGAAACAAAAAAAAAGGGTGGGTGGTAATAAAAAATATTTTTTATTTATAAACTTTGATTTTTGTGTTAGAGATTTATTATAAAATTCACTTATAATATTGCATTACTTACAAATTGTAATTAAAAAAAAATACAAAATCAATGGGAGATCAGCCGGGTGTGCAAACACAGTCCAACTACCGGTGATTAGCGCCCTGAAATCTATGCCTGCCGTCTTGAGAAGAAGATAACAAACCTAAGATAATAGGTAAGCCTTCTGTATCCTTGATCCATCCATTCCGATGCCAGCTTTATTAGATCGTTAGATGGCTTATCAAGGATTTTGAAAATTCATATAAAATAAAAACCGAATCGCACAGAAACATCGGGCATTACCAAATTATAACGACTGTACCCGATCCGAAAATTGGAGCATATTGCGTGGAGTCAAGCTTATCCTACTATCCTACTATCCTACTGTCCTACTATCCTACTATCTTACTATCCTACTAATCCTACTATCCTACTCATCATATTAATATTATAAGTAAATGTGAAAGCTTGTGGGAATGTATGTAGGTATGTATGATTGTTATTCCTCTCCGCAAAGACTGCTGGACCGATTTGGTTGAAATTTAGTATGTTGACAGGTGATATACTGGAAAAACACAACGACTGTGTATTCCGATTTTCTATTTACTATATCTGCTCTTCTTTACAATCATGAGTGCATTTCAGAAGAAGGAAACGACTCCTATTTCCTCTTGCTTTGCACCATAGCCTCGACACTGAACGGACGTAAGTCGCCGCCGCCCATCACTTCCCTGAGGATACGGCAGTGCTTAGTCCAAGTACATTCTCGTTACATTCATTAAGCGCGTCCTATTTTAGGTGGACCTCGCAGCCTATTTACGAGTATAACTCATCATCGAGTTCGGATTTGTGTTTGACTGTGTGTGTGTATGTGATATTTTGGCGTAATCCATATTATTTGTTTTCAACCACAAAAATAATTTGAGTTTAAGCAACTACTTACATATTTACTCAAATCGCAGATGCTGACATCAATACAGGTAAAGATTTAGACAATTGTTATTGTTTCAAACCGTCCTTTCTTTGTACCTATGTCTTGTGTAATCTTATTTTTTTTTCAGAAAGGTGCAGAGTTTATGAATACCCTCCTTTTTGTTCAGTATTAGTCAGGTACTGCCTCAGGGGATAACAATTTTTTATCAATGACTTGCAATAGCACCCCCAATTTCATCATTATTTATTATCTTCACTAAACTCTTTTGAGTAGATAGAAATGGGTCTGTCTTTGACAAAAGCTTTTTTACAAGTTCGGCTTATTTTTGCTTTGCATGGTATTCCTCATTGGCGAATATGCAAATACAAAGACAAAAATAAAATTGCAAATGTAACAAAAGAACACAACAATAGACCTTTCAGCGCTTTTTTTCTGTAAGCCGCTTAGATAGTCAGTCAGTGGCCAGAGTTTTACGTACAAGTTACGACATGTTTAACTTTGACTGCACGGTTGCCGTGGTGGCTGGGCAACTGGCTGCCGCGCAACACGTCGTGGGTTCAGTTTCCCATAAATCGTTGTTCCGGGTTTGGGTAGTGATGTGTATATGAAAATGTATGTTTGTAAACGCACCCACGAGCCACGACACAGGAAAAATCCTTTATGTTACAAAAGAAGTACTTACTTAATTTTTTTATTGTCTATAAGCAAATTGGTACGACATGTCGTTCTGTGCAACGTATAGCGCTCGAAGCCTACAAAAAATATTTCCACAAATTTTTACTTTCAACAAATGTAGATAAATTATATATTGGATCGAATTGATCATAAGCAGTCCATACGGGTTTATTTAAAAAAATCAACAACCTCGCATTACCGTACCTATTATTAACATCATCATGAACAACAACGTTTGTTCTGAAATCTGATTTTGTTACGTACCTTGTATAGTATGATACGCCTTGAATTCCATATTTAAATAGAATATTATTTTATACCTATGTATTTCAATAAATTGAAGTTTTAATCAATTCCTTTTTTACATTTTATTGACTTGTTGGTCAAGTTACGCCTTAAATGAGACCAATAACATGATCTAATAATCGTACATCATATTTTTCTGACTTTTGCTTTTGGTTTAAAAAAACGTTATTGCACTAGTATTTTTTCCTGTATTCTGAGTGCGTTAATAAACATACAATTTCACACGTATACACATCACAACCAGACATCAATCAAAAAACATCAATTTGTGGACAATGAGTTGAAAGAAGATTGACCTTTCGGAGTATGAAACGTGTACATGACATTTGAAAGTATTTCTTTTTTTATTTCATAGTAATTAATTGCACTTACTTCAACATTATTTCTCATACTTCTGACAGTGCGAAAACATCTATTCAACATATCAGTCATATATTTCTCCTGTACATCCGAACGCATTTTTTTATCCCTGACTGCTTTTCTGTTCTCTGTAATCAAAATAAACATGCAATGAGTTCTAGTTCTATTCAATTATGCTTCTTATATCAGCATAATTAACAGCGACTTTACTTTGCGCGGAGAAAAAATGCCGTACCCAGTGGTATATATTAATGTACATCACCCCATCATCATCATCATCATCACCACAAAAAATCCACTGCTAAACCTAGGTCTTTTTTTATTAAATAAAAACGTTGCCCCACACTAGGATTTTCTCCTGTGTCGTGGGTGCGTTTATAAACATACAAATTCACATACACAACACACCCAGACTCGAAACAACAATTTGTGAATCACAAAAAGTGTTGTTCCATGCGGGAATCGAACCCGCGACACGCTGCACAGCAGCCAGTTGCCCAGCCACTGCGCCAACCGTGTAGTCAATTCCCAAGTGACTTTTTTCCCCAGTGACTTCTACCTTACTGTAACACAGGTCACCTTATCAGGTCGTCTTACCCTACGCTTGCCCGTAAGTAGGTAGGTACTTGGTCTCAATTTGAGAACCTTTCTCCCGTTTTTAAGAATGGTTTATTTATGATATGTGGAAGATAATTGAAAGCTTTTAAAGGAAAAGCATGGTTCACGTTGAGGTGGATCTGACGTTAAGGCGCCCACTTCTCATGGATGTTGGAGGTGGTTGTGGATTCGTAAACTGGCCCAATGTGTCTTGTTCTGACTTATAAAGTGCATATAGCACTTTCGAAGTTTATTAAGACACTGAAATACGGTAAAGGAAAACGGTAAAAAAAGGTAGGTGTTATTCTAGACAAATATATAAAATAAAAATATATAAAAATATAGGCACCTTTTGTAACAGTTATATTCGTATTGAATGGATAACAGGGTAACAAACGTTGGTACATTTACGCATCCTTAGAAATTAGAAGGAGGTGGTCATCGTATTCCTTCAATTAGGAAATATAGGCAATGCCTACAGTTCCTAATCTATTGCTGTCGTCCACTACTACGAAACTAACTCAATACAATGAAAGTCCTGTAAGTCCACACAAGATCCTAAGACCGAGAATAAATTAATCTCCATTAACAAATTAATAGGTACTTATGTAAATATTTCTAATATTAAAATTGTAACAACCTTCTTAAAATATTTTTATTAGAAGAATCTTAGAAGAAAAAACTTAATCAAGTTCAGGTCATCCATTTGCAAGGCCAGGGTTGCAGGCGTAAGCGCCAACAAAATATAAAGCGCCCCGGCCCGGCACTGGAGAAGGAATTCCCTCTCACCCCACCCACTGGGGCAGAAGTTATTTCATGATGATAAAAAAAACAAAGCCTGACAAGAGGCCAGTCTTTAAATGCGGCTGTCACCTAAGAACACGATTTGAGAAATATATAAAAAATACCTACTTACCAGATACAAATAAAATTTTTGCTCTAACGGGAGTAACGCCGTCCTCGCACAAGTTCACGATTCTTCCAGGGGTCCAAGTATTGTCATCGTGTCCCGTTCTGAATACGCGGACCATAACTTTTTGATCGAAAAGCGTAAACGGATTCCGAATGTTCTCCAATTCAGCTAATACCCAAAGTGTAGACATGATTATCGTCAATGATGCACTTTACGTGTCAAATATAATTTGCATTTGAATTTCTTAATTAAAAAATGAGTTTCCGAAATGTTAAAATGCTTGTAGAAATTACCTACGCTAATGTCAATTGATTAATAATTGACGAATGTGGGTTAGCGTAGATTTATCTTATACTTATCCGTTCATTAGCTGTCAACATTTTATTTCATGCATTTTTGTAGTAAAAATGGAGGTAGGTACTAGTAAAAGTTATAGTTAGGTCTACGTAGTTTCATTATCTAAGTACCTTTCTTGATAATTATTGTTATTGGTATGGTCGAGAGGACGAAGAGATACATTTTATCTGTCCTCTGTTTATACTCGAGTATCCCTTGGGCTGGAGTTTGGTACCTACCTTCTATCCTTAAAAATAAATTGTTTCGACTTTATTGCTATAATATATTAAAAAATAAGATTTTTTTCTACTATTTAATGCAAAGAAATAAGTGACGTCATAAGATTCATAAAAATGGTCGATTTTGAATATTACAAATGAGAATCAACCAACGCAATATAAACAGGGCTCTCGCCTCGCCTTTTATTATTTTTTAACGATTCTCTATTCTTGCGTCAAACTCTTGTTGTTGGTGCATTTGCAAACTTACGATTTCGCTTACACTCACACAAAGGGTCGGTGCGAGAAACGAGCCCGTTGCAGTTTCAGTGCATAAAATGTCTCCAAGCATTTCCATCCTCTTTGAGACGAGAGGTAGCGTTGATCCAGACACTTACTGACTATTAAACTATCCGCGACCCCGGCATGTCTACTTACATACTTACTTATAATCATTATCGGCGAATGAAACTATTTACATGAGTACCATGAAAGGGGTGCGGGCTCTAAACTGGCATGGTCATAACGATGTGACATTTCTCGAGTAATTATGTGTATGTACTTTTTAAGACACACATATATTAGTATTTTTTCCTAAAATTTTCTTGTTTTTTTTTGCGTATATGTCTATTGACATGCAGTTGAAAGGAATTAAGCTATTTGGTTCCCTTTCTTTATAATTACTAACATTATAAAATCCTACGGGATGATTAAATGTTGGTATCCCAAATCTTATAGGTATCTCCTCCTCCGCCTCATTTACTGAGCCACGGCGCAGTCTTTTGTTTTAGCCCAGGCGATGAATACGGCTGAAAACGTACGACTCGGCGCGTGTGCGTAAACTTGGCCTTAAGTTTGTACTAACTTTTAAACTTTCGCGTTTCATCTTAACAACATTATATTTACGCGGGTATTAACGCGGGTGATGAAGATTCATCACCCGAATGCAGGGAGCTGTGACATCGCGTCTTCAGTCTGCTTGTGACCACGACCTGTGCAACCGGGTCGAAACGTCAAGCCTACCAAGGTATTCAAATTATAATTTTCTTAAGTTTGTAGCCGACGAATATTAAGGTATCGTTGCTCACAAAGAGCTTAGCTGTAGTTGGTTGTAGCTTTCCTATTATTCAAACAAGTTGTAAGTACTTATTCATTAGTAAATCTGGTGTTGTAAGTACCGTGAGGTAGTAGATAAGCACTGATTGTTAACCATCAGGTGATGTGGTCTACTTAAATGCCAGCTTCCCATACAAATAAGCTAATAGGATAGTAGTCAGGATCATAATTGAAATGTTGGTAATTCATTATCCAATTTGAACAGTTTCGGATATTGACAATGGCTCTATTGTGTAGGAAATAATTAATAACACTAAAAATTGATTTGAAAATTTTATTTAAAAAAAAAACTGATCTGTTGCTCCTCTGTCGGTTAAGTTTCGGTATGAAAAACGTCAAATTGTACGTCAGATGACAACAAGAAACTTAATCAGACTTTGTGATACAGACCAAGTGAACCTTATTAACTAAGTTATACTAAGTACAAAAAAGTAAATTTATATGCGATTTAAAAAAATGATAAAATATACAAATACAAATTCATTACATAAATATGATTGCATTACATTTTACAAAAAAATGGAACTCGAAAATATTGCATTACATTTTACAAAAAAATAGAACTTCAATTAATAAAACAATAATTAAAAGGATAAAAAATATAAAAACGTACATTTATTGTAGATATAAATAAATAGCCAGATTACATCAATTTAAATTCATTCATAATAATTTTAGGATTTTATTGCAAAATATATTAAATTAAAAACATTTAAAAAAACTATTGCATCGTAATTGAATGACTCGAAGTCGTGGAATAAAAAATTACAAATCACAAAATAAATCACTTAGTCATAAAAATATAAAAAATAAAAGAAAAAAGGCGGAACTAATAAGAACCGTTTAAACCTTAACCTTAACCTAATTTAATAATAAACCGATCCTCATTTTCCGTAGTCGGTTACAAAGGCAGCCGTTTCCCTATCACGTTGGGGTCGGCGAAGCCTACACCAGAATGTCAGATGTTTTATAGAGTGACTGTCAGCATTGCACTACAACCCGCTATTAGGGTAATATCACATTCTTGGTTAGACTCGTTGTCAGATTTTGAGCTTCTGACCAAGTAACGGCTGTCACAGGTGTTCGTGTGACAACCGGGACCGACGGCTTAACGTGCTCTCCGAGGCACGGGGTCTAAACACTACAAAAATACGACTAAATAATCTATGCAATGTTAAAATTATTTCTTGTCTTGTCAAATTATGCTTATAACTAAATCGTCAACTTAAATACGTCGTGTGTCGGATCTTTTTACACTGTGAACAATAACGAAAGCGCTAATAATTTCAACTCATAAAATGAAAATTAAAGCGTGAAAATGTTGCTGCTGCATGCTGGAGAAAACTTAAACTTACTAAGACGCCAATGAGAATTTTTTTTTTGGATTGTATTGTATGGCCGGTGCAGACAAAAGACTTGACCGGTTGGGTTGACTCGGATGCATCACAAAATACGCTTATCACACTTATTATTTTATATATTAGGTATTGTGTTTTGTTAAGGGATTGTGACAAGAATACCCTGTGAAGCAACGATATCATGTTGTTACTAGATTTTTTTCACATTTTTTGGAATATTTTGTTGTCTGAAGCGGTCAATGGACGCTCATCTGCACAAGCCCATACAATAGACAAAAAGATCGTTTCAGTATGTTTTATGAGATCGTATCAAAAAATCGCTGGTAAATGTAAAAAAATGTTCGGTGGGATTTTTTTTTTTTGGATATCAAAATAGGTATGTAGGTAGGATAGATAGGCAGGATAGGCGGCAAGCGTCCAAAGTCTTGTACCATTCAAGTAACAAGTGCGTTGCCGGCCTTACGGGAGGGATTGGGGGAGTGGATTAAATGTGGACATATTTTATCATCACGGCTGAGGAGGTGGGATGTTTTCAATATTTCTTCTCTGTCTCGCTAATCGCCGTAACCTTCGACGCTTCTGATATAACTTCGCTTCATCCGTGCATTTGCGGGTGATTGCCGTCCTACAGATACACAAAAAAGAAACAGATATAATAAAGAAGCTATCAAAAATATTTATTGCCATTGAATTTTGGAAATAATGAAGAAGTTTAATATTACCTGACTAAATTCGGGGCAACATTACACCGACGGCAGACATATCTTACAATATCGTCCACAATAAGAGGATCGAGCAATTTTTTCGGTGGGCGGTTGAGAAAGGCAGGGGATGGCTTGCCAGTGAGGCTGTGTGTAGCTAGTGTCCTAAGTAAAGGAAAATTAAATTTGTTAGTTTCAATTATTTCAACAAAAGCAGTATTAAAAGACTGATTTTCCAATTGTCACTTACTTCCTCGTAAAAACCGCTTGTAAGAGTTTTCTGGTCACTTTGGTGTACATAGTATAGTCCGCCCCCTTAAGTATGCGCAAGGGCACCTTAGCGTTGCCCTCTCCGATAGGGACCTAAACACATACAACAATATAATATAGTTTGTTATTTAATAGGTAATAACCAGGTTTCAGGGGATTACTGAGAACTCTAAATTTCATGCTCGGTAATAGAGCTTACCACCTGAGGTAAGTGAGAAACCTAGTAGGAAATGTTATATTTATTCCATAGAGGATAAACTGGATAATTTATCTATGATTTTTACACACAAAAAAACATTGATGTACACAAAAATATGAACTTTATGAAAATAACTTCTTATTCACATAAATTAACTGAGAAAAGCTTTACTAGTACGTTGCGTTGGCACCACGCAGCCGAAACTAGAAAGTTAAAAAATTTTCTTTGTTGATTTACGTGAGTAAGCCGTTAATTTCATTATGTATGTCTACATACATTAACTATACAACAACAACAAAAAGTGACAAGTATTACCGTTTCTTCGTTAAATTTGCGTAAAACACAGTTTCCATCGTCGGAAGTTTCAGGTTCGTCCTGTTCCTGTTCGTGTTCGTCCTGTTCGTCTTGTTCGACCACTTCTTCCTGTTCTTGTTGACCATGTACAACTTCGATCGGATAACAGTTGTCGACTGTGTCGGGTTCACGATTCCGAGCTACTTCGGCATTATCGGGTTGAATGTCATCTGACGATGTTGATCCGCCACTATATTCATCATTTTGCTTCTCCTCTTCTGAATGACTATCCTCGTTACCAGAAGAACCATTGGCGCTATCTCTTCTGCCTAATGAAATAGTAAAATAAGTAGTTTTAGTACATTATTCCTAAGATAAAGGTTTAATATAATATTATTATTATACGGGCGCTATCGAAGCTTCTTTAGTTTCGTTTTTTGAATGTTTTAAATCTCCCAAGTAATTTGGATTGGGGAGTTAATGATGGATTTGGAAGAATCTCACTTCCGTTCAAGTTTAACATTCTAATTGATTGCCACTATATTTTTTTTATTAATTTAGCTCCACTAGTTGCATAGGGAAAATTGCATCGTCTTTCAGCACGCAACCAAAGATGCTGATGATGAACACGTTAAAAACGCCGTTGGTATTTTCGTTTATGTAAAATTTTGATCTGATGTGATAGATCCTATCATATTCTTAATTTTAATGAGAATTGTTTTTCGAACCCAAGTCTTCAGGAATTTTCTATATTTGTTCTTACGGTGTGCAAACTTGGCCTCTCACACAGTGTCAGAAGTTCAGGCTCAGGGTTTGCCAAAGGCAATGGAACGTAGCCTGTTAGGCATAAAACGTCCCGATCGCATACGGAATACCGTGATAAGTTCCAGAACAGGAGTCATTGATGTGGGCCAAAAATGGCGTGACGATCTAGACGCCTATCGTCGAGACTGGTGGACACGGTCGAAAGATCGGGAAGTGTGGAAGCGAGATGGGGAGGCCTTTGCCCAGCAGTGGGACATCACAGGCAAGAAAAAAAAAGGACTCGGGTATCCGTCGACCGACGAATAAAATAGATAAGAGATTCCAAGTGGATTTGATAACATAACAGCCAGTTTCAATAATCTTACTGAAGATTTCTGTTTTACATAATAGGTAAAATTGCAGCTCAAATATCTGAGTTTACCACTAGATAGATAACTGAGACTACCTTAGTCACCCATGATGGACTATACTTTTTATAGGTAACAAACAAGAGGACTCTGAAATTAACGAGACCAGAAGTTAAACTTCCAAAAAACTTATTTTTTCAAAAATAAATATAATTGTACAAGACAAAAACGACAAAACTAACAAAATAACAATATAAAAAAAATATGTGATTACCATGCACACCATGGCCAACGCCCGATTGCCCGCAAAAACAGAAAAGTTGCCAGTGCGTTACCGAACTTTTGGGGACCTTCGGGGGAACCGAATTAAACCTATTGTTAGAGTTACAAATGAACATTTTTTAACATTTTATTGCATTGATAATTTGAATGTTGAAACAATTTATTTATAACTGAAGAAAGTACTGAATTCCTAAAAAAACTATTTACGTAAATGATTGATTTATGATTTTAAGATGACAAAAATATCCGAAATTAACAGAGAATCATGACTTTTTTAGTCTAGATTTTTATCTTATATCTTAATTTCAAAGGAAGCCTAATATTTTTTTCAGATTTAAATGAAAGAATTGATGAACAAGATTATAAAATTTAATATTTATCACGATTGAGTATTGTTACTTAACAAATGCATTGAAAGACATGTTTAAATGCATTTGAATTAAAAAAAAGAACATAGAATTGAAGTTTTGCTTCTTCGAAGACATTCATTTTATGATTAACTAGTGATCCGCCCCGGCTTCGCACGGGTACAATCCTGACACTTAAATTCTCCACTATTTAATAGATTAGATGTTAAACCGTGCTTTTCAATCACTCTATCTACTAAAAAAACCGCATCAAAATCCGTTGCGTAGTTTTAAAGATTTAAGCATATCAATTTTTTTCAATATTATTGAAAAGTTTGTTTATTGAATTATATTAGTCGTATTTTATTTCTCGAATGAAATTGGATTCGTCAACCGTATTTATATTCTACAGTACTGTTTTACAGTACTAACTAAAATTACGGCAGAAAGAGTAGGTATCGGTAAAAAAACGAACATTAATGGCGCCCGTATAAAAAACAAAAATACAAAAAAATAGCATTGTCGTCAATCTGCAGGAAATATAATCGTTAAAAATAAGCTGATACTAGCTAACATCAAATTACCTTATCAGATACACTGCTGGACAAAAATCTCCGTTCCTTACCCACAAAAGAGAAAAGCATGGGTATTATGTTGATTTGGGGTTTGCCATTACATAATACTCACGCTTGGCAAGCAATTTGGGGATCGTAGTGAGGACGCCGGAAATTAAGACGATGATGATGATACGATGATTGATGAATTGCGTAGAGACATAGCAAATTAATAATACCTACACAAAATTCATAAAAGAAACTTAAAGTAAAATTGTAAATAAAAGTAATAATACCTAACCGAAAATTAAGTCCGCTAATGTACCCTTTGTGCATGAAGTTTAAATAAAAAATAACGAGACTTGGCTGCGGCACTACCGTGCCCCCAATAACAAAATATTCTATGATAAAAAAATAAACCAAACGTTTGTAAACCAAAATCTATAAAGGAGGCAATGTAACCTAGATCACTTATAATACCTATCTGTAAATACTTATTATTCGCCATATAGCAATATTGACACACACACACAAACACACACACACACACAAACACATTATAGGCTATATACATTTATGTAAGGTCAGGCACAACAAATTACTCGATTTTTTTTACTTGTTACTTAAGCAAGAGCTAATTTTGCAATGTCTGATTAAATTGCTGTTAGATGTTCAGTCTTTTATTGACCATTTTCCTATAAGAACATGCGATGGAAAAACGTTGCCCCACTTTAGCATTTTCTGCTGTGCTGTGAGTGCGTTTACGTTTCCACACCCATGTCACTCCGACCAAAAACAAAAATTATTTATGCATCACGCAAAGAATTGTTCTGTGCGGGATTCGAACCCGCGACACGTTACACGGCATAAGCGATTGCCCGGCCACCACGTCGTCGCCGTGCAGTCAATTACTTTTTTTTATTTTACAATCAAAATCAGAACTAACACAAAGTCGAAACAGTTATTTTCAGTCATTGTAAAACAAGCACTTATCCAAACTAATATTATAAATGCGAAAGTAACTCTGTCTGTCTGTCTGTCTACTACACTAAACTACTTAATCTACTTATGAAATTGGATACATACATAGTTTGGAACTCGAGACAGGACATAGGATAGTTTTTAAAAATCTGCAGGAATTCAGTATTCCACGCGAACAACGTCGAGGGCAAAAACTAGTATACCTATCTACAACAAACACACTAAACTAATAATAACACTTTGATATTCATTATATATACTTTAAATACTGTAATAAATATAAGTTAAGGTATTTCATATTATAAGTAGATTATTGATCAATAAGCACCAGTGAGCACAGATAATTTTACTCGCACTTTTTTATCTACTAAAATTTTGATAACCGTAATTGAAATCACAATTTACACCATTACTATAATTATAATGTGTGCTAAACACATACACAGCACGTACACTTGTATTAAACACCGGCTAATTACGAGAGGTTCCGTAGCATTATTATTAGATTAGCACTTGAGAAGTATTAGATGCTGTAGGGAAAAATAGCTCATGCTGTCACAGTTTTTAACAGACAGGCAGTCAACGGAGACTTCCTTACCCTTTAGGTAAGGAGTCCTAAACACTAACCTGCTCCCAAACGCCACATAGCCGCAAGGGCCTGAACAGCAAAAATCTCTTCTGGATTCAAGTGTCCCATGGCTATGTCCATTTTAGCAATATACTCGTTCTTTCAAAGCTGGGGAGCTCTGTTCGCGACGCGGACACGGATGACACTGAACTACCAACGAATAGTCGAAATAAAGTAAATTTCGAAACAACTGATTACAATGGGTCATAAAATAAAGACCACGAATGACCAGGCCATCCCTCCACCCCCACGCACACAACAACAAAGTCAGGTACCCGGCAAAAGTAATTACATTTTTCTATTGAACTTGCCAGTAATTGTTTCCGAATATAATCCCGGTGTTAAGACAGTAGGTAAACTTACAACTACAGATAAGTTTGTTTTAAATAATCATTTATTCCAAACATAATTAGGTAGTTTAGTAGGTACTAGGTAATTATTGTAATTTATATTTAATATATTATCATTTAAGTGGTTATTACCACATTAGAAAGTTTTTATTGTCACAAAATGATAAGAATACTTATTTTATTTAGACGACTTATAATTGAATCAATATGCCAATAATTAAAATAAATCGACACCAATCTTGGTTTATCCTGTTAATCTGCTCATCTTGCTAAAATTCAAACATGGCAATTTTTGTAAGCGTGACTTACTTGAATCGTATTATTTTTAATTTTTAAATAGTAGGTATCATACACCTTATTAAAAGCAAAGTGCAGGACACTCAGCTTTGCAGGAGATCCATGTGATGGTTTGACATCGGTTCACATAACATGTACTCGATCAGGGACGAATGGTGGAACACCCTGAGGTGTGTACTGGCGGCTTCCATCTATTACGCCTCCACTGTTACGTAGAAGGAAGAGGTTAAGAAGAAGACCTTATATTAAACGTGAATGAGATGCCGCTATAAATCATTAAAGATACGTTTTCGTCTATTAATGTACGGGGGAGGGAATGGCATGGTAATGATTTAACTTATTAGACCACCAAAGAGATTTTCAATTTACATTATACATTTCAATATCGCCACGACAGTATAATAATCGGAATTGATAAAATAATACCACGGGCTATACAAAAGTGCATGATCATCCGCTGTAGCTGCTTCAAAATGGTTAAATTAAACAATAATGATCATCATGATACAAGATGGTTCAGAAAAGCATCTATCGCACTAAACGATATTTGCTAACTGCTAAGGTCAGATTTTGTTATATGTAGATACTATGTATCTATTTTTCTTATTCAGTCAAGTAGGATTTTTGTTAGACAGCACAATTGTAAATTATTGTTATATTGTTGTATTATAATATTTTCACTTTTCGGCAATGGCTACATTCGTATCACATCGCATCATCACCATATAAGTGCCCATTTCTTCAGTGGTCAAAAGCCTTTTCTCATATGGAGAAGGTTTAAACACCACGTTAGCGCAAGTCGGATTGGCAGTTTCAAACTTATAATTTGAAATTAGAAGTCCAGGTTTCCTTACGATGTTTTCCTCTTCGTATCCCGTATGTCATTGGTTTCTAAATAAACATAGAAAGTATATAATATAACTCGGATAAAAGTCACATTGATAGGTAATTACAAGCCAGGTACTCTCACGTATGAGAAGCAGACGCCTTAAAAACCGGGCCACCACGACGTTATTTTAAAAATTCACGTGGTATTTAAATAGAATTATTATAGAATTATCGGGTTGAAATGGCAAGGGATTTCTTAAGCATAAGTAGACTGATACTCTTTGGATTTTTAAAGTAGATAGGTACATGATGCTTATATGATCGTTAAAGGACGCGCATCGCTTTGTTCATCGCGTCGTCTGTTTTGATGATCTTTCAATGAAACAATGAATTTATTTTTGCAAATAGGCCATAAAACGGCACTTTTACACGTCAATTTATATGTAAAAAACTAGATGAAGCCGGCATTTCCTATCTGACTACTCTGAGAAGAAATGCCGAAACAAACTCAGAGGTCAGTCTCTTTTCAAGTCCAGACAATGTAAAAATAACATAATGTGAGAAAAGCCCAAAGGTTTCGTGTCGGTAGCCCAAAAGGTTTTTTATCGTAATAAGTATGTGCTATCTTTTAGTAACTGAGCTTCAAAAGATTTCTAGGGTGGTCTTGGCTATTAGTAGTAGTATTTACCTACTGATTTGATATTGGAAAACATTCTCAAAATACCAAAACAACAACTGAACATGCAAAATATTTTCATGATCCATTATTTTGGAAACGGATCTTCATAATCTGTAATTATATTCAGAAAAACGGAACTTATTACACAAAGGTATAATAAGATCCGTTTTTTTTCATAATTACAGAATGTTCAGAAAAACGTATAATTATGTAAACCTTTCTTTAAAAAAATCCGTTTTTCTGAACATTTGGCTGAATACCTGATCCAGGTGATTTCACCAAACCAAAACGATTTGTAATAGGTACCTATATTTTACCTACTTATTAATTAAGGACAGGTATTTCAAACATTGAGAAACACTAACATCGCTATATCGTGTGTTGCCTAATTTTCTATTAAGTGTGTACAAATATGTATAAATTAATTCATAATTTAATAATTATTTTTCCCATAGTTGTTAAGCATTGAAATTAAAATCGAATTAAAGTCAATCAACTTAGAATGGAATTAAAATCATCATCATCTCATGACAATATTACATTTGTAGACTGTCTGTCTGTCCCATCATGGGCGGGAAAAGTCCCAGACGTGGCGACAACACGTGATTGCGGGATGATTTTAAACTTTATACCTACCTACTTATTTTTTATATTTTATTCAATACATTTTTTATCAAAACAAAAACCTTATAAGAGTTTAAAGTTCAGGAATCTTCCGGAGGAGAAAGAGGGATGGAGCTATACACCTTTTATAGTTCCATCCCTCTTTCTCGCCCGAATATTCACGCTTTAACACGTCATGGTCATCTATCTGAAACGGTTCTGATTCAAGACAATTACCTAAGTATTATTTTTATGTTCAGTATAGACATATTTTAAAATAATGATAATTCAGTGTAGCAGCTACCCGTGCATATAGTGTTACCATCATCCCGCTTACAGTTGCAAAAGCACACAGATGTAAATACGTATATATATAAGTATTTATTTAGTTATCACTTTACTTATTGTGCAGTAATCGGGTTTTGGGAAATAATAAAAAACTACCTGATTATACAGATATAGTTACAACAATGGAATGCTCAATACAAAAGTTCTTGTCTGCTTCTAATCCTAAAACAATTAGATCTACCTGTGGCAGAACGCCCAAGTTAAACTGTAACGCATTTTTACGCCCAGAGATGGCACCTGTAGTGTACCTGTAATAATAGTGCGTAAGATTTTAATGACGTTGAAAAATTATTCTCGATTATGTGTTCAAATATTATTAACCAACTAGGTAACATAACTATTGCTTAATTAGTCCTCTAATAATAAGTTAATTTACCACTTTCTTATTTCCAAATAAAAATCAATGTGTCCAAATTACTAGCGACTACCGAGGATAAATTGGAATAGCATTAACACACATAAAAGTTATAAAATAAAAACCGAGGTTTTATAAAAACCAATTTTTTTTTATATACTTATATGAAATTAATTGCTCTTCGTTCGTTATTCTCGCTAAAACTCTAGAACGGCTGGACCGATTTGGCGTATTTTGATCTTGATATATTTGTGGAATTTCAGGATACTACATAGTTTAAAGGTCAGAAAACTTTTGTTAATTTTAAGGCGTAGGTAACTGATTTCGCCGTGTCAGCTAGTAAGTAATGCTTTCATATTAAGTATTAGTATGTACCTATGTATGTACTTATGTTTATTGATGTTACTTTAGGTTTATAATCGTTAGAATTATTTGTCTGAAGTTATAACCTAGCTAATGCCAGAGGCCATCCTTAGATATAATCTAATAAATCTAATAACAATCTTACGCGACAGAGGGTAATAAAACAAGACTATGAGGAACACTATGATGTAAAATTATAGAGATTGTTGATCGGCTAAAACAATGTAATATAAGTACCTATCTATGTACTTAATAAAAACAGCCGTTGAGATTAGGTATATCAATCTTCTTTTGTGCAAAGGAAGCAGCCCCGCAGTAGACTATAACGGGCGTTGGTGTTTTGTACAAGCAAGGTGCAGGTATTTTCTAGAGAGATATAAAGTAATTTCAAAATAAAAATATTAACACTTTTTAATTGATGCTAGTTCTCGCCTTTAAGGAAGATGTGGACACTAATTTTGAGGCATATTTTTTTTTTTTAAAATCTTTATTTAATTTTGAGGCATATGATTAATATAATATACCTACCTTCGTTTAATTTCAAAGTGACAATTAAAATTCAGATGCTAAAAAGATATTGAGAAATGAAATCTGAACCTTAAATTGTTAGCAATAAGTGCATAAAATATAAAAAAGGTCAAAGCACCAAATACTTTCTTGTATCACGTTGAACACCATGGGGGACAACGTGTAGGCCACGCTAGCGGAGGATTTACCCTCAACAGTAATCTGTAGGCAGTCAATGACTCTTCATCACAGTCATCATCATCAGCTGACCCTTACATAAAGGAAACATAAAAAAGTGTACGCATTTTCCAAAGCAACGCGACGTCTGATTCTAGCTATATGGTATAGAATGGCTGACACTCACTAGGTTCATTGTAATGAAACAATGAATTTATTTTTGAAAATAACATAAAATAAAACGACGTGATTTTACACTTCAACATTATGTAAAAAAAATATAAGAATAAGCTACCTTTCCTATCTGACTACTCTCAGAACAAATGCCGAAACAAACTCAAAGGTCTCTTTAAAGTTTAGACAAACGTCAAAATAATGTAAAAAAACCGTGCAAATAGCGTGGATGCAATCGGCGATATTATATTATTAACTGGTTTCTGCTATGCAGTTGCCACATAGGTTACTTTTCATCCCAGGTAGGTACAATCTAATACTGTGTCAATGTTTATCAAATACGTTTTCATTCAGAAGTTTACACGTGAAAGAGCACCTTCCATTTCTAAAGACGAATTCGTAAATATTGGGTTCTTATACGATTCATATAATTATACCTATATTTTATTATTTCATCATCATCAGCTTATAAGTGCCCACTGCTGAGCAAAAACCTCTTCTCATACGGAGAAGGATAAAGCATTAATCACCACGCTTGCTCAATGCGGGTTGGTGATTTCAAACTTATAATATAATTAGAAGTCTGGATTTCCTCACGATGTTTACCTTCACCGTATGTCCTTGGTCTTAATAATCATAGAAAGTAGGTACATATAACTCGGAAAAAGTCACATTGGTACTTGCTAGGTTTTAAACCCACACCCTCATGCATGAAAAGCGGGCCCCATAACCTCCGGGCAACCACGACACATTTGATTATTTATTCATCATCTAAATGACGGATTGTTCATAATATAGGTAGTCTCTATAGTAGCCGCTATCCCGTCAGTTCACCCACTGTGGTCGGTTTGCAAAGTAAGTCCTTATAAGGTAATGCTGAGCCGAAGCTTAGAGCAGAGCTTTTTTTTCAATATGTATTCTGTTCAATCTGCATTTAACTCGCCGGTTTGGACTTTAATCCGTTAAAAGAGAACTTCAACACAGGCCTTAAAAGCAATTTACCTAAATTGCTGTTTTTTTACAGTCAACTAGTTTCTTAACAAAATGGCGTTGTTATGGTTCCATATTTTAACTCTTTATAAGAATATAGGGAGATATAGCTGCGCAGGTACAAAAACCTTTAATAGAGAATACTTATCTGATAATTTTGGCTAATTCTTTTACCGAGTATCTAAAAAAGGGAGAGAGGATTGAGCCGGTTGGCTCTTTTGTATTATTTTATGGACTATTGTGACCCAGCGTTGGTGTATTGCAGTGTTGTAAAATCAAATAACACCAAAAATTGTTCGTGCAATATAACAGCAAGCTTTGCGAATTTAGTGTAACAAATAAACAACGAAAGAAAGGGTTTCTACTTAGACCTGTCCAAATTCGGTCGTAAAACTATCATTAACAAAGATATACCTTTGTATAAGCATTATTATGTGCATAAAATACAATTCCATTATTTGCCACTGTCAATTTTATTGATTTAATAGCGTATTTTAATTTTTGCGAGTATCAGACTCTTACTAGAGCCCGCTTTTCGTGCATGAGGTTCGAAACATGGCAAGTACCAATGTGACACTGACATACGGTGAAGGTAAACATCGTAAGGAAACCTGGAGTTATAATTTCTGATTATAAGTTTGAAATCGCTAACCCGCATTGAGCAAGCGTGGTGATTTATGCTCTAACCTTCTCCATATGAGAACTTCTAGGCTGATGATGATGATGATGATGAGACTCTTACTGACCAAAAACCTGCCCGCGGTCTCGGCCTAGACCAGAAGAAAGCCGTTCCTTCTCCTGCTCTAGGCCGAGGCCATAGGTACCATTTTGCGCTTGACCGCAACCCCGGCTGCGTTAAAGATCTCCTTATACGAATAAAGTTCAAATGATCGAAGTAAATGTAGTAAGTATGAAACAGTTTCATATCTAACGGATGTCTGTTTGTCTGTATTCAATGCTCTGAATTATATCCAGGTGTGTGACCGTAGAAGATGTAATTCTGTCTTATTGCCAAAATAAATAAAACATATGTATATTATAGGATGGTTTCCCCCAGCTACAAGTGACGTTTTCTTGTTTTATAGAATAGGATATAAACCGATACCTATCTACAGGTCTCGTGATAGAAGCAACACGCAACACAAGAGACACACATGCATATCCGGCCTTTTAAGAATGAGTACGCCCTTTTCTTTAAGATTTGAAGGTCGTATCGGCTTGGAAACACCATTGACAACAAATCATTCCTAAGTTTCCTAATGCGCCTCAGAAAGTTTTGCGGAAAACGCACAGTTGTTATCTGCCAATCATATGATGGAGTAGGTGCTGTCGCGGAGGATAATGGCAAAACGACGTGGCAGGAATCTCCAAACCATTCCTTAGTGTAGGTAATCCTGTCGGTTTGGGTAAAAGAATATGCAGAGTGAGGTATTATCTCTACGCAGTATCAATGGGCCCAGTTAGTTTGAAACATCCCGACAACGATGATATTGTCCGTAAAGAGAACTCGATTCGAGCCACAAGTTTTTTTAAACGTTCGCGTTGCCCCCACATAGCATTTTTTTCTGTGTCTTGGGTGCGGTTACAAACATACAATTTTACAAACACATGACACCCAGAACCGGAACAACAATAGTTTCGGCTCTTGATGACTTTTTCCCGAAAATAATTAGTGCGGCCGGTGTAAAAGACATCGCCCATTCTGTCATCCGCATATCTAGATTATTATAGATTTTCAAAATGCCATTAACATGGAGGAGAAACAGGGTGGGCGATAGCACGCAGCCTTGAGGAGACTAGTGTAAACGATAAAGACATTTAAGTATTTTTCTCGTCGTAATTGTGGTTACAATAAGATCTTAAACTCAGCGCTCCTCTTCGCACACGATAGGCGATACCTATAGTTAAAACTTGTATCTCAAGTTAATTAGAAGAATACCAGCAGATACTTTAAAATTAAAATAATCACACGTAGAAGGATAATTTTATAATATCCCAAGCTTTAAAAGATTTTAGTAAACAGATACGGTGCGCACTAAGCTACATTGTCCTTCATGTACCTATATAAATGGGTACAGTATTACGTAGAAGGAATAAACAATAAATATAATATGTTACTTGACGTGCGATGTTATAATTGAAATAAACTTGTAGGTACCTAACATACTCAAGTATATAATATAACATATAAGTATTTACATAGCCGTGTTCATGAATCAACAAATCAACTCGAACTCATCACTGATCCAACCAAGGGGCTTCCTTTTTTTCCTCATCCCCTCCAAACTACCGCATACCATACTACCAGTCATCTAATCATGTGAAGGTAGAAATGAATGAAAATTAATGATAAAAGTACTTACTCGACATCTTTGCAATTTTGAATTTCGTCGATTTCGCAGGTTTACACACTCACAGCCAAACACCATAGTACCAACTAAGATTTTTACATTATCTCTAAATACCGCCAAATAATTAGTTTTACGATATTATAATGTTTGCTGGGTTACCAAGTCATTATTAAATTAATTAAAATATATTCAGATGAATCAAAAAAGTCAATTCCAAAAACTACAAGTAAAATCAACATGATACAATGTTTTATACAGGACATTATTAGCGTAATTCAGCCGGGGTTGCGGGGGAAGCGCAATAAGACCTCGGCCCAGAGCAGGGGAAGGAACAGGGGGGTTTTTAGTCAGTACGAGTCTGACACTAATGGGCGGGAGAAGTCATTTCATCATTTGATGATTTTCCCCTCCCCAAAAAAAACCCTAGCGTAATAGTAATTACATAGCATGGTAGGTCATCAAAATTGTTAAAACAAAACAAAAGTGCAGTGCATTACAGAATAAAATGTTTTAGGAATGACACGGACAAACTTTGCTGTTCTGAGCAGTAATAAATTAAAAACTTGTTACTTACTTTCCTTTAACGATGCATCGCCACTTCACCTTGCGAACCTTTCTTGCTTACTAATTTTTTATTCAACTAAAAGACATCTTTACAATTCTTTACTTTAACATTATGAGTCGAATTTTATTACAAAAAACTACGATCCTTAACATCTTCCGTTCCACATAAAATTATCTGCATAATTTTATTACTAAAATACCAATAATATAATACTTTTAGGTACAACACTATCAATAGATACTCAAATAATCGACTAAATATTGTATTATTAATCTATAGTAAGTAACCTACCACCAGTAGCAATGGGCAGGCAGTGTCTGTCAATTCTGTCAAACTAAAACGAGTTGATTGAGTTCGCCAGTGTTGGAATGGAAGGTTGTCATAGTTGTTTTGATACGAATTATGCAATAAAACTGCGATAGTCGTGTGTGATCATTATTGCGACACACAGCAAACGATGTCTCACGACACGGATCTTGTAATATCAGTGCCGCGTTCCCGTATCAATGAATTTTATTGCAAATATTATAATTTAGTTGAAACATTTTACTGTGTCACACTGTCTGAGAGTAAATTGTGTTCCGCGAATGAAAAACCTGATTATGTGTATTTCGACGTCACATTCAACTTGAATCCAGCAGATGGAAGTTTTAATCCGAAAGAATTGACTGGAAGAATACAGGTAAATACTACAACCTATCTTAAAGTTAGGCAAAATGTCAACTTTTATTGTTCTTCAAATAAATGTAAATGTAACAAAGGATCTATTGAATAATAAAGGTATATCGTCATCAACATTTATAGTGCAATATACATATTATTAAATTTAGCCTCCAATAAGATTATTATTAGGCTTGTGTGACATGTGGCAGAAGAATAATATGAATCTTGTGAATGAGTGAATTTATACATTTAAATTAGATACAATTCGCTATTTGACTCTAAATTCATTGAATGACCTCATTTCCTTGCAAGTTTCCCAATTTGTACATGTTTGGAATCTGGTTATTTTACCAATTAGATTCATATTAGTTGCCTGAATCATTATGGATTGAATAGGTACCAAAATTACCACTATTGCCTGGCCATTGTTAGTACATCACAGTATGAATGTTCTGCATCAAAAGTGTGAATCATTATTGGTAATTAGTAATATATTTATCTGATATGAAATAAATATATTATTATTAGGTACAAACTTGACTAACAGGAATTGTTAATCTCTATCTTTTGATTAAAATTGATATTATCCTCAATATAATATTTATGGTATTCCTAGTTCGTAGAGAGATAAGCATAAATCATTACTAGGGAAATATATTTTACTACTTTCTACTGTTATTTGCAACTTTGCCGTCTTGTTACAGAAAGTAACTTTTGAACTATCTCCAGGCTCTGAAAAACTGTTACAGTCTGTTATAAAGAAGAGTTAAGTAACAGACACACTGTCACATCTTAAAGATAGTACTTAACATGGATATTATTAAAAATTAATCACTTAGAAAGCTTATTGTAAATAGTTATAATGTGTTAGTTCTTTATTTATATTATAACCTTTCAATTGTGGTAGTATTATGGTAATTCACAATAGAAAAACAATAGGTGTGCGAACACTGTTGTTCGCTAAGGGATTGATGAATTAACTAAATTAACAAAATGGGGATATCTTTTAATATTTCTATATTCTGTTTCTTGTGTCTATAACTTACTTCTTCTAATGAGAGACTGTAGGAAGAGATTTTAATATTCCCTGTTAATCTGTTTCACAAATTCATTTTCCTACGTACTGTATGTGTTTTATAAAGTAAACTAAATAATAAAGAAGAAGTCTCTACACATAAACAAGAACAAGCTAGTTTTGAATAAATTGAATTTGCTTGTTTTTCTATACTAAAATAATCTGCATAATCTAATAATAATCAATAGTTGTTGTGCGGGAAGCCAACCAGGTATCTTACATCTGGTAAAACGGCCCAGTAACTATGCAGTCAAAAAAGGTTTTAGTATTGTAATAACTTTTCAATAATCTTATCTTAGTTTTGAGATACAAAATAACAAGACAATAAATATGTCATCTTTTAATTAATTCAACAACTTGCACACCTTGACCTGACCTTTGCGAAAAACTCTATTCATAAATTGATTATTTAGTTTTCTATTTATTATTAGTCATAATAATATGGCTTTTGGTTTTTATAAAACCATATAAAATGAACAGTTCCATATGGATCATGCGAAGGGATAGAAAAAGGTTGTTTCGTATTACACATTCGTTCATATGAAGGAATCTCTTCATTGGAGGATGTGTAGAATTCAAATAAAAAAAGAGTCCTATTGAAAATTATTTCTCAGATACTTAACTATAGCAAACAAGGATTAAGAAAAAACGGTTAATTAGGAAACAAAGAGGTGTATACCTTTATTTAACTGTAATAAATTAACAAATTCACAAAGTTACTTTTGAGAAACCAAATTATCAAATAAGCTACCACTGTTTTGTAGGTGTCGTTTTTCATGTCTGTCAGTAACCACAAGGTCGACATATTGCGATAACTAAGTTTGACCAGTAGAATTTTAAAATGGTGGCATAACATCAAGGAAAAGAAGACAAGGTAAAATTCCTAGTCTTTTGAGATGGCAAAACTTACATGTGGAAGAAGGTTCCTAATTCAACATTGTTTAATAAAATATCCAATAAAAAATGCCATTAGAAAAATATCATGCGTCGTAAACCTGTAGCCAGTTATTTTTCTGCACAAAAATCTCGCTGTTTATTTTGTTTTTGGTCTAGATTACCAATGACAACAGTTTACGAACATTGCTTCGAATTGTATAACATTTTATAACGTAAATAGCATTAGAAAGTTAACATCATATTGTTTCCGGATACAATTCGTGGTAGTGTCGATGGATGCGACAAATTCTAAACGATATTGGTAGTGGCAGAGGTCAGCGGTACGCGGTTTGTTTGGGGGCCGCCCGCCGGGTGCAGTGGGCGCACAACCCGGATCTCGCGGTGCCCCGCTTCCCCTTCACTGAGCGGGCTCGTGCGTGGAGGTGTGCATGCGCTTGCGCCACATGATACTCTAGTCAATAGTCTTGCCGCGAAACACGCCGCGCTCGCACACGCGCGTGATGCCATGCGACGCGCACACGCTCTAATACAATATTATGTACGCGATTGACAACTCCCAGGTGAGCGCGAATCTCATATCCCCCGTTAGGACACCTGTTGCACCCAGTTCACGCAACAGGCTGGCTCTGCTTATACGGATCTTAATATCTCACGAGTTTCACAGTGGGACGCGACTGTGCTTACCATCGTATTATAATGATGTTCATTCACGATCGGGCGATATAACGATCCCGGAAGTAGAGCCGGTTCGTTAACGTCATGTAGGTATGCTAATTATTGTATGTATACAGTGCTCAAACACAGACGAAATGCCTAGGATTGTTTTTGAGAGGATTAGTTGTGGGTGAGTGAGAATTGTGTCTTAGTGTTCGTTACGTTTGTGTTTATTGAGAGAAAAGTAAAGTTACTTCAGACAGATTCAGAGAATTAAATATATTTTTTTGATCTATTGCAGAGATCATAATTAAGTAGTGCGGCTAGCATACCAAGCAGTTAATGGATGTGTTGTGGTCGTCCGTCATCAGACGTTTAACAGCATCACGCTGCAATGTTGTTGTTTTTGTAGCAGTTTGTGAAAGCAGTGTTTAATTAATGTGCATGTCTTCATCTGTCGCCTGTGCAAAGTGTCGCAGGTCCGGCACTGCTCGGATATCATGGCTAACTTTCACTTCGCCTCACAGAGCACTGGTGATTTATACTTATGCCTACGTTATCTACAACATCGGATCACGGATTTGAATTAAATAAATATGAGGACTTTTCTAAGAAATACGAATGCGTCTTAGTAATTTATTAATATTTTTTGGTGTTCGTTTTTTATTCGGATGTTTTAAGTGTTTGAATGTTAATAAGTCATCGATACTAGGCAAAGTATGGGTATTAGAGATCATCAATGCATTGTCAATGCATTCGCACTTTGGGGTTTTTTCTTTACGACGTTGAGCTTTCTATTAATCTCGAAGGTTACGTTAACACTCACGGATGTTTCCCAAGCAAACAAACTGAATACAAAAGACGTCACTTTCATTTTATTTTAATACAATGTTAGTTTATAATTAAAAATCCAAGACACGACACGTGAGAATAGGGGAAACCAAGATTAAACTGTAATTAAACAGTTTACAGACAATTACCTATTCGTAATGATGAGGAATTTGCCGCGTTGGCGTGATTCCCTTTATTAAAATCAATATCAATAATTCTAATAACTAGAAGAGTATATTTGGTTTGTTATAAAGAATGGCGTGGCGCAGGCAACCTTCTAATGTTATTTGGTACTTATTAATATCCGGTATGATTATGCTCTGATGTAATAGATGCCAATAGGCAGCTAGTAGACAGAGACGACTAGACAAATCAGTCCATAGGGGCCAGTACAACTAAAAAAAAAATAGTCGATTTCATTCAAAAGCGTCTTCGACAGACTTCGAAGAATTTACCCGAGTGACGTAGGTACCATAATGCTAATTTGTGGTCGGATAAGTTTTTTAACTGCGACATTAAAGACTTATTTAAATAATTTCCTGTGAAAATTTGATAAATAGGTACGATTTAAGTATGGTATAATTTATGTGTTGCCAACGAATATATTACGTAGGATTATGGCAATATTAATTTGTCTTTACGAGGTCTTAGAGGTAAATCAGTCACAATAATTCACCAGCTGCAGGTTAATTTCAGTTCGCCCCTGTTTCTCCCGGATATACAAATATTTTCCTTGTTGCTATATCCCAATTTTCCCATCTCCTTTTCTAATATTTTCCTTCACAAACACACCAAAAAAGAATTGGCAAAATTGGTTCAGGCGTTTTTGAGCTATGAGCTTACACCAATACATTTTCGATTGATTTTTATAATATCGAATTTTCGCTTGATTTCCTATTCAATAATATTCAGGATAAAGGAATTAAGAAATTAAGAAATCTACATTAAATATCATTGTTAAAATTTAAGATTTTTTTCCAATTTGAATACTGGACTTTCTTACTTTATCAAAATAACTGAATTGTGAATATTTTAAGTAGATCTCAGTAGGTGTTTAATTTTAAACTGTTCTTCATCGTCATCATCAGCCAGAACAGAGGCTTTCTAATAGAGAGGGATGTCCCATGCCACCTTTGCAGGTAGTAGATTGGGGAGATCGCATTCAGGTCATTGATATTCTAGAGTTATGATGTTACCCGACTCTGGGTGTCGGAGTATAGTACATAACCAGTTTCAAATTAATAAGATCTAATTGTATTGACACTAATGGGGCAACCTTTGGCAACTGGAACAGATTCTACGTATGTAACTTCTTTTTTTTGGTGTAATCATTTAGTCTAGAAGCCATAGTGTCATTTGTTGTTTTTTCGATTTTGCTGAACATGCGCATTTTTAGCCAAAGAAGCAAACATCGATAGGCCTATTGGTTTGGATTTCAATTAGTCCATTAGTCCAACATCTATACTTTGAATGTAGCTCACTTTTAATCATATTTTGACAGTGAATATTTATTAAGATCCATCAAGCGTTCACCGTTTAAAAATCTTTAATTTTACTGGTTATAATACATTTAATTTATTCACCAGTTCCTACCTACTACCAGGTCTTTATATCTGATAAGATCAAATGACGTCATGTTCCGTTTTCATCTAATCTTACTTATTGTTGTGGGCAAAAGTCAAAGCATCTACGTCACCAATTAATTGCATGCTCTTGAATATCAATTAGGAACCTTATAAAAACAACTCGCTACTTATGACAGATTATTTTATAGACAACAAGTCTATGGCTTATTGGCGTTGTGTTAATACATTTATCTATACAGCATTATCAGTATTGAATTTTGACTTTTGTACCTCACGTACGTATTCATATCGCGGAGCTCGCCGATCGTTGTATCTACAGACGAGAGTTTTGTTATGGCAACCGAATGTTTTTGTTGAATGCAGTGTGGTATGCGTGTGTGTGTGTTGTACATAAAGTATGTCGCGTGCCCGCATCCTGTTCGTCGCTGACGCCACATCGCATGAGGTGGCGTGCGCCAGCGTCGCCCGAATACTACCACCCTATTGGTCGCTGTTATCTCCACAACAAACCAACGATAAAATTTCTCCTCTACAAACGGAACTATTTGTACTCATTCACCCAGACCTTATTTATCGTCGTACAGTCGTTCTCAATATAGATTATGAACTTATTTAGCATGTATTCACAGAGTGACCTAAGATTGTTTCCTGAGAAATGGATAACGTGTCTGTGAATTGATTAGTCGTTTAGGATTTATATTTTTACGAATTTGATAACACTGAGTATTTTTATATGTGAGAGTGTCGTATATTTCGGTTAAAACTAGTGGTTCTGAATAAGTACTTGCAGCTAATACACAAATTTAGACAAAGGTGTCAGTTTGTTGTAAACAAAATTTATTAGAATCTGAATTTCTAAGATACGCAGTACGATAACCTTTGCAAACACGATTATAAAGTCCTACGTAATTAGTAGTTCCTTGATTTGCGTCTAAACGATAAAACAGTTTATATTGACGTCAATACTATCTGTAGTCATTCTTTGCACGTCAATGCACAGGAAGAATTTTTGTGACCAAAGTTCGATTTATGATAAGCACCTTATTTTTAATTCTAATTCTAGGGAAGTAGATTGAGAGCGAGCTAAATTAATATGTAGGTATATACGAATAAAAATCCCTTGCATATCTTTATAATTATACCTATATGAACATCTGTTTCTAAAACATCGGCATCGTCGACCTCTGATGCAGGTGGTTCAAAGTCTAAAATTTGTGATAACTTATATAAGAAGTGTTCTGACTCAATAAAGAAATATAGCCTATTACTAAACGCAATAATAGGTACGCTACCAACTAATAATAATTATGAATTCAATGATTCGATTGATTTGTACGACCTCCAAGCTACATGCAAGTCGTTTTTTGTTCTTATGGCCCGTTTAATGATGTTGTTTATTGAAATACAGACTCGTTGGTGCTTCGCAAACAGTCTAGCGTGTTTCCTTCCAGATTCTTAAAACTTAATCTAAAAAACGTAAACAAATAGTTCGTCCAACGTAAACTAGCGTGGCTAATGCGGCGGGATAATCCAATGGGTTTTTTGTTCTGCCTAAAATATCTACTGCTGTTACCAGAAAATGAGTTGGAACTCGGCTATCAACATACCTACACTTTTTCGTGTATTTATTTTATATGTTCCCAAGTAGATAGCTCATTATAAACTTGAAGTTCTCGTATTAATAAGTACAAGTCAATTGTACTGAGATATGATAATGGTGCGGGAAAAGATTAAGATAATTTTAATAATAACTTGTTTGTGTAATGAGATTCACAATTAATCATTATCACCCCAAACACGTACATCGTACGATACATTGACGTAACACGTAGATACTATTTTACCATTTAGGGCAATTTATTATATCACATACTCAATGAACTTTTTATTGACGGGGAACAATTATTTCGATAATACACGAGTAAAAGTATTAAATGTAGTAGTAGTAAGTACTTACTTTAGTAGAAGAACTTTATTTACTCGCGTGAATCATAAAAACTTTAAACTGGTAAACATTAATTGTTTATTATAAAATCGAGCTTCTTATATTCGAACAAATAAAAGAGTTAGAGAGTTCTCGTGAAATAAAATGAATGGAGATACATCAAGACTTGGCTGCATTATAATCAACATAGTTCAATATCGTTCTCTAACCGCCAACTGTAACTTGGCTCGATTTTTTTAGAAAGTCGCATCCGGCTTCGCGCTGTAGGCGGGGCGCTTCCGTACTGTGCCTAGCCCGGATGTAGGCTCCCGAGACCTACTAAACTTTATCGTCTTACACGACCGAACGTTTAGCTACCGATTTTCTAACAGGAACTAGCCGTGGACTACAAAAATGAAAGCCGTTGTTCAAGTTAATGAAAACAGCCGTTCCGAATTTGAGTTCTGATTTTGGAAAGGATTCAATTATTTGTTTTGTCGTGTTTTTATTTATTTAGCGCAATAATAATTAAACGAATGTTTTGTTTCTTTGATGATATCAAAATTACATTTAAAAAACATTACTTTGCGTTTTTAACAGAATGAAGCGATTAATAATATTAGATATCATTATAAATAATAATCAGAGATAGTAAAGGAATTTCCTTTATATCCTGTTTGTTATTTTATCCACCCACGTGATTTAATCTAAACCAAAATCTAGATTTGTATTTTAGTTTCTCAGCCAACTAGGTCTCGACTCGGATCTTGCGAGTATGACTAACAGCTATTTTGTACATTATTAAGTAAATTTTCTAACTGTAAGCGTGTCCAGTGAGCGATATGGTCGTGGTTTAATTTAGATTATTTTAGTTGAGAGAAACATTTTTGTCAATTCAAGAATAATGAATTCCAACCGGTACAGCCGACGTTGCGCATACGCTAAAGGTCAATGATCATCTGTAGATCCGCTTCGGCGCCCTCGTGACCCTGTGCTGAGTCGGTGTCGGTTGCGGTAATATCAAATTTGCTTATTGATCGATAATAATCATCACTAACTTAACATATTCGGATCTGCTTAGATACCATTCACGCAGCTTTATTGAAATGGCAAATAATTTGTCATAGACATGTCATTTTGTAGGCTAATAATACCTACCAGCGATATGTAGATAAAAAACTGTGCATTCTCATCACAGCCAGTCGTGCACAGGTCCATAACTTGTATGTTTATACGAAATCATTATTTATTTTTGCAATATTTATAGCTTTGAATTTTAAGCAACTTGAATGTACCTAATATACCTGTTTTGATGATATTTGTGTGGTACCTGTTCACAGAGAACGGAATAACTTGTGTATTTGTGTGATGCCATGCTAAATATGTTGCTATTGTTCCAGAAATATGTGGAGTCATCAGTGGGGTGCGCAGGAGAGCGCGGCGAGGATTCCAGTTATGACTCAGAGTGTGAGGACGAGAGTGCCCACCGAGCGGCCTCTCGGACTCCCTCTGACACACTCGCCGCCGAGTTCGCAGAGTATGTCACTCTCACACCCCCACAACCCAACCAGGTAAACCAAGTTTAAGTCGGATCTTTGATTTTAAATAGACCAATATGGATCGTCATACATTATACATTACAGTTAAAAATAAAAGGTGTCAGTCTGTCGGTCGGTGCCATGGTTATCTACTTTTTTCAATTAGTTGAAGGAGACAAAAATGGAACATAACATTAGCACAATACCAGTTAGGAGTTGACCAGTCCTTGTTGATACATGAACCAGCGCCGTCCAGCTCTACCATATGTAGGAAATCAAGCGATCAAGTGTCCGTGCCACCGCCAGAGACTTGAGTGGGCATCACATAGGATATTGGCAAGCGATTAGCACCAATTATGGACAATGAGCAAGGTCTCCCGTGATTAAAGACACCTTGTTTTTTACCAGCATAACATATCAATGTAATAATAGAATTTATCGACGTCATATGCCTTAACAGGACGGCTTTTTGTACGTATTAATTAACATAGGATGGCAGTCATAGAACAATGGGTTTCCCCATTAACCGTTTTTCGACTACAATTCAAGGAATTGTTTCAATACTGAAATTGTTTTTGTTATTTTTCCCCTAACGACTTTTTTCAATTTTGTTAAATTATTTCTTTTTTGTTTTTAGGCAAAGATCGAGTTTGCTATGAAGTTGGGTTACTCGGAGCGATTGGCGCGAACAGCGATACAGCGGTTGGGCCCCGACCCCCCTTGCAACGAATTGCTAGCGGAGCTGATAAAGCTGGCCGCCAAGCAGCCCCCGCGCGCCCTGTCGCCCACCCCGCCCGCGGAACCCGATCCCCCGCCCGACCGCGCGCCACTCAGGCACATTGTCATAGACGGCAGCAATGTCGCTATGAGGTATGTTTCCATCTAGTTTTTCTTCCAAAAATTACAGTTTTATGTTCATAATGCTAAGGCACGAATATCATACGAGCACATATATATCACCCAAAGAGTTCCGGTTCATATTTGATAACTCTTTTTCATAATCTTATCAAAATGATACAGTGTTTATAAATAGTATAGTATACATTTTAACCTAATTATTGAATTCGTTATTGTGTGGCAACTTATGCTTATGTCCATTGTTTTGTCCCCAGCCATGGCAACAAAGAGGTGTTCTCGTGTCGCGGTATTGAAATCTGTGTGGAGTGGTTCCGTGCGCGCGGCCATCGGGAGATCACAGCATTTGTGCCCAAATGGCGAAAAGAGTCAGCTCGTCCCAACAACCCCATCGTGGACAGAGACGCGCTCGAGAGATTGGAGCGGGACAGAGTGCTAGTGTACACTCCCAGCAGACTGCTGGGCGGCAAGCGCCTGGTGTGCTACGACGACCGCTATATCCTACGCCTTGCGGCCGAGACTGACGGCATCGTAGTCTCCAACGACAACTATCGCGACCTCGCTGTTGAGAATCCAGACTTTCGGAAAGTAGTCGAAGAGCGCCTACTCATGTATTCTTTCGTGAATGACCGATTCATGCCCCCGGATGACCCGCTCGGTCGCTCGGGACCGACGCTGGATGCGTTCTTACGCGCGCCCGTATCCCGCGCGGAGCCCCCGCCTGCCTGCCCGTATGGCCGCAAGTGTACGTACGGCAACAAGTGCAAGTTCCACCACCCGGAGCGCGCGGGCCGGCCGCAGAAGTCCGTGGCGGAGAAACTGTCGGAGCGCGCTGCCAAGACCCTGCGGTCGCGCGACCTGCACACCGTGAGCCTGCCGCCCGGCGGCCGCCCCGCCGACACCAAGCGCCAGCTCGCGCGCGCGCAGTCCGCCGCCCCGCGCCTGCACGACGCCACACTGGCCACGCACTTCGACCGCGCGCAGCTACAAGTGGCGGGCCCCGCGCAGCTTCAAGTACCGGGTCCTACGCAGCTACAAGTACCGGGCCCCGCACAACTACAGATGGCAGGTCCCTCTCAGCCGCCCCCCGAAGTTAACCCACACCGTAAATTGGCTCGCCAGCTAACGCTGAACCCTGCATGCGACCCACGCCTGCAGCCTCACGCGCTGGCGGCGCGGGTGGCGAGCGCGCCGGGCGGGGCAGGGGGCGGCGCGGGGGGCGCGGCGGCGGCGCTGGCCCCGCTGATGTCTCCGTGCGCGTCAGACGGCGCCCTGCAACACTGGGACGCGCGGCGCCGCATGCACTACCACCTGGCGGGGATCTTCCCCGAGGCGCAGGTGGCGGAGGCCATGGCGGCCTACCCCGAGGAGACGGACGCGCAGACCATGTGCGCCATCATCCTGGCCAGGTACCGGCCGAGCGAGGCGCGCGTGCCTCACTGAGCCGTCCCCGCTATACTTACTGCCGGTTTTTGATAAAAGCCGCTCAGTAGATATTACCGATAGCTTGGAAGCTGATCGCTCGCCGGCCACGGAGGCTCCTGCTGGTAGCGATCGACAGGAGTTTATACAACATCGAGCCGAGGCCTTCGCACGTTGCCAGTGGACTGAGCCATACGATCGCATCTTTGATGATAAATAGGCATTTATATCTTGTACATATTCTATGGTTTCTGACATTCGCTTCTAAGAAGCGCATGCTGATATTTAATAAACATTAAATAGTTTCTAGAGATGTACAAATACATATGTATTTTCACCTGTACAGTTATTTGACTCATTGCTTGTCTATTCTGACACATTTTGCTTTGTTTTTCATTTTTAGGAATATTTTCGCAAATTATTTTTGCATTAATGCAAGACATATAAAAATTATTTTGTAATATTAAGACAATTATTGATATTAAATAGCTAAATATGTGATCATATATAAATCATTATTGGTACCATGTATCAATTATTATTTTTATACTAATATATAATTAATTAAATGTTATGATATTGAGCACTACTAAATTTTGAAAAATTATAATTTTACAAAGAAATGCACTTAATTTTGTTGAGTGTTCTATATATTATATGCAGCACGGTTATGGCTCATTTATTGACTATTGAGTATGCAGAAACTGTTCATATTATTATTTACTCTTTTGATTTATTAAGTATGTTTAGATGTAAGCAATGGCCTGCTGTGTCGGACCAGTGTGGCCGTCATGGTAGGTGTAACATTGAACCAATCTGTTGTTTGATTTTTATTAAATTGAACTGTTAAAAACTTAATGCAATGCATAAATTGAAAATGTAAGATACATATATCTACTCCCGTGCAATACTTCATAGAGTGATTGTTGTTATATTTGTATAGATACACTTTATGAAGTATGGCATGTTATTATTAGTGTAATTAGTTTATCAAGTTTTACCTCAATTTTGGAAATAGTACATTTATCTTTTGGCATTTTTTATTGCTTGTTGCAGCATTAATATTTTGACAGACAGAATTAGATTTATTATTGACAGGTTTCCAAATGAAAGGTAAAACTTGATAGTTTGTAATTAGAAGTGTTGAGGGATAGCTTACATTTATTTGCTAACCTTATGAAGACATCCCAAACATTTCTGATTACAGTTCACATTCCTTGTGGAATGTATAACATATGTCTATTGTGACATTATAGTTATTAATATTTTGAAAATAAAGCATCTCTCTCATTAGAAACTCGTTTATTTCTTTTTAACCCTATTAGGATTGTTTGTCATTCTTTTCAATAACATCTTCTTGTAAGTCTCACTGTCTGTTTGTTTATCTGAGAATTCTATGAAGTTTTGTCCTATGAATTTTTTATTCGTTTTTGATGTGTTATCTGTGGTAGTTGGTACAAATACTCTAGTACTCTTACTAGTCCTATATAAAAGCTTGAAGGGTGTTACTTCTGTAACTTTATTAACTTCATTATTATTAGAAATTTGGTCAATATCCATTTTTTCTTCTATAATATCATCCTGTTTGATGTTCTTAATACATTTTGTAGCTGGATGATTTTTAGCTATTTCAGCTATTTCTTTTTTTACATCCAAAAGACAATCATGTTTTATTCCTAAGCAGCTAGTTGGAACTCCAAAATTAACCATGGATATTTGTCTCAGGTTGTTCAAACAAATATATGGGACACCTTTTGCAGTACACATTTCAACAACAGGCTGTACTATAAGTCTTGGGTTTATTTTAGCTTCAATGATAATGGCTGAACATTCTACATTATGTACAGATTCAGTGCATTCTCTTACACCAAGGAGAAGGCCCTCTGGCTTTCTGGAATTAAAAACATGGATATTTATCAACAACAAACAAATCAAAGATGTTAAAACTAATTAACCTTTCAATAAAAGAACAATATGTGTTGTTGTTTTGGGTCTGTGTGGTTGGTGTAAGTACATGAATTTGGTTGTTAGTGAATATTAAAGCCTTGCTTTTGAACCAGAATCAGAATCTTTGCAATATGTCCTATACTTAGGTAGTTTGTACTGTTTAAACATAATACCACATTTTTATAAGTATTTTTCGCGACATTACTTTTTAGTCTTAATATGAGTAAATTTCATATGATGTTTAAAAGGGACATCATTACTCGTGTACAATATAAAATATAAAAAAAATATCACTTACTTCAACTTAGGTGGTTTAGGACGCTGTTCTTTAGGCAAATCTTTCAGATCTTTCCAATGTGGTTTCTTGAATGGCTCATGGTTAATTTTATGCTTTTTTAACACATTGACTAACTTGTTGCCTTCGTCTTCTGTTGCTTCTGGCCTGTAAAATATCCAAAGTTATTGTATAAAAAAACCTTTTATAATAAATTTGTAAATATTAGCGTATAATCTAACCAAAACAGTGGGTCAGGCCGACATAAAACATTTTTGATAGTTTTCTTTAATTTGCCTTTACTTATAGTGGTTTTCTTCTTTTGCAAAGTAGCAGCTTCCATTTCTTAATTTTTGAAAGTTACATTTACATTCGCATGATTCTAAAGACAAAATTATAACTTTGTTTAGAGTTCAGTACAACTTTTCATAGAATCATAACCTAAAATCTTCTGTAAGAGCTGTCAAGTGTCAACAATCAACAGATTGTCATCTGTCATCACGGTGCCATAGTGACAGCTAACATTCTGACAAAGCCAAGCCAAGCCAAGCAAAGCAAACTGTAAACTACTGTAAAATAGATTCAAGATATTAAAAATTTTAGCGGCATACAATTTCTATTTTCCTGTCTTCTAGGTAATAATGGATTTTCTCTTGTGTCGTGGTTGCGTTACCCAGCGGAACTACAATTTGTGGATTGAGACAAAAACAAAGAGTTGTTCCATGCGGGAGTCGAACCCGTGATACCAGCCACCACGGCAACCGTGCGTCACATACAAGTCATAAAAACATTGATGATTTCGCATGATATAGGTATTCTCGATTTTGTCCTACTGTTTTCCGGGCCTATCCTGAAACGGCTATTCACACTTTCTCCGTAAGAAAATGAAATGAAATTCAATATATCAGACAATCCAGTTAGCAACAGTGGCAAGCTGACAAGAGTGGATTTAGAATTTTAAATTCAAAATAAAAAGGCTTGTTTGGTTGCTAAATTTTAATGACTCGGTGTAGCGACTGGTGAAACTATATCGCTCAATTCGGCTACATTACAGGAAATTATGACGACCAACTAAGTAATAGGCACTCTCGCGAATGAGCTATGATTCTACTAAAGTTTATTAAAATGAGACAGTTTAAGAATTAATGGATGCATGTTTGTTATTCTTTTACGCAAAAACGGCTGGACCGATTTGGTTGTGACAACGAATATAGGTACCCTGGATTAACACATAGCTTGTTTTATCACGCTGGCAGAAGCTTGTATTTCGATACATCAGGTTTTTTTTTTGTGAGGGGAAAACCATATAATGACTTCTCCCGCCCAGGGCCGGGCAGGAGGGAGTGTCAGACTCTTACTGACTAAAAACCCCCCTGTTCCTTCTCCTGCTCTGTGCTGAGGTCGCGGTACCTCATTGCGCTTACCCCGCAACCCCGGCTGAACATCAGCCCTTTAGGGCCCCGTCTGTGGTGGTCGAATGGCTCTTTGAGGCGCGCGCGGAACGCTACGCGCCGTACGCTCGGGCCTGGTTCTGGTCGGGCGGCGAGCTGCCCTTACTCGCCGACCGCAGGCCCGTGCTTACGGTGGCCGGAGATCGTCCCTCGATCCCCGACGCCCGTAGTGTCGCCAGTTGCGGCTGCTGGGGCGTGAGGAGGAGGATTGCTCCCTCACGCGGGCCGCCTCTCTCTTTGCGAGCATGACCGCTTCACAAAAGGAGGAGACGGCGTCCCAGTTCCTCTCACTCCGCACCATGGCCTCGACTAAGGCCGGGAGCGAGAGGTCGCCGCCGCCGATCACTTCCCTGAGGATACGGCGGTGCTCAGCCCAGGCAGGGCATACCGCTACCGTATGCTCCACCGTATCCTCTAGGTGGTCCTCACAATGACGACACTCGGGCGTTTCCTCCCGCTGAATCCGAAACAGGAACCTACCGAAGCTGCCGTGCCCGGTAAGCACCTGCGTCAGACGGAAGGTGAGGACGCCGTGGCGTCTCTCAAGCCACTCCTCAAAGAGGGGTCTTACCGCTGCTATGGTAGCGTGCCCGGCCCTCGGTTGCGACAGTCGTTGTTTCCACTCTGCCATGAGATCTCGCCGGAGCTCATTCCGCCACGCACTAATTTGGCGCGGCAGAGGATCTTCGCCGATACATCAGGTACAGTCCTATTCGCAGTCTAGTAACAGTAAAATGCTGACAAGACTGGATTTAGAATTTGAAGCTGTAGTGAAGTTGAACTGGGAGCGTTGCTACCTAGCAGCACACACAATACAAGGAAAGGATGATTTAAAACAAAAAATCAGCAACCATTTTTTAAACTTTACCAGTAGGTATATAAGGGGCCCCCTTATATACAGGTAACGTTTTTCAATTTGTGGAACCGCCCTTTGCTGTTCTAAGCCAAATACTCATAATGTAAAATTAGAACGTATAATTTACCGAAAGGATCCACGAAGACAATTGTTTTAAATAGACAGATAAGTACTTTTATTATGATATTGGAATTTTAAATTTTAGTTAATATATAATTTAAAACGTTAGATAGTATTATATTTACGAATATTTGGAACAATCTGGTGTAGCTATGGAACGAGCTATGTGAAGTTGTATCGGATTACTGATACTAATGATTTATTGCTTGAACGGGTTTTCTCCATTTTAGTGAATTGCATTATATTGTATAACTATAACTTGATAAATTTGTAAATGTGAGTGCTCTGTAACCTATTACAATTGGTTAGACTAGCAGAATGTCGGTCCTTATAACAGCTTGGAGTTGTCATGCTCACTGAAAGGTCACACTGGCGGTGGCATGGGCACTGGATCGCTTAATTCCGTATAATATGGTTGAGTTGGGCGATGCTGGTGTACGTGTAATGCTCGTGAACGGGCGCCGTCAGTTGGGACTGGTCAGCTCCGGACTGTCTATTGTCCTTAAGGTTACTTTATTTTTATATTTGAATAAATATTAGTGTTACACTGTTCTCACATAATTGAACCAACTGTTTGTAAAAGGAATCTGTATGTGAAACTGATTTTAAGAGTCCCCATGGAGTTTCTTGCTCGTTCTTCTCCATCGGAATCTACACTTTGGAATTGGAACGAGCAAATAGCTTCACTAAGAGGACTGACCGACAGACTGGCACTATATCTTCAAAATTTTGTTTGACGTTCAAAAGTGCCTGTAAAGGTCAAACTGGAATAAATGATTTTTGACTTTTGACTTTTTTAATAAACCATGTGAGAATCAATGACTCAATATTTTATGTAACCACGCAAAGTTCTAGCAGCACACACATGCAAAGAAAGGAGGGTTGACACTTGTGGCGGATAAAATGGCAGTCGGTAACTGTTAGATAACAGCAGAAGTTGTAGTATAGGAAGGTAAGTTTTAATAGGTACCAACTGAGGAAAAACTGCCAGTGGACCATTTTATTTTACAAAGTTATGTATGTATACACTACGTGGTAACATTACCTTAGGCTTAGCCAGATGGTTACCTGGCTAACCCAACCGTGGGAAGAAATAAATTCAATTTCTATAGAAAATAATTATCTGTTATTGTTTCCGGACATAATAAGCTTCCGATAAGTAAGACAATAGGCTTATCCCTTACAGTCTTTAAGTATTTTTTTTCAAAAGGTTATTTACTGCCCAGATCTAAGCGAGACATACTTAAGTTATTTTGGAAAAGATTTGTAATTATTTCTAAAAAGAAGCGATGTACATAATTTTAATACCAGAGGTAAAGATAAGCTGGCTCTGCCACGATTGTGTCGGTCCAATAAGTACCTTACCTACCCGCCTTCATGGGGTTGTGTGTGAAGTGTAACAATAAATTACTATAAAAATAGTGTATTAAATCACAATGAAGGAAAAGAAGAAATTATATTTAACGCGAATTGTGTAGCCTAGCATACTACAAACTGTCAGATTATATTGAGGACAAGAATGCGTGGCAGCATGTTGGTTCAGGTCTCCTCAAACATAGTCAGTAGTTACTCAAATTCTCAGAACAAATGAATACTTAATTGCGGCATCAAACACTTTTTTAATAGATATTTAATGGAATCTATACAGAAACATTATTTTGGATTGTCAGTAGGTATGCATCTGTGAGCACTATGTACGAGACGATGAAGGATTAAAAATTCAATGATGAATTGATATTCTTTTAGGCATCATATATCGGCTGGTGAAAGTTTATTCAAAAGTTTTTAGTGCATATCTAAGTGCTTGCTTCGTGCAAGTTTGCTTTACGCTATCACAATCGTCACATTTATTCCGTTCAGCGCTCTCTTCCTCAAGAAGTCAAGAAAACTCACCTCGTTACTTTTCCTGCTCCACGCCGGGGCCATGGTACCTACATTACTGCGCTTGCCCCACAACCCCGGCTGAACATCGGCTGTAAAACGCAGATTGGCGAATCTATCGGTCCATTATTAATTAACATCTTTTGTTACTAACGTTTGGAACTAAATGCCGTCATAGCCCGGAGGTTAAGGCGCCCGCTTCTTCAGGTTCAGGCTTTTTCTCAGCAGTGGACATGTATGTGCTGATGTGATGTGATCGGAATTAATAATCTTTTTTTTTATGTGGTAGGTCGGCAAACGAGCAGACGGATTACCTGATGGTAAGCAATCAGCGCCGCCCATGGACACCCGCAACGGAGGAGTTACGAGTGCGTTGCCGACCTTTTAGGGATTAGGGATTTGGAGATTTAGGGATTGAGGAGGGATTGGGGGAGGGGAAGGATTGGGCCTCCGGTAACCTCACTCACACGACGAAACACAACGCTGTGGTTGTTTCACTCCGGTTTTCTGTGAGGCCGTGGTATCACTCGGGTCGAGCCGACCCATTCGTGCCGAAGCATGGCTCTCCCACACAATCAATTGTTTTTCTGACAAACATCTGTCTTTTTTTGCTACAGATTATCGTTATTAATTTCAACTACATAACGATAGTCGCGGTGGCGTCCCAAGTACGAGAGCGCTGGTTCGAGACCAACGACGAGCTGCAGACTCTTTTTCTACATTATTTTTATTTACAAAATTTATTTGGACATCACTAACAAATGGAAAAGAAAAACTTCGTGCAAGAGATGATGATGGTAATGATGATGATGATAATGTTGAGAGAGAATTTCAATGCAGTAATCCTGAGAAGGGCGGAGAATGGATAGGGCCTGTTAACGAATTCGTAGCCAAATTAGCTGATTACCTTAATTAGCTATTCAATTAAGGATGTGTAAAAACAGTTTAAATTTCTCAAACAGGCTGTTAGCTGATTGGTGAAAAGCGATTCATTAAAACCGATTGCTACCGAATTGCTTCTGCAATTAAGATGACTAAATAATTATGAGGCACTCGCGCGTATAATCTATGATCCTTGGTCAGAAAGTTTTGTGAGAATTTATGGATGTACTGAGTACATCCATAAATTCTCAGTTTAATAAACTGTGTTTCTTACACGCAAATATTTGGTTGAAAGTATTTGGATAGGTGATACCTTGGATTAACACATAGGCTGCCTTTATCAATATACGAGGTGGGCAAAACCGCGGTTAGAGGCTTTAATTTCAATATATCAGAAACAGACCTGTTGCTGGACTGGACACAGACCTGTTGATGGACTGGACACAGTCCAGTTAGCAACAGTGGCAAGCTTACAAGAGTTGATTCAGAATAAAATTTCAAGATCAAAGCGAAAAAGCTTGGGCGGTTGCTAACCGACTGGGTGCGTTGCTAGCTTCTAGCAGCACGTACAATACAAAGAAAGGGCGATTTGAAACAAAAGACGACCATTGTTCAGAACTTTACCTGCACCGATGGGGGGACATCTGCGATTTGTAGAACCGCTCATTGCTGTTCTAAGCCAAATAATTATAATGTAAAATGCTCACTGCTAATTTACCGAACGAATACATCACGGTGAGAAACATTTTGAATAGGTAAATACTATTATTATGAGATTGGAATTTACAAATTTAGAGATATCATTTTAAATTAGTAAACTTTAAGTGAACACCGAGTTCAAGCACCTATCGTTCTTCTGTTGTTTCTCGAATTACCACGTTTGAAAGGTATAGATAAAGACTTACTCACTGAAGGCTCTACTTGTGTCTAATACATATTCTTTCATTCATAAATTACATAAGGTATTTGGCCAACCAACAGAACAAGCCTTCACAGTCGACATTTCACTGCTAATTATAATTATTCATACAATAACAGGCTGTGCTTACAAAAAAAGGCTCTAGAAGTTTCCATTCCCCCCGGAAGGGTCGAAAATTTTTACCTGAAAATCTTTTGAAGGTACCTGCCCTTAAGGGAGAATAACTAGGGAGCGTGGGATTTTAAGCCTTCTGCTCAATGAGATGCCTAAGTCTAGAAAACGGTTTTACTTTAAACTTTAAGATACAACATCTTAGTCTTTTCATCAAAATGGACGCTATCCCAAACTCTGTTACGCGCAATTGCTAGTGGTCACTCGACAAGCGAAACAGTTGTCAATTTTTGTTTGACTCTTGTGGAACTCTAAATCGTGGCATCCAATTTCTTCACTATTAGATATAATTAGATAGAATTAATTCATTCGAACTAAATATCTCTGTATCACAATTGTTTTCACAAAAAAGATTGTGTTTACCTAATCGTAGGTCAGTTTTCCTTCGCCGTAGTAGGATTTAAAACACCCTTGACATGAGTAAGTCTTATCCATACTACTTAATATCATAAAAAGGTAATATTTCTAAGTTTCTAATCGTCAGTAATATTTGATACGAATTTTTTTCACTGATAGATAGATGCGATTTACTTGCGTATTTTAGTGTCGCGATTTCGCTTTAAACGCTACAGTTTCTAAAATTCTGGGATGCATTACTTTTATACGCGAGCAAATACGCGGGCAGAAGGCAGTTTTTAATAATTCTCACGATTGTAACTATTCAAAAGTTGTGTTAAAACAAGGTCATATGAACTTTTGGGTCTTAAATAATCCGAAAACAACCAACCAACTAATCCAAAACTAACGTTCGTCAGGATTTGTGACCATATTAGACTAATCATGTTATATTATTTTCACATGACTCAATTAAGACCCGTGATAATAAGGACCTGTGAATCAATTTATGTACCATATCAACTATTAGGAACTTTGCTAAACGTCCGATAGATAGATGTAATTAACCGCCGATATTTTTATAAAAAATTATAAAAAATAATGCATTTGATTTCGCTATTAACTATATTCGCAATAATAAAATAAACCGGAACGATAAATTCAAATTTAACAAAAATATTGGTACTTATAGAAAACTAAATAAGAAAAAGTAGAAATAGATTCTTCTTCTGTAATAAGAGCCAAATTTTAAAACAGTCTTATTAACGTTTACCTAAAATATATTTAGGTACCTAAATAAAAAATGAGATAGGTAACGATTTTTGGAACGAAAATGATTTTTGAAAAGAATGTGACCTTGTAGGCCGTAGCAAGCAATAAGCCTATTGTCTTATTTATCGGGAGCTTATACTCGGAAACAAAAACCGATAATTACTTTCTATAGAAAATGGGATTTACTTTTGCCGGTTACCTGGCTAAGCCATTCGTGGTCTTTATTTTTATGACCCCCATTGTAATCAATAGTTTCAAAGTTTACATTATTGCGATTTTTTGAGAGTAGTTCAGTACCTTCCGTGTCCACATCGCGAACAGAGCTCTTCAGAGTTAAATCAGAATAATGGAGAGAAGATCTACTTATACCGAGGACGAGATATCCATCGCAAGGGCGCTCCTGGCTCTGCGAGGAATACCGTTTTCGACAGAATTCGAGACTCCGCCGCTGCAAGAAAAATATCAAGGTAAGTTTTTCCATAAGTTCTAATATCTGCGCTTGGCATTTCGTCGTTTGCCGTGCTTACTTGCTTTTGATAACGTAAATTGTGTCTTCTATCTCTCTCTCTCTCTCTCTCTGTCCTATTTGTGAATATAAATATTGGCCTCGTAGGCTACTTGACCAATTGTCATGCAGTGTCGCGGATTCGATTTCTGTCTCCTGCAAATGCTATTTCCGTGCTTAAGCTTAAAAGGGCATCGAGCCATGTCGTTATAAATTAACATCTGTAATTTGTGACTTCTGGTAAGTTGTTAAAACTTACCAGATGTCACAAAAACAAAAAAAAACTGTTTGTACATAATATTAAATTCAATTAGACCAATTAAAGGCACATTCGTACGCCAAATAAAATAGAAAAGTTAAATATAAATAGTTAGTAGATGACAGGCGGACAAAATGACTCTTCTCTTCTTAAGATCTAAGTCTAATGTAAGCATTAATGCTCGAAAATTGGTAACGCCACCTCGAGGGAGGTCACATAAAATTAAGTTTGTGTTATAACTGTTCAGTAGTGAGAGAGAAAAAATCGTCGTTTAAATTTGATGTTACAATTCCAAGTTAATCCAAAAATTCAGCTAACAATAATATGTTTGTGTTCTAACCTTTTGGTAGCGTGAGATTCTAAATAATTTGAAAATAACGGCTTACTCGTGTCTACTGATTGCGCTACGATTCATGAGCGGCGTAGCTTGCTGCGCAGCTATGTCTCGCGGCGTAAAACGTTTCTTGTTTTTTTTTTCTTATTAAAACTATAAGTTGTCTCGCAATGGATTTTCTCCTGCGTTTACAAACTTACAATTTCACAACAATTTGTGGATCACCAAAGAGTTGTTCCTTGCGGGAATCGAACTTGCGACACGTCGCGCGGCAGCCACTTGCCCAGCCGGCGCGTCAACCACGCAATCGAAAATTTAATTTAAAATCTATCTAAATTCTTACAATTCATATAATATCTATTTTTTTCTCGAATAATAACAATTATGTAAACCTAATTGACAGTTTTTCTTCAGTTTTGTTCAAAATGTGTCATATCGTCATGATTTTCTGCGTCTTACGCCTACATACTAGGTACCATATTTTTTATTGCATTGTTTAAGTGGATATAATTTATTTTTAAATTTCATTGGAAACTATATAGTTTTTTCTTCTCCTCAAATGATATTTTCTGATTTATTTCGTTGCGGGATCAAAGACAGTCATTCAAGTCCCTGGGACGCGTCGGACTTCAGTGCTCCGGTGTTTTCATGGTTGATCTTTTTGACCAAAATAAGCTAAATCAAACCAGTAGTTCTTCGGATTTAGTGAGGCTAACGAACAGATTTTTTTTATACTAGAGTAGAATAAATTTACGTGATTTTAAATAGTTTACCTAAATATAATGTCAGTGTTTTTTCTTGCATTTTGTACAAATTTGTTCTTTACTAGCTTCCGCTCGCGACTTAGTAGGTAGTAGTAATAGTCTATGTCCTATTCCGGAGTGTATGACATGCTTATGCAAAATTTCACCCAAATCCGTTCAGCCATTTTGGCGTGATTGAGTAACAAACATCCAAACACGGTAACTTTCGCATTTATAATATTAGTAAGAAGTAGGTACCTAAGATAGCTGTCGTTTACAAACATCAATACCACCATCGAGTCGTATTAACTTTTAACATCATTATTACGTTTACGCAAGTTTTAGTATCAAAAAATAAAGAAATAAATATAATTAACATATCCGTCGTATACGTAGGTACAGGGAGTCTAGTTGACTCAAACCATTTTATTTGAAACATATCTTTCTTAATTTATCTAGTTTGTGTCACTTTTATATTTAATATTTTTTTTTAATTAAAAAACTTAAATAAACGCAAATGTTAGCACTTAGCAGGTGGGTCTTGCTCGTTCTTCTCCATTCGAATCTACAATTTGAAACGAGCACTTAGCTTCACTGACGAACAGACTGACAAACTACCTACTTATTCTGACGCTGTAAAAGTACTTACCTATTTGTAGTTTAGTTGGAATATATGATTTTGTTTTTGACTTTCAGTTTGTGTCATTAAACTAGGTATTTAATTTTTTTCAAAAATGTTGGTTTTACTTAAACTTAGTGCGGCTCTGTGTGCGGTGTCACCATGTACTTCTTCGTTATTTAACATACTTACCACTTATTTCTTAAAAGTAGACTTGAAAATAACAAATATTATGTAAGGATATGTAAATGAAAGTTTGATAATTTTTATTTTACCTTACTTCTTAGTAATATTATAAATGCTAAAGGTACGATGTTTGCATGTTTTTGTTACTCAATCACGCCAAAATGGCTGGACTGCTCTACACTCCGGAATAGGACATAGGCTACTTTTTATCAACATACCACGCAGGCGAAGCCGCGGGTGGAGGCTAGTAGTCAATAATTTGAACAGTACCTACAATTTTTTTAAAGTAAAAATGTTTTTTAACTTAGTCAACAAAATTATAGCCTTAATCATTTAGAAATATTAATTTACGATTATTTAAGAAAAATGTATTATACTAATTAATTTTTTTAAAATTAATTTTGTAATTATGATTAACATTTAAAATATCTGTACTTAAAATCAACCGTAGGTATTCTATGAGTATCATGGAAATCAGATCAAACTATTTTGCAGTAAAAAACATATTTTATATGCTAAATGATAATTATTTGGTTTATGCAACTTTTATAAATTCGCTTTGTTATTATTTTAAATTTAAAAAAACTTTTGAAATGAAAAGACCCTTTTAAGTACCTAAATAGGTTAATATTGTGGTTTATACAATTTCAAATACTTATCCTATAAAGTTTCAGCTTTCAGCTCAATCGGTGAAACATACGTAGTACATTGCAAATTAAATAAATAATTGTAAAATATTTATCGCTTATTAATTTATATAATTTAATAATACCACTTCGTTTATTTATGAACATAAATCTATACTTACTGCATCACTGCTTACCATCAGGTGGGATCGCAGTCAAGAACTAGTTTATTGCAAGTAAAAAAAAAAATACTTAGTACCTAATATTATAAAGAGAAAAGATTTGATTGTTTTTTGTTTGCACGACCGATCTGAAAATTCTATCGCTGTCGGAAAGATTTTTTTGCCGATGAACATTTGCTATTTCAAATATTCTAAAACGTTAACGATCTATAATTATAACTTTTTAACTTTAATAAATTTAAACCAAGGTGTGAAAAAATAACAAAAAAACTTCCTTTTCTCGCGTACGCGGTACAGCTAGCGGCCCGACCCCGCTTCGCACGGGTCCATCTATCATGCTATCAAAGTGTCACTTTTTCCTAATATTCCCTCTACTTTTCTGATATTTTCTTTGATAATACCTTTTCCTGACAATAACAAACACATCAAAAAAAGAATTAGCAAAATTGGTCCAGGCGTTGTTGAGTTATGCGTTTATCAACACATTTTGCGATCCATTTTTATATATAAGAAGATAGAAGCAAGTTTTGTTGGTGTCATCAATAGTTAAAAATATCGTTTAGCTAGCTATCAATACTACTGAAATACTTGATCCTCTTCGTTATTTTTTATTATATCTTTTTCCATCTTTTTTACTTAATTGAACATAACAATAGCACCAAAATTTCATCAATATAGCTATGAAAACCCACCTCGCTCTGTTTCGCTCTTTGCTGTTTTTTTTGCTTGCTCCCTCTAACTTCTTACAACCTTTTTTTAACTTGTAGTAATCGGAAAAACTGTTTTTCTATTTAAATAATGAACTACTTATCCATACTTGTCATACATTTTTCTAAACCAACGAGAGCTTCGGTGTTTATACCTTTGGATTGACTTGGAATTGTAATGATACAGCCTTCTTTTTTCAAAATTGAATTATTATTTTTTATTCATAATTGAATTAATTCATAATTTATACCTAATTCAGGAAAAAAACAATTTTTATAATACGCGTCGTACCGTGGACAACTTTTTATTGTAAGTAGTTGGTATGATAGTATCAATATTATACGAACTAATAATTGCTTTTTACGGACTAATATATATGGGATGTCTATATTTTGATGTTTTAAGCACTTCAATGTTATAATACTTCAAAGGTCACGATTAAAAACGGTTAATTTATACATACATCTACCTATTATTATACTTTTTTTTCGCAAAGTTTAGATACATTATATTTTATAGTATTTTCATTTGAGAGGAACCACGCAGATGATATTTATACTTACATATTTTTTTATATCTAAATGCGGATCATCTTAAACGAAGGGATAAACAGACAGACACAACGACTCTAGACTTTAGTTTCTTGCCATTAGGCTACAGATCCCTAAAAAAGATTAAAGGCATAAAAGGACTGGCTTAAGATAGGTTTTCTTTTTCAGCATCTGTGATCAAAAGATCCAGATCCCCTGTAGCAGGTGCTAGTGGGATGATAAAAGAGGTTAAAGACGATCATTCCGCGTTTGTCAAGAAGCGAAGTGACGATAAAACGCAACAAGCAGATACCGTTGAGGTTTGTCCACCTTCGCATGCCTTTTATATCTTAAGATGATGCCCCACTCTTCCATAGCCCCGTGTATCGTACATTCACAATTCGCACACACATCAGACCCCGATCCTGAACATAGACTGGTGGACCTCACAAAGAATTGTTCCGCGAAAAAGGAATCTGCGATGCGTTGTGCAGCAACCGATCGCTTTGCCTAAAGCATCGATCAGACCAAACGCTTAATTGTGCCCTGAGCCTGAACACTTAAGTTCCGATGGATTGGGAGGCTGTTAGTGTCCCGAAATCGGGTGATCGAGAGTGTCTCGATGAATTGTGAAGTCTGATCGTCGCTTCAGCCAATAATACAGTCATTCAGTTAGAAGCATAATATTAAGATGTACCACTATGTCGAACAAATGTACTGAAATGATTTAGGGCTGGCAGTCCGACTCTGAAATTCACTGGTGCTACTTCCCTACTGCCGTCAGAGACGTGTTTTTCTTACTTTGGACAACCAGGCAGTAGTTTTCCCGGCATTCAAAAAGCTGCTGCTTCCCGAATTATTTAGGATTCATAATTATATGATGATTTAGATTAGCAGCAGACATGCAGCTTAGAAAGCTTAGTTTTCATTGATTTATAATCACTGAAAACATGTATGTATATAATAATAATGTAACTACATAACTATTAATGTCACAACTTCGTCTTCGTCACAACTAAATAAGGTTTTTATTTTACTACAAATACGTAACTATTGTCCTAATTTTCAGGTCCTTCATAATAAAGAGATAAAAAAGGTGAAGAAAACACGACGGACTAACTCCTTATTGAAATCAGAATCTCCAAAGACACAACAGGTCGAGTCGTCGGGCTTACTTATTCGAGATTCGCCGGACTCACCGGATGACTTTAGCGACAGCGATAGCAGCTTCACTGAAGCTGATTATTTAAGATTTTTGGAACAGAACCAAGCTAAAGCCAGCCGTCGCCGCCGCCGCCGCCGCAGAGATTCTTCAGAAGATGTTGGCGAAAATTATCAGAACGAAAGTAAAAAGATAAAACACGACTTTGAAGATCTCACAAACAATAATGATTACTTTATAAAAATAGAAGATTGCGAACCAGAAGATGAATGGGTAATGTTATGCTTTGTTATATTTCATTTATAAGTTAGTATGGTCTTAAGACGTAGTGTACTTTTTTAATAATAGAAACGAATCTGTGGGAATAATCTTAGCGAATTTTATGTTGTGGATGTAACGTAAAGACTATTTAAATGTTCAGACAAGCTTATGCAATGATACAATTTGTTTACATAATTGTTTTCTATTTTTTTATTTCTGTTGCACTTCGTCTTCATGATCATAATAGGAAGATGTAATGGCTTCGAAAAGTAAACTGTTACTGTCCAATAGGCTCTGCCTACATCACATTAGATGTTCCTATAAGTTATTCTGCAATTAATTCCATGTACGGTAGTAATTTCGTACCTTATAAGACTCTGATTGGTGTTATACTAACAACTGATGTTTACCGCGTATTTTCATTTAATCCAAAGAGTATTTATTGCACCATGAGACTCTTTGGACCAGTTATACACAAAATTCTAGGAAATAGAAGTTATAGTTTTTCATTTGGACAATTACCTACCTACTTCAAATTTCGAAATGGTTCGCATTCGAAATTCGAATTAAGCTAAATTACTAAATAACAGTATTATTTCCAGATTGGTATTGGCTCCGGTAACACGTTGGTGCGCAGAGATAAATATAAAAAAATCAACTGGGATTCTTTTAAACTTGCCACAAGGGGTCTCCTAGTCGCAGTCTTTAATAAGAAGTAAGTACAGTGTAAGAAGTAGCTTTAGATCATTAGTTGTGTTGTGTTTTAGTAGAATTTATCTAAAAAGTGCACATGTTAGAATCTTTTTTTAGCATAACAACGGTTCGTCATTATGTAGCCAGGTTGTAAATATTCTACTTCCAACGCAAAATTTTTTGAATGGACATAAAAATCATGTTGCGATCAATAGCAGCCAATCAATGGGTTAAACAGCCCAGGAGTGAGTAGGAGAAAAATAAACTTAGTATTTTTGTTAAATATCGTACTTATTGACTTTACGAACAATGTTTTAATTTTGTAATAACCACATTGAATATTTACAGGACCTTGGCGACACATTCGCTTACTGGGAAAAGGTCTCCGGCATTTCACGATAAGCCTGCTAAGAAATGTTTGGATCCGGCCAAAATCGAGGATATTGTATGTGAAATAATAAATGTGTACAATATCGATGAGCGGAGCGTGCGGTTAGTTGATCCATACATAGTTTTGTTTTTTGTTCTTCGGTTGATATAATTAAATGTCAATAAATAGTAGACATTAGGGCTGAGTTTTCAATGGTCAAATAAATGTTATCTGAGGAATAAAATTATTGTTGCTGTGTCTTATACAAACATTTTGACGCGACAGCATCATAATTATTCCCCAGATAACTTTAATCTAATCATTGAAAAATCTCCCTCTAGAAAAATGTTATTTAGGTATTTTAGTGGTATCGTCTATCATTTAAGCAATGCCGTAGTTAGCATTTTCTCATTGCCTCACAGATTTTATTACTTTACAACAGTTTTTATTATTGTGTTTCATTGCATTTTGATGGTCCAGTCGACCAGACTATATACAAACCTACTTAATGAATTTCTCTTAAAAATACATATCGCATATATTGTAATTGTTTCTACTGGAAAAAGCCACTGACAGTTTCTTCCTAGTTGGTACCTACTCGTTGGTATCTCCATCAAAGTCTTACAACTCTTAAATATAATTGACGAAATAGTATGCAAGTTTTAATTAAAGATTTATTATTTTGCAGAAATATTATAACGACGAAGTGCGCCGATGAATGCAAAATGCTGCGGATGCGCTACGAAAGACTAAACGGAGATGAAGTTGACGAAATCATAATATCGGATTCTGATGATCCAGAAAAGAATTTTTCCGGCTAGGTGTCTCTAAAATCACACACACATCACTGTGCACCGTTTTTATAACATCATATTTCCTTATTCAAATTTTTATTTCAAAACTTTTTATACATTTAATGGCATTTTTATTTTAAGTTTCTGTAAAGAGTTTTTCACTGTTTGAATATAGAAAATACCGAGGGAGATCAATAGAAAAAAAATCAACTTTGATCGCCTCGACACTGGTCTTACCTAATTTACCGACAAATTCGTAGCATTGCAAATAATTCACCATAACGACACATAAGGTTTTTCATTCCAGGAAAATCTATACATTTATGCTGTTCATAAATATGTCAGTAATGGTAACTTTTTATACTATCTACTTGCGGTAGCAAAAAAGCTTGCCAGATTACAAGTAATGTCAGGCAATTGAACCTAGTCTACGGGAACGCAACGCAAATATCAAACTTATGTTTTTTTATCTGTGTAACTAATTTAGGTGACTGCATACTGTAAATATTAATAATGTGAAATAAAATTGGATTAGATTATGAGATTTAAGTATAACAATGATAAAATCATAAAAATCTAAAAAAAAGAATAAAACTAAAAAATATAAAATAAAAAAATATTGTGATATAATGTAAATAAATATGTAGTTATAAATACTAAGGTAAGGTTTCTATTCATTTCAAATTGTTTTCTTTTATTTGTTTGTACATATACTGATTCTGTGTATTTGTGTGTTTGATATAGTTTTAATACATTTGTATTTTGTTCATTGACAATTAATTTTGAATTCTTAATAAAATGTCATCAATGATAAAATCATAAAAATGCTAAAAAAAATAAAAAAAGGTAAAACTAAAAAAAAATATTGTAATATAATGTAAATAAATATGTGGGTAAGGTTTCTATTATTTTTATTTTTTTCTTTTACTGTTTGTTTATCTACCTTATATGTATTTGTAAGTTTCATTTAGTGTTTTAATAAATTTGTATTATGATCATTTACAATTAATTTTGAATTCCTAATAAAATGTTAATACTTAATGATAAAATCATAAAAAGCTAAAAAAAATTAAAAAGGATTACTTAAAACTAAAAAAAATGATTGTAATATAATGTAAATAAATATGTAGTTATAAATAAGTAATGAAGGTAAGGTTTTCTATTCATTTCAAATTGTTTTTCTTTTATTTTTTTCTTATCTGCCCCTATTTTATGTATTTGTGTGTTTGATTTAAATTTGTATTTTGTTCATTTCCAATTAATTTTGAATTCCTAATAAAATGTGATGCAAAAAAAATATTCCTTTTATTTTACAATACCTATCCCATTTTCCATGTTATTAAATATTTTGAATCAGATATTGTAAATGCCGTATTAAAAAAACAAAGGCGCACAGTTCAAGTTGAAAAAAAAATAATGATGATTCTGAAATCTCTATTTTCTGCTCTCTAGAATGTTGATTAATATTTTGGATTATAACACATCATGGTACAAGTGTTTAACGATGGTGACAACCGCTGAAGAACATTGAAGCTCGAGCCATCAGGAGCCGTAGACGGTACAGTCAGCACTAAAAAACGAACGGTCGTCGAACGACTTTTGTAATTTTTTGGTGTACAGGCTATTTTGTTTCCTAGTTGCGTCTATAACTTATGGCATTTAATTGTGAACAGGTGTTTCGTTAATTTGATTCTGTTAACCACATTTTGGTGCTGACTGTACCTAATCATCAATACACATGTATATCATACGACGTTTTTCAACACACTTCTGAATAAAATTAATAACTTCAAAAGAGAAAACGAGATGAGTTGTGAAAAATGTTTCGTTAATGGCGGGAAAAAAGTAATCAGTTTTCCGATGCGCACGCATCGGCCATAGACTAAAAATGAGGTTATTTTTTTGAGCTTTTCTCAACCAATTACCTATATAAAAATACTTCTCACTGGTAAATAAAAGTAATAATAAAGTCACAGTTTGATTATTAGGTGTCATTACGTCCTAATAAAATTGTCATGGGATTAGAGTCACTTTATGAGCAAGTGTGTTAAAAAGTAACAGATTACATGCATATGCATTAACTTTTTAAACAGTAGTGGCTGCGTCAGGTCTCGTTATTATTTTATTTATACATGATCGATGGTAACAAATTCCAGTCAAATCTTAAAATCAATGATTTATTAAGGTATCTGAAAGATATTTCAGTGCATCTAACAATAAAATGATGAGGTGCTTAAGGGTTGGTTCCCGTTTTACGCATAATATACAACAGTCGATGCAAGAATGTATCAGAGATTAGCAGTTAAAGGTTCAATATTTTAGTCGCAGCGTAATATTTCATATCCTATAGCATTTCTTGGCGATATACAACATAAAAAACCGTTTTATTTATTTATTTTTATTACTTTAAACCATTAGTTCTTGAATTTAATGCGTGTGACAAAATTGTGGTTATTTTCGATGTTCCGGGAACTAGGTATTTGGATTTCTTTTCCCATGGGATTAGCACGCAACAAGGGCACTCCTTGCTCCTCCAAGCTTGTGGAAACAAACAATAAGTATTGTAAAATCAACAACCAACAAACAAAATCTCCAAATCCCTAATCCCCAAAGGCTCGGCACCGCACTCGTAACCCCTCCGTCGTCCATCGTACATAGGCGACGCTGATTGCTTACCACCAGGTAACCCGTATGCTCGTTTGCCGACCAACCACATAAAAAAATGGCCTGCGGAGTGGTTGTCAGCGAGATACGAAAGCGAGGTTGGAAAGATCTACTTACTTGTGCTCGTGCCTACCAGTAGAGTGTTGGGAGATGGAGTTACAGACTACCAGCAAAAAATTCAGCCTTTTTTTGTTAGGGGATAATCATCGAATGACATCTCCGGCCCAGGGCCTGGCGGAAGTGTCAGGCTCTTACTGACTAAAAACCCCCCTGTTCCTTCTCCTACTCTGGGCCGCGGTCGCGGTGCCTCATTGCGCTTACCCCGCAACCTCGGCTGAACATCAGCCCTATAGGGCTCCGTCTGTGGTGGTCTATTGTCTCTTTGAGGCGCGCGCGGAACGCTACGCGCCGTACCCTCAGGTCTGCTACTCTTACTCGCCGTCCGCAGACCCGCGCTTCCGGTGGCCGGATATCCGCCTCCTCCTTTGCGAGCATCACTGCTTCACAGAAGGAGGAGACGGCGTCCCATTTCCTCTCGCTCACCATGCCCTCGACTATGGCCGGGCGCGAGAGGTCGCCGCCGCCGATCACGCTGAGAAACCGCTGAGAACACGGCGGTGATCGGCCAAGGCATACTGACACCGTATCCTCTAGGTGGTCCTCACAATACCAGAAAATTCAGCCTGGTTTTCATCATCAAAACTTTTATTCACTTAGAATATTCTATGACCGTATCTATTATATGCATAGGTACAACTATACATATTATAGTTCACTACAGTGTATAAGGCAAAAAAGCTTGTAGGAGCTTGCGAAAAATAATTTAAAAAATATTAATAGTTTGGGGAACTTGTGACGCACTTGTCAACATTGTCATCGATCTAGATAACTCGCCACATTACGCCTCCCAAGACTGGAGGTCGATCCTGTTGAGACGGCTGTCAATGCTTAAGATGACCGGTACCAATATACTACTCTGTCAAGAAAGTACCGGGAAAAAGTCAATAATACACAAAATGTTTGTTATTCATCTAAATTTATTTTATCACCTTCAAAGTATGCTCCTTCAGAAACGATACACTTACGCCAACGAATAATCCAATCATCGAAACTTTTTTTAAACGCTGTTTCCGGAATTGAGTTCAGTGCTCGCCACGAATTCTCCTTTATGTCTTCTAACGATTGAAAACGGGTGCCACGAAGGGGTAATTTGAGTGTGGGAAAAAGAAAGAAGTCGGCTGGAGCCATATCTGGTGAATATGGTGGCTGCTCGATGGTGTTTGTTGAGTGTTTGGACAAAAAATCGTTTACAATGATGGCCTTGTGCGAAGGCGCATTAACGTGATGCAAAATCCAAGAATTTTCTTTCCACATTTCTGGCCTTTTTCGTCGAATTTGTTCTCTTAAACGCCGCATAACGCTCAAATAATATTCTTTATTTACCGTTTGATCTTCGGGCAAGAATTCTGAGTGCACAACACCGCCGTCGTTTGGCTCCTAAGTTGGAACGGTCTGGGGCCGCGCTCAAGCGGCTCCTTCCCAACCTCGGGGGGCCAAACGCCTCCTGCCGGAGGTTGTACATGGGGATTGTGCGATCCATGGCCCTCTACGGTGCCCCTGTGTGGGCGCCGGATTTGAAGCGGCGGCCGGCTCGTACGCTGGTCGCGTCCCAGAGGGTCATGGCTATCCGAATAATCCGCGGATATCGCACGATCTCCGGGGAGGCGGCGAACCTCCTTGCCGGATCACCGCCATGGGATCTGGAAGCGAAGGCGCTCGCGCGCGTCTACAGTTTGCGCGCAGACGCGCGTCGCCGGGGCGAGGATCCTCTGCCGCGCCAAATTAGTGCGTGGCGGAATGAGCTCCGGCGAGATCTCATGGCTGAGTGGAAGCAGCGACTGTCGCAACCGAGGGCCGGGCACGCTACTATAGCAGCGATAAGACCCCTCTTTGAGGAGTGGCTTGAGAGACGCCACGGCGTCCTCACCTTCCGCCTGACGCAGGTGCTTACCGGGCACGGCAGCTTTGGTAGGTTCCTGTTTCGGATCCAGCGGGAGGAAACGCCCGAGTGTCGTCATTGTGAGGATCACCTGGAGGACACGGTGGAGCATACAGTGGCGGAGTGCCCTGCTTGGGCTGAGCACCGCCGTGTTCTCAGGGAAGTGATCGGCGGCGGCGACCTCTCGCGCCCGGCCTTAATCGAGGCCATGGTGCAGCGTGAGAGGAACTGGGAAGCTATCTGCTCCTTCTGCGAAGCAGTTATGCTCGCAAAGGAGGAGGCGGAGCGCGTGAGGGAACTATCCTCCTCGCGCCCCAGCCGCCGCAGAAGGCGACATTCCGGACGTCGGGGATCGAGAGATGATCTCCGGCCACCGTAAGCGCGGGTCTGCGGACGGCGAGTAAGGGTAGCTCGCCGCCCGACCAGAACCGGACCCGAGCGTACGGCGCGTAGCGTTCCGCGCGCGCCTCAAAGAGCCAATAGACCACCACAGTCGGGGCCCTAAAGGGCTGATGTTTAGCCGGGGCTGCGGGGTAAGCGCAATGAGGCACCGCGACCTCGGCCCAGAGCAGGAGAAGGAACGGGGGGGTTTTTAGTCAGTAAGAGTCTGACACTCTCTCTCAAAAAAAAAAAAAAAAACAACACCGCGATAGTCAAAGAAAATAGTCAACATGACTTTGACTTTTGATCGACTTTGACGTGGTTTTTTCGGTTTTGGTTCAGTTGGAAGGCGCCATTCCGAAGCTTGTTGACTAGTTTGCATGTCAAACTCGTAAACCCACGTCTCGTCACCAGTAACAATGCGTTTCATGAATGTTGGGTCGGTATTGACTCGTTCTAGCATGTCCTCAGCGACTATTACGCGATTTAGTTTTTCAAGAAAATAATGGTCTTTGGGACTAGCCGAGCGGCAACACGTTTCATACCCAAATTATTTGTTAAAATGGTACGGATCGACTCGTGAGATACAGAAAGTTCGCGTGTCGGCGGCCATCTCTCTCAAACTTGAACGAGGATTTTCAGTCACTATTTCCTTCACTTTTGCGAGTTAACTTCAGTTGCAGACGTTGATGGCCTACCAGAACGAGGCAAATCTTCCATCAAATCTCGACCGCTTTTGAACGCTTTGTACCACTCATAAGCACGTGTTTTTGATAAAGTCGATTCACCGTAAGCCTTCTGTAACATTTTGAGTGCCTCCGAACACGAAATTTCATTGGCGATGCAAAATTTAAGACAAACTCTTTGTTCGATGTTTTTGTCCATTATGAAATTCGCAATACACACTAGATATTATAAAACTAAAAACAGCACTGTTTTTAATATAAATAACAGATGCAACTCAAATTCCGCGCCAAAATGGAAAACAGTTATGCCAATCTAACAACAACAAAAAAAATTAAAATTCGAATTTGGAACCATAAAAAAAAACATTCATTCCCGATACTTTGTTGACTGAATGTACATAGATTACCCTTGGTTTTTTCGATGAGTCGAAATAATAGCCACGATAATCTTTGAGTCAACTGTGCTCGCTAAATTCCCAGTAAGTCGGGCGAAACAATGCAGGGTGATAGGTAATTCAGTGAGTCGGATTCGTCGTCGTTGCCCCCGATGAGTCGCGGAATAGTTGTTGCGATGTTAGGTACTTAGTGGCGTCCGTCTAAAGGAGTGTGCAATAGTGCCGTGCGTAGACGCTGATGAGGATGTAGGGAACACCAGACTTGCGCGTCTCTGCTGCAGCCTTGTGGTGGTCCCTAATGAGGCTGAGGAGGGTCGATGGCTATGACTTGGTAACCGCTCAGCGAAGAAGTGATGGGCGAAAGGGATGGCAATGACGGTGCTGATCTACCCTGAGGAATGAAGGCCGCTTTCAATCACGTTTTTTATTTAGACAGTAGGTATATTTGCATGGATACATGAGTTTTCGAGACAAATACTGCATTAATCAATTGAAATATGTCATTTAAAAATTCAACAACCATTTCAATTCATTCATTTCAAATCTAAATTAATTAGGCATATACTTAAAATGATAAAAAATGTTGCATTGATTTCAACAAGGAGGTACCTTTGTCCCTCCCTTGTGACTGGAGGAATGAGGGCCTTTGTTTCAATACTTATCAAAGACTATCAATAATAAAAAACTGAATCACTAAGAGTAAATTTCGAGAAAGAGTTGAACCAATTTCGACATTTTTGTTTGTTATTGTAAAGAGAACACCTACTAATTAAAAGTGAAAAAACACTCAGGTCACAAATTCGTTTAACATTTTTTTAAATCAAGCGATTGTAACTATTACCGTAAAACACATTTTAGCTGATAGATAAACTAATGTGGTATAAAATATAAATTATGCAAAAGCACAGATCGTCTTTTTTCCTTTTAAAAATAAGAAATTGCAATGCGGTGTTGGTGGTGTTATCGAAATGATTCGAACTAAATGGTTTATATTCGCTTTTAAATTCAACTTTTCTATCCTGAAATCAATTTAGGGTCTGAATTATGATTCGCGATATTTACGTCTTTAAGAGCATCATGATACATTCGATTAGGCGAGGCGAGAACTGTGAACCTGTGAAAAACTACTGAATAGTGAATAGATTTGATGAATGTATAAGTATTACATAGGATCCTTTCCATCTAGGTAACACTGGCGAAGGCGCTGGCAGAAGCTAGTAAGATATAAAAGCTCGAGAGGTTCGAAACCAAGCTGGAACCAATGTCAGTTTTTCCATAAACTGGACCTAAAATTGTTATATAATGGGATCCAAGTACCAATGTCAGTTTTTCTTGACCAATGTGACCCCGTTACAATCGTTATAATGTGATGGAATCGGTTAAAAATCAATCGCCAAATGATTTGATTAGCTCTTATCTTGAGAACGGCTGTACTTTTATGAGGCTAACTATCTATGTAATCTTAGGGCCTGAAGTTGCACCGATTATGGAGCTGAAAGACAGTCGAAAAACCTTCTCAAGTGTTTACAGCAATTACCTGGTGTTTGGGCTTGACTAATTTGTATTAATGAAAACTTAACATCAAGGTGGGGTGCAATTGTTGTTCGGCGTCTGATGATTAAGTGGTACGATAGTAAAGGCAACTCCTCAACAGTTAATAGTAGCTATCTTGTGTTCAGGCTTGATTAATTTGCATTTAAGAGATGTTAGTAGTAGTAACAGTGTAAAGGATAATGTTTGTTTTTTTACTTTATTTTATTATTAGAGAAGTTTTCTAAAAAAGTAAGGAGAATACTTATTGGGTTTTAGCGATCTATAAGGCGTTTGGATGGTAGCTAGGTAGTTGAACGACAGGGTCAGGATTTCTAGGTTAAAAAATTTGAAAACGTCAATAAGCTCAGAGAAGTGTCGTGATTAATGATCAAACATTCCGGAGAATGATGCGAATTGAGAAGATAGCTTTGCCTAGCAGTGCACATTTATAGAAAGAAGCGTGTGACGAGTTATATTAATAAAATGATTCGGTTTTAGTAATAAGTTATCTTAATTAAATCATAAGAACACTACACTATTTAAAATGAAACGAAAGCAAACTTCGTAAATCCGAGCAATTAATTAAAAGCTTGCAGATGCTTTTCATATTAATTAATATTATGTACCTATATCAATTGGTAACAATTTGTTGACCTTACAGCTGATAAGAAGATATTAGATATTATTGGAGATTCATATGGACAACCAACCGGAACAAGTTTTTTCGGAATATCTTTGCTGTTTTGTTAACTTTAGTGTAACATTAGAAGGAATAAAATATCATCATCTATAGTTAAAACAGGTATAAGTATAAATAATTAGACATAAAAGTGAACATAAGTTAGGTCCAAAAATGTGGATATATGTGTACCTACATTACAATATAATTAAAGAATACAATCAAATTATAAAAATATAAAGCTAACCAATACGTTGACACGTGTTATTTTAAACAAATGCGGGTTGGAACACAAAATCATATTAGTCGCCAACCGAGAAACTGACAAGGAAGTTGGTACGTTGCAAAAAAGGATGCGTTTTTTGTTGGTACCCGAAGCAGGCCCGTTGGCGAAATCTATTGTTACGACGGCGGGCGGGGGAAGCAATAACTGCAGTAAGGGTGCAATGAAAGTTTACCTGAGTTACTTACGGATAGCCAGCCAGTAGTGTACCACACTTCGGAGCGATTGGATATACGTTTGTGATCTGTGAGTTCTGAGATTTTGAGTATGTTAAATACCATGATGAATACCCTGAAGTGGGTCCTAGTACAATGGAAGAATGGTAAGTGCGACGTCGTCCACGTTCGATCTGTGGTGCGTGCCCCCACCAATGAAGTCAGGCCAGCAGATATGATAACGCTGAATTGGGCCGGGCGGCAGAGATTGGCGGTTGTCGTGGCGCTTGCAAGTAAGTACCTATTTGAGTATTCTGTTCTTGTGCTTGTCATCTTGCTTAACTTTAAATTTGTAGCCCTTAAATAATACTATTTAAGGGCGAAATTAAAAAATCGACGTATCTAATGTGAACAGTCGATCTAATGTGATAAATTTCATCGTCATGTGTGTGTGTTAAGTGGATCAATCTCTGCTTTTGACAGAAACTTCGTACAAATGTGTAAATTACATAATGACAAAAATCTATCTACCTAAACCCACAGATTTGATTTAGGACTGAAATCGTTTATTTTAGCTGTTGCGATATTTCTCTTCCTTTCTTTTAAAAGTATACCTGTGTACCGTGGTATTTTGTTACTTTTTTTTGAAATTTTAGACAAAGGTATTAACAATGCTACTTATTGTGTGAAAAAAAAGTTATTGTTTAAATGGGACCGATCCGCCCAAAAGGATACCCGTCGCCCAAAAGCGTATTTAACTGGAAAGGTCTATTGAAACATGTATAATTCAAACTCGGTCTTATTTGTTAAGCCATAAAGCCGAGTTCATTTTGTGTATTCCAACTAGTATCGACAATAGACAAAGCGTAACACAATATAACAATAAGCTTGTACGGAGGTACCGAGACTCGTACTTTATGGTGTTATCATTTGGACTTTGTTTCAAGAACAAAGCTGTAAAATAATTGCTTTACAATCTTTACAGTTGTTTTAGGAAATCTCTATAGAATACATGGAATTATTTTTATATTTCTGTTTGTATACTCTTTCTCATTTTTTACGACTACTAAAATAATTAGAGGTACACAACATAATATGTATTTTAATTTAGGTATAATCGGAACGGGATGTAATTAATTGGATACCTAAATCTTTCTTATGCGTATTCCCAATTGGTTTTTTGATTTGGCGTTGAATACTAACCAGATCCGCCATTTTATGTTGTCAAATTTTCGAGACTTCTCATTGGCTGTCAAAAGAACGTGTAACGTTCGGATTTTAAACCGCCGCGCTATTCGGCGCTGTTACCCGCCCCTGAAAAGGGCGGGAGTTTTAGAGGGTTTTCGCGCGGAATATTCTCATGACAGATGACAAACTAAACTAGCTAGACAATAATATATAAAAACATAATGTATGGAGGAACTTATCGTATGCGTTGCTTAGTTCTAGTCATTACAAAAATGCTTATGGTCGTCCAGTTTTCAAACTATCCGATGATTACTACACGATGTATTGGTACTTCGTTACGTTATGAGTAGCATGATCTATAAAGAAAATCTTCATAAATTGTTTCAAATTATTAATAAAATACTTATCAGGAAAATAGTCACAGACGCGTGGCGTTTCATTTGAGAAAAATAAACAGTTTTACTAAATTTTATTTAGAATAACAAACATACATCCATACATACTCACAAACTTTCACATTAGTAGAACGAAGGATATTAGAATTATCACTTGTAACATTAGATATGTATCCCAACAACGTATTTAATAATGCTTTCTTGCAGGTGAACGTCAAACGCTGGAAACTATGATAAGTATGAGCAACAAAAAGTCTCCGGTAGCGGGTCCTAGCAGGCTGGTAGTAGAAGAAGACCATGAAGATTACTCCCCTAGTGCCTCGTCTTGGAAGCCAAGTGACGATGATACAGAGTCAGCAGAATCTGATGAGGTTGGTCCACTGTCGTATGGTTGTTATGTTTACAGCCTGCTGTCTAGTATAGATGGGTTTATTAGGTACACAATTAATACCCATGTTCTGTCTATCAATCTTTTCAGTAACTAAATATCAGCAACATCGAGTGTAATATTGTATTGACTTACTTCGCTAGGCAAAATGTGATTGCCAACAAAAGTGTCTCCGGTTCGATTCCCCGAGAAAAGCAATATTTGATTTTTTAGGTATATGGAAATTCTCCGTTTAAAGCGACAGTCTTTGAATATTAATTAGCTTCCAACATAATAATTGATCAAATATGGAAGTTACATTAAAAGGTGCATCTCTGTCCAGCCAGGATACAAAGTGTTATCTTATGTTATGTTCCTAGTTATATTAATGTAGTTATATATTACGTAAGGTCTAACTTAAACAAATTACCAATTGAATTTAAACATTTGCAGGAGGTCCAACCTATCAAGCGGCCCAAAGCTATTGAACCAAAACGTCAGTATTTTAATAGAAAATCCACGAAGAAGCCAGTGACACCGACACATAGGCCCATTCCTGTTGTACCGAGGTCTGCACAACCAGCATCACGCAGGAAGACCCTCGATAAATCCTACGATGACAGAAGTAACAACAGGCGTAGATCTTTACCGAATTTCACAAGAAACTTTAAAGCTGAGAGAAATAACAATCAGTCGAAAGCAATGAAGAAAGGATTTTCATTTCACGTTGATAACATGAAAATGAGTTTTCGGTGCCTTTTAGATTATATCGCAGAACACGAAAATAGTCTCAGATCGGAGTCTCCAAGGTCTCGGGAGCTGGAACAGCAGGCACAGCAGTTGCTCGAGTCACTTGACTCGCTTGAGTCGTCACTTCTGTCATCAGAATCTTCGAAGGTTAATAATACCAGTGACAGCAGCAGCAGCAGCAGCAATAATGTAAAAAAGAATTTGAATGGCTTTCTAGATGACAGTCAACCTGGCCCCAGTCGCCCCATGGAAGACGTGGAACCTATGGAAGAAGATGAAGATCAAATGACTGACAATGAATTCGATCGATCAGATGACGAAGTTCTTATCACCAATAAATTCAACAGAGTTCTCGCTAAAGAAATTAATAAAATGAAATTAGAACAAAACATCAGCGCTAAAGCTATTGAGAGAAGCATTAAGAACATAACTAATAAAATCAATACTGGTGAACTATTTGGAAAAGTCAAACACAATAAGGAAAATGAAAATGGCAAAAAAGTCAAAAAACCAGAAGAAAAAGAAAAAGAAAAAGAAAAAGAAAAAGAGAAAGAAAAAGATGATTGGGTAATTTATATTTTGTTAAGAATTATGTAGCTTAAATACTTGGGAAATAGGAAGCTAGATATTTAATATAGGCATATTTAGGAAAAAACTCGCATAGTTTGGATGCTTAAACATTTTTGATATGTATGTTATTTAATTTAAATGAAGACATTTATTCTTTGACGGCTTTGCACGTGTGGAATGCTGATACTAAACTCCACTATTTAAAATGTTTATTATACATTATACGTCTTCCTCTTCAATCACACTATCGGTTAAAAAAAAACTTTTCAAAATCAATTGTTGTTTAAGATTAAATCGTAGGTACAAAGTGATACGATGACAAAAAGCGAATAGGTTTTATAGTATGTAGTTTTATTTCACAAATTAATTATGTTTCACTGATAAATGCTTAGGTAACTGATAGGTGGCTAACCAGAATCTGGACTGTCCAACAAGCATTGAACTTAAAATATTCCTATTAGAACATACTTATTAACAGTTCACAAAATCGATCAAAATAACTTATAAGAAAACTTAATTAGGTGTAGGTGGGTGATTCTTCACATCAATTAAAAAAAAAAAATAATTTCATTATCCTCAACCGAAAATAACGAGTCTGCTGATTAAAACACAGATAATTATTTTATTAAATTAAATCTCACCACTGCTTACAAGCAACCGATTAAAAATATTGTATAAAATAAATTACTAAGATGTTTAAAAACCTGGGAGGATAATGACTTGTTAAATAAAAGTTAAGGTTTTTTGGAGAATCACCCAGGTACCTTGTAAGTTACTCATTAATATAGTTTTATGTAGTGGTAAATGGTACTATGCTTAGAGGTTTATAATGCGTGCCTCTCATGCTTGGGTCGAAACCTCGCATTAAACATACTGTCTAAAACTGTTAAAAAAAAGCGAATGAAAACATCATGCGGAAACCTGAACTTATAATTTGGAATTATAAGTTTGAATTCACCAATCGGCCTTCAGCAAGCATGGTGAATAATGCTCAACCTTCATCGTGTGAGAAGTGGCCTTCGCTCAAAAGTGGGCACTTAAACGCTGATGAAGTGAAATGTTACCATTATGCTCAATCATTTATTTTTTTCCAGGTCCGTATCGGAACCGGACAAACGATGGTGCACAAAGACAAGTATAATAAGGTCAATTGGAAGTCCTATACTGTTGCCACGAGGTCTCTTCTTCTTGCAACCTTTTCAAGGAGGTAAGTTTTTTATATGTCAAATGACGGCAAACTACTTTACGGCCGTCGTACCTTGGGGAGTCTGAAGTTAGCCGGTTGTCTGCGCAATGGATCTTTTAGGAACAAAATTGTGTACTGCGCAGCTAATCGGCTAACTTCAGACTCGCCAAGATACGACGGCCGTACTATACCAGACTGTTTACCACATGGTAAGAACTCACCGCCCATAGATACTCGTAATACCAAAGGAGTTACCGCAGATGCGTTGCCGGCTCTTGTGGGTTATTACGGATTTAAAGAAAGGGGATTTGAGTATTGATGATAACCGTCCGTACCGGGCGTCCGATAACCTCACTCATACGGTGAAATACAACGAATGTATTGGTCCACGCCGGCTTTCTCTGAGGTCGTGGTATTGCTCCGGTCGAGTCAGAATAATCGTGCCGAATCATGGCTGTCCCACACTTAGAAGTAATAAATATAATATCTTTTAGTGGAAACTAGAAATTAATAAAATTACAACTGCATTCTGTATCTATTACAAAGTAAACCTTCTATAACGAATTGGTAGTTTCTGATTTTAAACTTTGTTTTTTTGTTATGTGGCTGTTTCGGGATTACTAAATAAACTTACTTAAAAATTTGCAGAATCTTAGCAACTCACTCTCTGACTGGCAAAAAGTCACCAGCGTTCCAGAACAAGCCAGCGAAAATGTGTCTGGATCCAAAAATCGTCACCGATGTGGTTTACGAGATTACAGAAAAATTTGGCGTGCCAGAGAGCTTAGTTCGGTAAGTTGATTCATACAACTAAAAACCTTCCTCCAATTGTGTTAACTATTTAATTTGCTAAGTTGGGGTCAAAACTGTGGTTTCAGTCAGTAAGAGTCTGACATTCCTTTTCAGCCTACCCAGGGCGGAGTATCACTCTCACTGACGTTTCGATGCGCTTTGACTGTGTATATAAATACGTAGTCTACGCCTACCAATTATATGTATTTATTTTTATTACTTGCCTCAAAATTAACAGTTTTATGCAAAGTCATAGCTATAAGTTTATAAAACTCTACTGGCAGTTTTCAGCCGTGTTGGTATATCTATTAAGCCCGTTATCGTGCAACTCGTGAACACAATCCACTTATCCCATAATTTTATTTCCAGCACCATTATAACTACTAAGTGTGCTGACGAGGCGAAGATGCTTAAAATGCGACAGAACAAAATGAAAGCTGGAGAAAATAATGAAAACATCCCGCCGCCACCACCGCCAGCCGACGCAGAAGAAGACGAATAGAGGCCAAAGAACTCGATATTATAAGAGTGCAATGTGTTAGACAGTTTCCGATACACAGAAAGTACCCACGTGTTTTACATACGTTAAAATTTAATCAACATAAAAAAGTTTAAAGTCACACCGTTCACCAGAATGGGATGATGGGTCACGATGTGATAACGTTTGCTAAATTATAAAATATTACTTTTTATTTTTTTTGGTCCGTTACTGGATTTTAATTTAAATATTTTTTTTTATAATGGGCGTGTATGGCAATATGCAATGATAATATCATGTTGGTACTTGGTGCTCGCGTTTCGTGCAATCAGATCTTGAGGAGCACGCATTTTTGCCTTTTGAAGGTGGAAAGTAAAATTAAAAAACTAAATTATTAGATTTGGTCAAAGACCTTTAAACCTTTTGAATAATTTCGTAGGAGATTCTAAGGGTTTTGTTGATTAAATTTAACGTGGAACACGTGGGAAAAGTGTTGGAAACGGAAGCTGTATACACCTTTTTAAGGTGATAATTGAATAGAATGACTATCAATGTGATTGTTTTGTAGTCTTTTTGATGTAAGTCTCTGCGTAGGTACATTAGAGGCACGGTACGAGTATAAAAATATATTCGACTAAGTGCCTCTTTAGTCGATATCTGCCAGTGAGACTTTCAATTTGCTATTCATGCCAAATTCGTTCTTAATCCTCAAAGAACAAGACTAAATAAGGGCTTTAATCTCGCCTATTATTTTGGAGGATAGCTTTAGTTAAGTGTGTCCATCATTATGATATTATATGTATGATGGATGGTGCAGATATCAGCGTGCGTACACGTACACGATGGGCGTGAATCAACGCCAACACATCAGCCTGCCCTAAACTGTAAAATTTCTTCAAAAGTCAATAATGTATGGAAGATATCTGACATTTTATGTCTAGTCTGATAAATTCTTTTTAATACTTAGTATTTGTTTTTGTGTATTGTATTGTTTACAATTTCATTGCGCTGTTTTTTAACTACTTAAGTATATGGAACTTAGGTATATCCAATGGATTTTTGTGTACGGGTTTTAAAACCTCCTTATATACTTTTTGGATGTTTCATTTTGAAACGAATTTTTAGTTTAAGTTTTAATATAAGATTTCTTTGCACTATAAGAATTAACACTGACAAGACTGGACTTTTTTTGTGACTGTTTCAGCTATTTTGGAGAATGAGATAGTTACAAATGGCTTGTATGTTGAGACAGGTAGCTTAAACACATGGCAAAATTTAGACGTATTCATGTGCCGAAACACCATATTAGGTATCGTCTTACCATTTTACTAAATACCCTTGTGTCTCAGACAATATTAATCAGTTTGTTATTATCTTGTCCGTTGCGCACGGGCAAGACAATATCAATTTTTTTATTGCCGAGAATGTCCGTACTATACTTAAACAGTTCAACAGCACAAAAGTAAAAATTAAATATCTATAGAAATTGCCCTAACAAATGATTTTATTTCACCAGCGTTGATTGAATAAATTGTTCATAACTTTTGAACCGTTAAGAATAGTATGGACATTCTAAGGAGGAAATATTTTGGAAATAATCTTGTCTATACAACTGTTTGTTTCGATACTTTAAGGTTAGGTTAAGTTTTTGTCCAGAAAAAGGTTCCTGACTATACGTGATACGAAAGAAACTCAGTGTTATGTCGTTTTAAAATGTAATAATTATACACTAATCGGTGTAATGTGTATGTCTCGTGTATTAATTTTTTGATGAATTTTATTTTAAGATTAAATAAACTATTATTAATTACATTATTGCTAGTTTTATTTTTATTTCACGAAAGTATTAACCTACTTAGTTCTCTTTTGAATTGAAAATTTTTTAATCGGTATTACCGACTTATCGACTTGACTGAAAAATAAAAATATTGTAAGATATTACTAGTATTAGGTATGCACAATCAAATAATTACTTACAACATAAATATGAGCCAATTGTTGAGATTGAGGGTAATTTTTACCCGACTAAGGCAAAGCAAAAGGAGGGTTATGATTTTGACAGGCTACGTATGTATGTATGTATTCCCGTTGTTCCCTCCTAACTTCTATACTACTTATCAGAATTCGACATATGACATATCATTAGAAACGTCTTAATTGTCCGCTGGTAGGCTATACCTATATTGTATCACAAAATCTAATGTGGCGTCCTCTAGCGGACAAAACAACCAGAGTAAAAAAATAAAGTTAAGATAATTATACCGTGTTTGGTATTATTTTCAAGCGCTTTACTTGTACATTTTGAATATATATATTACTATCATTTGCTTGTGACTTTGCTAGTATTCATGGGCTGATTGCATATACTTAATTCACATGTTTTCATTCATACCTTTTACTACTTAATATTAGTTCATTATTTTGTTGATATTATGCGCCACAAATACATTTAACACCACAATAGTACAAATAATAAAAAGTATAAAAACTAAAACCCAACTACGTCAAAAACCGACGCTGAAAAAAGAGAGAATGAATGAATGAAGAGAAAGAGAATAGTGAAAGGCGTTACATTTAGGTACTTACCATACCTGCACTTTGATAACGTGTGACTACGCCTTTCAGTATTCTGAAAATCTTGTTTTATACTTTTTCAGCGTCGGTTTTTGTCGTAGTTTTTTTTTGTGAGGGGAAAATCATCAAATGACGTCTCCCGCCCAGGGCCGGGCAGGAGAGAGTGTCAGACTCTTACTGACTAAAAACCCCCCTGTTCCTTCTCCTGCTCTATGCCGAGGTCGCGGTGCCTCATTGCGCTTACCCCGCAACCCCGGCGCCCTTTAGGGCCCCGTCTGTGGTGGTCTAATGGCTCTTTGAGGCGCGCGCGGAACGATACGCGCCGTACGCTCGGGCCTGGTTCTGGTCGGGAGGCGAGCTGCCCTTACTCGCCGACCGCAGGCCCGTGCCTACGGTGGCCGGAGATCGTCCCTTGATCCCCGAAGTTCATAACATCTATGTTTTTAATTATGATGAAAATTTTTGGAAAACATCTTGTCCATGCAACTTTTTCTTTCATGCGTTAAGGTACACCTCTAGGTTTAACAACTTAGAGTTCAAAGTCTATTTCCAGATTTCAGTTATTTAATACCTACTAGGTATAATATGTAGGTACAACACAAAAGAGCTTCAGTGTTTATAGGTTGTAAGTTTTTAGTTGGTTACATAGATAATGTAATAAATAATTATACACTTGCAATATGTGTGCATGTGTTTGTCCTCATCATCAGCCTATAAGGCCTCTTCTCATACGAAAAAGGTTAGAGCATTAATCACCACATTTGCTCAATGCGGGTTGGCGATTTCAAACTTATAATTAGAAATTATAAGTCCAGGTTTCCTCACGATGTTTACCTTCACCGTATGTCAGTGGCGTCTAAATTAATAATCTTAGAAAGTACATTATAACTCGGAAAAAGTCACATTGGACTTGCCAGGTTTAGAACCCACACCCTCATGCATGAGAAGCGGGCTCCTTAACCTCCGGGCCACCACGACACATGTTTGTCCTCAATATTATATTATTCTATGACTTTTATTAAATTGATTGGAAATAGTAAATGTAGGTAATAAAATATCCTGGTATTTAGTTGTTTTATTTCACCTAAGCTTTCAGTAAGTGAAAAGTGTGTTTATCATGTTATAGGTACGACTGCTTTAATACCCATGTCTCATTGTTTTATGTAATAAGACGGCAAAAGAGCATTCGGTTTACCTGATGGTAAGCAATCAGCGTCGTCCATGAACACCCGTAACAACAGAGGGTTTATGGATTTTGGGGATTAGGGATTTTGATATTTTGGGAAAGGGGAAGGATTGGGCCTCCGGTAACCACGTAACCTCCAGCAATCACACACACACAGGCGAAACAGAAAGCTGTGGTAGTTTCAGGCCGATTTCCTGTGAGGCCCTGGCAACACTCCGGTCGAACCGACCCATTCGTGCAGAAGCATGGCACTCCCACACTTTAAAAACAGACAAAAATATATTTTTTTTAGTCCATAGAAACAGAAACCAATCATTTTTTTTCAGTACTTAGTTTATTCCTGATCACATATGATCCCATATGAGCCTCTATGTTATGCACGTTTATTTACGATTTGTTTGAACAAGCTAATTTACCACCGACAGGAAAAGACTGAAAGTAAACCCCAAATCATCATCCATCAACTAATGATGCCTCTAAAGTGGACCATTTGATAAATTAATAAGAAGGTAACGCAATTATTAGCACGATATTTTAATTTGATGAAATTACCTATATAAACCAGATCATATAAGGTATCCGACGGAAACAGGACCAATAATTTGCAATATGATTAATATGTGTTATTAGAAATTTTTCCCAACTTAAAATAATATGAATCATCACACTGAGAAACTGACAAAGAAGTGGGTACATTGCAATAAATAAGATTACTTTTTTTTTGTTAATACCCGACAAATCAAGCAGTACTAGTAAAAGACAGTACAACAGTAATAGTGAATACTATAAAATCAAAATAAAACTTTATCAGAGTTAACAACCTGCGTAATATGGCTTGCCCTCTATTAAACATGTACCACACTGCGAAGTTGTTGGAGTAGACCAAATCCTTAGAAGAATAGATGAGTGAGTTCTGTAATTTTCAAGATGAGTAGTCCATACGAGAGAGAACTTGATTGGGTGCTTGTGGATATAGACAGTGATGCAGCTATTATCAGCTCCTCCCCAAGATCGAGGACATTAGATGAGATGGAGTTAAATGATGACAACCGAAAGAGAAAGTACAACAGAATATCAAATAACGAACCACAAAAAGAATGGATAGTAAAGTATAAAGACGACCACAAGCTCGATTACGATGAAGTCGTAAAAAAATATTATAAACTATTGAAAGCTTTACAGCAGAAACCGAATAATTGCGAAGATATGAGGGCGCATTCAACGTCACCTCAGTCACCGTCGCTGGGGTCACTGGATGTGCAGGCCACTCAAACTGACAATTGCAGTAGTGAAAAAGTTATGTTGCGATTTAGAGACCAAAACGAACCTAACGCTGGTCCCGCTAATAAATCCGTGAAAGAACATCGCCAAAAATTTGAACATGATGCTTTTATGCAATCAGATGACAATAGTCCCCTTATTGATAAGAGAAACAATAGTCAACCTGAGACAGCGAAGAAAATAAGAACAAAAATAATCATCAACGTTGAACCCAATGAGAAAAATATAAGGAAAAAAGACATCACCGATAAAACAAAGCCAAATGAAAGTCAATCGTTGGCCACATTATCAAATAACGTACCACAAAAATTGGTAAGTGATGTTATACTACCTATGTCATATTTTACCCGTAAAAGTTAAACCCGTAATATCGAAACAAAAGAACAGAAAATAAATTTAAAAAATAACGACTTAAAATATTAGAAAGTCGAGTTCAGAAAAGCATAAGTAGTTCGTATTATACATTTTATTAAGATTTATTTGAAACGAATTTCGAGTTTTGTTCACTTAACCATACTTAACTGTCAGATATGGAAGCAAAAACTTCACGTCAGGAATGAAGTTGAATGACAATATTATTTCCAGATCGGTATTGGCACTGGAAACACGATGATACATGAATATAATTACAAACACATCAACTGGGACTCTTATAAAATCGCCACAAGGTCTCTACTTTGTTTAACCTTTTCAAGAAAGTAAGTAAGGCAAATAGTAAACATAAAATTACGTATTTACGAAACTATAAGCTACGTCTAAGACATCCCTGGTCGTATTATTTTTATTGCCATAAACAAAAATAAAATAGTTTTTTGTTCCCTCCTTTTTAGGACCTCAATTTTCTGTAGTTCGATTTTATACATCCTCTTGATCGTCCTAAGAACACTGACAAATAAACAAAATATTTGATTTTTCAGGACCTTGGCGACCCATTCTCTGACTGGGAAGAAGTCACCAGCTTTCAAACATAAGCCTGCTAAAACGTGCTTGGATCCCAAAATAATTACTGACGTGGTGATCGAGGTGATGAAGAGGTGTGGTGTTAAAGAAAATCTGATTCGGTGAGTTGATTTAATTCGTAAAACGTTCTTTCTCTAGTCTCTTGTATTAAACTAATGAGGACACTATCAGCTTGAAAGAAAAGAAAGGTCTCTTCTCGGACGAATAGGTATGAACATTAATCACCGAGCTTTCTCAAGTAGGCTGGCAATTTTAAAATTAGAAATCCAGGTTTTCCTTTTCGACCTGTTAAATTTTAGTCACATTTATCATAATCTCATAAAGTCATAATATAACTTGGAATAGTCATATTGGTACTTGATAGGTTTTGAAAACCCATGAATGGAAAGTCCAAGCATTCACGCCACCGCGGCGCGGCATAATATCTGGCTGAAATAATATCCGGCTTGATACTGTATATTTAATTCATCAAACTCCAAGCAAACGCCGGCGTTTGCGCACCTATTGTCTTAATATTCTGTCTCGTATTACCGCGATTGAAAGGTCAAGAAAGGTTTAACTCAATAGACATTTTAATTATGCTAATTGCAAACAAACACCACTCATTTAGTACCACTGATGCACTTTTTTTTGCAGAACCATCATTACGAATAAGTGCTCTGACGAGGCCAAGAGGTTGAAATTACGACAGATAAAGAAGAGCTTTAGAGGAAATGACGAAAACATTCCACCGTGGGCTGACATTGAAGAAAAACCAAAGACATTTGAATTTGACCAGCTATACGATTACAATCTGTCGGATATCCGATAGTTAACCCTAGTACTGTAGGCAGGTACTTACGCCAAATTCTATTGACAAAATAGCCATTCAGAAAGGGAGAGAAAAAGAGTACAAACAGCAATGCGTAAATAATGTCAAACAAATATATAAGAAAAAAACATTTGTATAATATTTAATTCTGGAAAGTTTTTACTTTAGAGTTTCAGTTCACAACAGGACTTGCAAACCAAAGAATCAATAGAATAAGTTGACTAAAATGCCAAAGTTTTATTTACTCTTTACTTTTATTAACAGTTTCATTTGAAACGAAGTGTTGTTACCAATATAAATACTTATATGTATGAAATACCTACATGGATAATATATGGGGTAAAAAACTTGGATAATAAGAAATGAAACTATTTATTTCTTTGTAATTCTCTTTGTAAGCAATAACTAATTATAGAATAAGTAGTAATTACACATTGATGACTGACATGTGTATGTATGTTAATTTAATTGATGAATTTTATATTACAAAATGGAATAAAATAATAAAATGAAATAAAAACTTGTTTTATTTTAAAAAGGTGCAGATTTGTCCATCTTGCTAGGTTTAAGGGACATGGCAGCAGGTTTTCTGTGAGACTGTGGTATCGCTCTGTTCTACCCAGCTTATCCGGAATTCCCGAATAAAATTAACTTCAAAAGTAAAATACAAAACAAGTCATTTTGCCTAATTTGCTAGTACTGAAGCTAGTATTAGTATAAATATGTAAGTAATAAGTTCAATTGTACTTTAATATCATAAATAAATAAATATAAATGCTGAATTTGATAGCGCTAATCTCCGAAAATACTGCTTCGTATTGAACATGTATTTATTTTTGTCTTATAGTATCTATTGTTACGAATAGGTAAAATTTGTCAAATGTCGGGGTAAATTTTGAAAATACGACTAGTACTTATTTGGAAAGAAAAAGTAAATAGAATGTGTGTAGAGTGAGATTTTCATCACAAATTAAGCCATCCCCAATACCTAAACCAGTGCCGCAGCCCCAACGGGTAACGCCTTTAGATATTTTTAAAGGGACTTTCTTCTCCGTTCCGACATTGTGACTATTGCACCAGACATCTAGGTAATATCTATGACCCATAAAAATAATCGTGGCTACGTGTTCTCCACATATTCTACTTTAAATTTGTTTCATTACTTGAAGCGTTGAAACAATTATTAATTAATTGTTTACGTATTGTAGCTACGAATTTTTACTGTCATAGAATATTGCCATATCAGAAAAACTTTCTAATTTCTTTCATACATTCGTTTAATAAGGTGTATACATAATTGGAAATAAATTCAAATAAAACTACATCAATAAAGAAAACTTATAATTAACAATAATTATGTTGTTTTATTTTAACCAAAACGATAAAAAACAATATTAATTGCCACACTGTGAAAATGACAAAAAGAGGGTACACTGCAGTAATAATGGGGTATTTTTATAGAACCAGCACTGGGCAGTTGGCGAGATCTTTTGGCGTGTCCTCTGGACAAGGGAAGTTATCATCGCTGTGCGGTCGTTATAAAATTTTAAATTATTTTTTTATCAGAGTTCTTCCAATGTAATACGTCTTGCCATCTATCTATCTTGAAGAATATTTGATCTACGATCAGCGAGTTTGGTGATTTCCAAGATGAATGGTTCAGACAGAGCGGCTGAACCAGACTGGCTCCTTGTGCGGTGGAGAGATGGGAATAGAGATCGATTCGTGGTGTCATCTACAGAGGTGGTGAGCCCTGTAGCTGACAATTATATGCCGAATCAGACCGTGACCCTGTATTATGGCAACCGACTTAGAACTGCTACTATAATAGCGATTGCTAGTAAGTTTTTTTTCTTTCTTGTGTCACACTAATGTAAAATGCCATTCATTAACGCGATAATGGACTTTTATTGTAGGTGTAATTTGATCACTAAACAAATAATTGAAGGTATATTTTTCATTGTTTAATATATCATGTTTATCAATTATTGCGATAATTATTGGCATTTCCAGTCAGTGTGGCCCCAGCATTGTAAGATATATTCACAAACACGAATTTAGAACCCGCAGGTACCCCCATTTATAATAAACACATTTCTTTTTTCGTGTAGGTGTAATATAGGTAAATGTAGTCACATAATGTATCAGCTGATTGCTTAACCACTGCGCTTATTCTTCTTCTCTGCTTAGTTTGAAGAACAGCTTCATAATTTTCGTTAGATAGTTTTGCTATAGTTCCGAAAGTGATTATCAAAAAATTGTTAAATTCATCATTGTATTATTTATCTATAGACATTAATATGTCGCCACCACGTTATTCTGGTGCTTATGCTTTTACTGTGCTCCGCTATTCGATTTTCTTCTACGGCATTAGTGAGTTTCCAAACATAAAAATTCACAACACACATATAGTGGGTAGATTATCTGTGGAATGCGCTACCCCCCGATGTCAGGACTGTGACTAGTCGGCTGACATTCAAGCAGAATTCGGGGGCTTCTTCTGAGGAGGGTTAGGGAGTCATCGTGATCACGACTACATTTATGTATATATATGTATGTATGTATTTATATGTGTAAGTATATTAAGTAGTATGTGTTTTATAATATATATAAGTATAGTTCTATGTACTTTATGTATGTTTATATAAACCTATGTTATACTATTCTATTTCGCTTGCTTCTTGCATCTACTACTGGACTCTCTGCATCACCCAAAGGTCGACTGGTAGAGAATGCTCAATGCATTAAGTCCGCCTTATATACAAATAAATTGTGCATGAAGTAAATAAATAAATTATGCGACGGTTGTTAGATACGTTTTGTTTTCCAGGTGATCGGATATTATTGGACCCAGTACCAGATAGATTTGAACCTGTACCAGACTCCAATATGGGCAGAAGATCCCCAAGCTCGTCTCCAGACATGCCAAGTGATGGTGCAGAATCTCCAGAACCAATCGAGGTTGGTTCACCTCTCTATAATATATCTATAATAGCTTTCGCCCGTGGTTTTGCACAAGTATAAAACTATGACCCAGGATTTTAGAAACATCAGCGTTTAAAGCGATAGCTCAACTACAACACGCAAATGAATAACAATAGTATATCTATAATTTATAGCCTATTAGCTATATTTATTTATAGCACACAGAAACACTGTAGCAATCTATCAATGAAAAAAATTTGGAAACCCGACCAGGCACCGGTTCCAAATATTACCCCAAAAAAATAATTATTTTAATACCTTGGTAAGCTTGACGTTTTTTCGTGTTAATACCTACCCGTGGAATTACTTATATGTTGTAAATATGAAATGCGAAATTTAAAAGTTTATAAACGTTGTTCCACAATGTGATTTTCTTGTGCCGACATTTTGTTACAAATATACTTACAATTTTGTTTCACATAGGTAAGTGTGAAATAAAACAGATCATATCCAGGCCTCAAACAGCAATTTGTATTTCAAATCACATAACTAAGTGTTCCCAGTACCTATGTATCGAACATGAACATGTTATACGTTGCACAACAACCAGTAACCTAACCACCGTGCAATCAATTTGGCAATATCGTATAATCACATAACATGTCATATTCAAACGAACAATTTAACGTTATTATTACATTAAATAATTTCCTTGACTACAAAAGTAACATTACGATAATAAATCCATCTTGATAGTACTTTAAAATAATATCGAATAAAAATGTCAAAATACAAAATGTTAAAATACGGTGAGTATTCTCACTTCTATCATCATTATTGTCGCTATTGTTTAACTCCAGATTTTACTTTGTAAGCTAAACATTCAGAATATCGCTTCTGGTCACCATCCACGTATAGTTAGTATAGTATCTGGCGTAGTACCCAAACAATTGTACCTATTAATTTGACAGCACAGTTGATTTACAGATTGTTATTCCGGGTCTGGTTGTGATGTGCATGTGAAATTGTATGTTTGTAAACGCACCCACGACACAGGAGAAAATCCTAGTGTGGGGCAACGTTTTTTTAAAAAGAAAAAAAAAACGTTTATTACAAAAAAAAAACTACTACTATCTATTCACGGTGATGATGTAAATGGTTATCTTCACCTCGGTAACAGCTAGCAAGAAATAATAAATAATATAAACAGTTACAGAATGGTTCCAGAAGACCATGGTTAGAACGATTCCACCGTCAACACGTCAATGTGCGTATGTCGGCATTATCACGGAGGCCCTCAGAAATACATAGGCCCATTCCCATTCTACCAGAACCTGCACCACAATCAAATGATTCATCTGATTTGACCATCCGCCCACCCCAACGTCGATTCACCAATGAAGAATTGAGAAGAAACTTTAATACGCTGGTAAGCATGATCATTAGTGAGGCAGAGTTTAAAAGCACTCTCTCTTTTATGGCGAGCGGGTCAGTAGACCCACCACCGCAGCTTTCGAGGCTATTGGATCCGTCATCGCGGTCATCAAGTTCGTCACATTCGCCTTCGCGACCTTCGCGGGCGTTAGAACCGCCACCATCGCAGCCCTTGCGGTCGATAGAGCCACCACCATCGCGACCCTTGCGGTCGTTAGACCCGCCACCATCGCGACCCTTGTGGTCGTTAGACCCGCCACCATCGCGACCCTTGCAGTCGTTAGACCCGCCATCGCGGCCGTCGGTGTCGTCAGATCAGCCATCGCGCTCATCTGTGTCTTCGAATCTGTCATCGCGGCCGTCGGTGTCGTTAGATTTGCCACCGCGCCCATCGGGGCCGTTAGACCCGACCTCACGGCCGTCGGAGTCGTTCAATTTGCAATTGCGGTTATTGAGGCCGTCAAATGTGCCATCGCAGCCGTCGAGATCATCAGACCTACAGATTACGCGGACCAGTCACCATGGTAATAGACCTAGTGGTTACATTAATGAGACAGTTAGAAGATTTCTAGACCTATCTGATTCCAGCTGCTCTAGAGAATCCAGGGACGACAATATCAGAGAAAATGTCTCTAATCGGGATGAATTGTCTGATGACGACGACGATTTGAAGAATTTTAACGGCACTCCCGCCAAAGTTAAAAAGCAAACAAGAACGGAAAGTAGCAATACTGCTATTTCCAACACAGGAAGACAACGAAGTACCAGTAATTCACCGCAGCCGTCTGGGTCGTTAGATCCGCCATCGCAGCCATCGGGGTCATCAGACCAACATGTTGCGCAGGCCAGTAATGACACTAGTAGTATATCCAGTAATGACACTAGTAGTATATCCAGTGATGACATTACGAACACATGTATAGAACTTATAAATCTGTATCAACCTGGCACTAGCCGCCCCAGAAAACCCAGAGTAGATGATATCAGAGATAACAGTAAGCCCGCCAAAGTTACGAAGAAAACAAGAACGGAAAATCTTTATGCTAAAACTTCCAATGCAAGAAAAGTGCGGAAGATTAATTCAAAAAAGACACAACATACAAGCAGTTCACGTAGAAGACATAACAGACTTTCCCTTAATGCTAGTGACAACCGTACGCAACTAATACTACCAACGCCCCCAGCTCGCATAAACGAAAAGACATCTAAAGTAATTAAAATTATTTGTCAGAGTTTCATGGAAGTGTTCACATACATGAAGAATAAAGCAGAACGTGGAATATTACCAGACTTTTCGGATGCACCAAACGTACCGTATATGCGGGAGATTCTTAGTGCTTTACGCCGAAGTGGACAATTTATGGTCATATTTCCATCCCCCCGACCCAGCCGCCCATTAGGTAGCTCTCACCGTGACCCTAACCTGCCCGGCCCGAGCCATTTTATGCTGCCTATGCGAGAGGAACAAAACAGTGATGATGACATGGAAGTATCCTCATTGTCCTCCTTATCGTCAGCAAGTCCAAGTCCGCCAAAGGAACCTTCTCAAAAAAAATAAGCAAAAAAGAAAATTCTATTGAATATGTTAAATAACAAGGCATCCATGAATAAAAGTCATTTCATGCAGGACCAACATGAATAAAAATCACAATATTAGACGGATAAACAGTTTTAGTTCAAATTACTTGTTGTAATTACATAACATCAACATTGTTAGTGTTAAGGTTTAGGATAGATTATCGAAGTATCAATTCACAAAGGATTTATCAGACAGTTTACATAATACCCAAACAAATGATAGAATACCCTAATCGAATTCAAATTAGTAGAGCGTCGTTGAAGATGACAGCGCCACACCTTTATGATTGTATAAGATAAATTGTGAATCGAGCATTATATACATTGTACTTAGATATATTTTTATACCTACCAAAGGGTTGTCGATTATTATAATATTTTATGTGCGACACGTAAGTAGGTAAAGTAATGGCGGCAAAATGATGTTATTTCAAAGATGTTGGATTGAGATCGGTAATTAATATACTTACGCCATATTATTATAACAATAATTAGGATCCAACCATGGATTAACTATCAATGTGATTGTTTTTTTTATTTTTTATATTGATGACATTTGTATCTATTGTTTGTGATGTAATTTGGTGGTGTAATTTTCTTTGCGCATTAGCGGTAGGTATAATACGAATAGTTACAAGTACCTAAGTCAAAATATATCGACTGTTAAACGAAAAATGGTACTTACCTACTCGTATGTAGTCTAATTTTTTTGGTCGAAATTTGAAGCTATTTTTGTCTAAATATATTTTTGCCGCCAATGTACACAGATAATATTTCTTTTGTGTATTTTTTATTTAGATGCTCTTTCGTTATACAATGTTAGAAGTTTAGACTTATAGTGTTATAAAGACACATCGTTTGAATTAAACTCTGTTTTAACTAAACTTATGTTAACTGACCATTGTGCAGCGTTTTAGGACTAGCTACTACCTAGTTAAAATTTTCATTTTGAAACAGATTCTATTACTTTTTATAGCTTCTTAAGGATTTTCTAAACATTTGAGGCAACTCATTTTTTCACTTTAATAACAAAATAACTAGATCACTGGGCTTTACTTGGGTGAAAATAAACATAAAAGACTAACCAAAACACCGTATCGACACCAAGGCTTTTTCGCCCCAGGAAAACCCTGTATTGTGAGTTTTATTAGAGCTATGAGTTGTGATACCTAAATGTGGCGATTAGAAATATTATACCTAATTAACAAATATTAATGTGTGATGAAATGACAAATAATATTAATATAATTTGAAAAGTATAAATACAATTGTAATGTAATAATATATTATCTACGTACACAATGGTAGTTAACTATTGTTTATGTTTCGCACGAATACAAACAATAACTAATCAGAGTTTAAAATGGATCCTTAGAAACTTTCTAATAGAAAGTATAAATATGAAATAAGACGAATGTGATACGAAAGAGTTTTAGTATTAAGTTTACATTGATGTAATACAAATATGCATGTCTTTTTTTTAAATCAATTTATGACATTTTTACAGATAATTAATTTGAATAAATGGAATGACAAATGGTAAAGAAAATTTGAATTTAGAATAAATAGAATGATAGATGGTAAAGAAAATATTTATTTGTTTTATTTTACAATTTCATTTGTACGTAGGTAGGTACTTTGTACTTACTTATTAATAAATATTATAATTTACTTCCCTTTTCATTGACTAGACTGGATTAAAATAATATTATAAAAGTGTATGTACAACGGAACAAACCACTTTCACCAGTTATGTTACTAGAAATTACAAAAATATTTATAAATACCTAATAAAAAAAAGTTACAAAGACGTGATCATGATCATTAATGATGTGTGTATGAGGGGGTTGGAGGATCAACATTCCCCCATCTCCAATCTCCAAAAATCTCAATCCTCAAATCAATACATCCAAAAGGCCGGCAACGCATATTTTACTCATCTGAAGGTGTCCATGGTTGCCTAGTTGCTCTTAGCTGCAGCTCAGTAGGTACATACCGTAGGGTATGAGAATTTATAAGTACATCCAGTTTTAATTTTTAAAAGAAGCAAGCTCGGTTGGCTTTCTCTTAGACTTTGAAATTTATTTTACATTTTACAATAAATATGTGTATATAAACGAAAGGATCATAGATACTATAACTTTTTCTGTTTCATCAATCAAAGATAAAATATTTCCATCAATAAACCCATTACTTATATACGAATTAATAATGATATTGAAAACAAAAAATATAATGAATCCATAGAAATCTAAAAATTTTTAAAATTGAAAAATGGTTCCGATACCTTTTTGTACATACCTAATAGTCAGACACAGTCCTATGAAATAGATAAATACTCGATCATCAAAAATTCGCCTTGAGCAATTGAAAAAAATGCTGTATGCGCAATCAATTGCGCAATCCTTCCCATAAAAGAGGCTTTCACCAGCCGTCGAAGAACTTACTAGCTCGATATAAATAAAAATAAAAAACAAATGCACTTAATCATAGTAACTGCGTAGAAAAACGTTATAAGTCCACATCATGTCGAATTAAGCTTTAGTACCGCTTATTAAAGTCGATTGTCACTCACACACTTAACGTCCTTGTTGAAATATACCAAGGGGTGATAGTACGATATCAGTGTTGGTGCTAGCTGTGATTGCTCTCATCAGCATCATGTCATCGGGAGTGAACTGCCACCCGCTCAGCTGACCGAGGCTCTGCAGCTTGGGACAGCACTCGATCAACAAGTCGACTGTGTCCCGCGTCAAACGAGGAGCATTGGGGAACCAAATGCCTTCCAAATGCTCGAATTTGTATCGGCGAAGCATTCTGTAATGGAAAATGTTTTGACGATAATAAATGATTCAAGTATGTAGATAGATACCCACATTATCAGGTATCTTTTTGTAATCATTTTATTTTGGTTTACCTACATATTTATTTGTTTTTGTAGCTGTTCCCAACAGTGTAACATGATTGTCGTTAATAGGTAGGTATATTTATAGTTTTGGTGAAGCTAGAGTTCACTTTTTCAACTTGATTCACATAAATAATTTCAAGCTTTAAAATTGCACATTTAAAGATGTAGGCAGTTATGAGTACCTACGTACGTAGTATCTACTTACGCAAACGAATATAATGGAACAATAAATACTTAAATGCATGATTTGTTTAGGATACGAAAATGACTGAATAGAAAAAACACTCACCGTGACATATCATTGTCATCCAACTTGACTTCGTCACCGATGATCAATTTCTTTAGCTTAGGACTACCAGTCATCAAGTACTTGAGACAAGATGTGGACAGGTTCCCGTGTATGATTTCAATGTGCTGCAAATTGTTGAATGGTATCTCTTCTTCGTGCGTCGCCGTCTGTATTTGATAGAACTCTAAGCTCTCCAAGTTCCTACATGTTTCTGCCACCCTGGTAAAGTTGAACGACCCCGTAGATGCAGACAGCATTAACGATTCTATCTTATGACCCATCTTATCAAGCAACTGGTGAAGTTCGTGACACTGGAATTTATTCAGCTTAATTTTAGTAACATTTTCCAACTCTTTGATCTGCTGCAACACTCCCTGGTCTGGCTCCTCCAAGTAAATGGTCTCTATCATCGGGCACAGAGCAATGATCGCCTTCATCGTTCGCATGTTAGTCTGTACGTCATGCATGTACGAGAGCTTTGTTTTGAAGTCTGGGTCCGTCCTGTATATCGAGTGAACAGATTTACCAACAAACGAGTAACTGCCAAGATTAGTGAGGTTTGGCAGCCGCCGTATTAATAAAGCGACGTCTGTGTGATCAATGTTCTCCTCGCCGTACATTCCTATGTTTACCACGGTCAGACTGTGAGTTAATTGCGGGTTGCCGTTCAACATAGCGTCGATACCGATCTCTGTGATGTCCGTTTCACCAGAAATGTCCAACAACTTCAACGCTTTATTGTACTTGCCGATATATTTGAGCACTTCGTCGTTAGCAATGTAGGGAATATTCAAACATGTTAAATTGGGAAGATTTTTCAACAGCTGATACATTATAGGTAAATGGTCCTCCTTGACCCACACTCCTTTCAAATTGAGAGCAGTCAAGTGGTGGCCTTGCTCCATAATGAGCTCAAGGACCTTCCTATAATAGGGAAGAGGGAAGATTCCCGTCGCTAAGCTTTTGACGTTTTCTTTGAGCAGTAGTTTCATTGTGTAGTATCTAACGGAGGGTTCTAAATACTCCGAACTTAGTATTAAGTTAATGAGATCTTGAAATATGTCGTTGGTTGCGCCCATGCTCTCGTAGTACGAGGAGACCATGGCAAACTCCAGCGCGGAATCTTCTTCCGATGAAACACGAGACAGGGCGTGTATCAACTGTCTTGCCACTAACGACAGAGTGATCTCCTGTAGCGGCGGCACCGGCAACTTGGGCGACATGATTGCACAAACTACAAGGGTCCAACTAAATAAAATATCACTTTCACTAATATAACACACTAAGTCGCACTAATTGAGCATCGCAGTATCAGTGCTGCGGCTTTCAGTTTTGGGAAGAGAAAGAAGTGAAAAATGGTGTAGCTATTTAGCTCACGCATGCGCACCGCGCGGCTGGCACTGCGCCAGCGCACGTTTATAATTCAAACTCACACACAACTCGCGCCGTATTTTTAGAACTTTTATAAAAGGTGTTTATGGCTAGTGGCGTATGCAATTGTTATTATAAACTGATTTCGTACATAAAAATTGAGATCTTCCGAGCGGTCTCTGCGCGTGAGTAATTAATGGTAGATGTTCATGTCCGACGTTTGCAGCCACGTATACCGTTAATCATTTTGTTTTGTGTTCACGTTTACGTTGTACCGATATAAATAAAGTCGCGGAATCTGTTTCAAATACATAGACTTTATATTTATCTGTTTAGTGCTTTTAAACTAGTTATTGTATGTTTATATATTGTTATATGTTCACACGAGAATTAGAGAGATTATAACAGAATCTCGGAAAGAAATTCTACGTAAAGGGTTTCAAGGACAAAAATCAATGTATAGCTTGGTTTCCTTTTCGTTAAAAAAAAAGAAAAGCAACGATAAGCTCG